ATCGCTGGTGAACAGGCGAAGCCCAGTTCACCTTCACTTTCCATGGCATGGGAATGGAGGCGTGGAGGTGAAAGAAGCAGTAGAATGGCGCTTCACTTGATGTCCGACACTCGTGTTGAGTCGGAGAAGTTGCCAGGAAGCCCTTCCATGGCTTGGGCGAAAAAGAACAAGCTTTAGAATCGCTCCAAAGCGCTGGTGGAGACGAACCTGTCACTAGGCCTCGCCGTAGCTAGCCCTTTCCCAAAGATGCCATAATTTTTCACAACTTATGCTTTTCGCAACCGTGCCAAAACAAGTGCTAGTTGCTGAAATCGCATCCATGTTCTCAGAAAAAGCTCAAAAGTTGCTAATATCGCAACCTAAAATTGGAGAGTTCTTGTGCAAAAACCTATAAAAAAAGGGAGCAGAAATAGCAGAAGTGCAGCGACAGCAAACTCGTAGATCTACACCCCTTCCTGCTGTGAACCACCACTTTACACAGTGCCAGTAGCCTGTTGCATGTATCCTACGTGTAGATCTACATGTACATTATTCCAGTGCAAGGAAAAGGAAATGCACATTATCATAACTACGGTTGATGTACTGTTTCTCTGAAATCAGTCTGAAGGCAGGCGAGAAATGAGCGAGTACGAGTACTAGTATGCATTTGTCCGACATGTAGTCGCTGAGTCGGTGACTTGACCTTTTGACCCCGTGCCATGGGGCCAATTGCGCCAAGGTTGCGGAAAAGTTGCGAAAATGAAGAAAGTTGCGAAAGTTGCGATTTCTTCCTAAACAACGAAACGTTGCGAAAAAAAAGTGGCGAGCATCTTTGGGAAAGAGGCTGTCACACTATTTTCGTATACTTTTCAACTTGTACCACTCCAAAACTACAGTAGCACATATAAATACGGATTAAAATACGATATCAAAATCATAAGAACTAAGACAAACAACGTTGCTAGCCAGCATACCGCACAAACGCTTGAAAATTCGGTGGGTTTCTGGCGACGTACATCCGGTCGTGGAGAAGATGAGGGGAGTGAAGGTCCCACGATCGACATGTATGATACGCTCGGCGTATTCCAACTTCTTTCTCCGCTCTCGTTGGAGGAAAAGGGCATCAACTGGCTTCTTTGCATATGATGCCGCGTCCGGATAAAACACTTGAACATCCACAAATGCATCCTGGGCAGGAAACCTCGCACCTTTATGTCAGCTCTTTTGTCATCCGCAACATTCGTACTGGCTGCTCGGAACACTTCACCAGTGACTGGAGCAAGCGGAGGCTTAACCAGTACACCTCTGTAAGCAGGTCGGCTACCAAATCCCTCACCTCGTTATGGCGGATTGTGGGAAAGCCTGCCGTTGGACAGCACATGGCATGAGTTACCGAGAAGGTCTCTCCACAAACATACACACATGTACATGTACATGTATGTGGCTGGCACATCCTTCAAAGGCCGCTTTTAAAATAAGGTAGAGCAAGCGCATCAGGAAAGTCACCCTTTGACAGATGGTAGCAAATAAAAAACTAGCAATGTCCATCAAGTGGCAACTAGGCCTTTGCGGATAATGAGGGCAGAAAAAGTGGCAGCATTCGGTACTTTTTCTGGTAAGTTTCATGCATGTTTGGTATGTGGATAAAGAAATGGAGGAGAATTCGAGGCCCGCCATAAGGTTTGTATGGTTCTGCCAATTTTACTGCTTTTCGAGCAGAATCTGCCACATTTTCGAGCATTATCCGCCAATGCCTAGCGGCAACGCATTCAGCCACGTTGACACTACCTTCTTTGAGAGCTGGTCCAGCCTCCGAAGATGAAGCCGAGTGGCGAATCTTATTGTACCTATTCTCTTCCTCCAGGCGTCGCTCCCGACCAACAGCGGACTCTTCTCGCAAAGCCGACTCGATCATGGCACTTGAAGATCTAGGTAACCATGGTAACCATGGTAGCCACGATGCATCATGCTGGGTTAACAATCCCAGTCACCTGGAAATCAGTTACGGACCGAAACGAGGTGAATTCACAAGCCGCCATCCGCTGGAAATGCGGGATAGCAAGCCCGCCAAGGCGTGTGGGCAGGTGCAGTAATGCTAACTCCGCATCAGTAAAGGTTTCTCTCCCTGTGAGTGCCGGCAGTAATTCATTTGTTATGATAATTATGGCCAAGAGAAGTCTAACAATCATCGGGGAATGGGACCGTACGCAACAGGTAGGTCCATCGACCATGAAAGCCGTGAGTGATAGCCGAATGCCGTTCGGTGTGCGCAAAAACAGTGAGGCGTCACAACGCAACAGTTTATTTTTCAACTGTTTCCCGCACATTGATTGGAATTGCACTAGTCTCACCAATTGGCGCACCCAAGTATTTCACAGCATCAGTAGCTATTCGTATACCGCTATTATAGAAAACGCGAGATGCCTCATCAACCATGCCAGGCTTTACCAGAAGCAGAGTCTTCTTCTAATTGGTGTAATAGCCATAGTTCTGACCGTTTTCGTGTAGATTGTCCCACCACAAGCGCTGCGCAGACATTGCAGCCTTCCCCCACCACCGGCACCGGAGACGAGTCATCCGCATACCACGTCTGGAAAATGGAGGGGCAGTCTGCCTGAAGGCGCTGAACCAAAGACAGTGTGGCAAGGGCATAAAACACCATGAAAGGAGATCGCCCTGTGTAGTACCCTCTTGCGAAGTCAACTCACCACCGCCCGCCACAAACAGCCGCGCTGACTGACGTATGAATTACGCATAATAATCGCTAAGGGGCCGTCCGTAAATATCGATGTTTTTTTAGAGACGATATTGGTGCGTCTGGGGGGGGAGGGGGTTTGAGCCATGTGCGTCTTTTCGAGCATCAGAAAAATATCGATGTAAATATCTGAAGTTTCGCCGATCCCTGCACGCGGACGTCTAAATGGCTATACAAGAAATGTGAAACCAGTTTCCGTTCGCGGAGCTAAAACTCGCGACACAAGAACAAAATCAAAAATTGGAAGCTGTACGCCCATGGCGAATTTCAAGAGCAAAAGAATGAGCTATTGATTGTGGAAATCGGCCGAACGATGCCTGCAGGAGACCTTTTTCAAGACGTAGAGACAGTGCGAACAAACACGGACGAACTCCACAAGAGTTTCCAGTCTTCACTGTCTGAACAAGCTGGCACAGACGCTGAGAATGGTACAACGGAGCGATGCGAGCACTGCAAGTATGTCTTCTTGTCAGCGGCTGATAAGCTTCGCCACAACCGCCTGAGTCATAGCAGTGAAGGCACTACATCCAGGCAGCAGAAGGAGCATAGCATGTGTGCTCTATTTGGATGGTGCTTCTACTTGTGGCTTAGCCTTCACCACCTACTATGGGCTAATGCAGCACAAGAAGGCTGCTGGCCACAAGTGTTCTCGAGGGCGACCAAAAAAGTCATAATGCTTTCCTTCTCAATTAGACCATATAAATACTGCAAACTTGCCATCTTGGGTTCATATTATTGACAAAAAAGGAAAAAAATGAGCATCCAAAAAATATTGATTCCATGATCTAGATGTACATATGCGTCTTCTGGGGGGAGGTCAAGGGAGAGAAGCACCAATATCGTCTCTAAAAAAACATCGATATTTACGGACGGCCCCTAACGACGGACATAACAATAGTCGATCATTATGAAGCACAGCAGCTAAAATGCATTACGCACGCCCACTAGCAGAATGCCTTCTGTTTTCTTTTTTAGGAATGAACTCCTTGAGCCTCTTGTACGGGCAAAATAACACATTTGTGAAACATCAACACAATTACTTCAAGTACACAAAACGAATAATCGGATACAGGAATGATTATACAGACTCAGTAGGATCACTGCAGTGCAGGTTCACTGGATGCGTGCCTCGGCCACCACTAGCACTGCAGGGAACTCACGCACGGCAGGAGCAAACATGCTCCTTGAGCCACGCAGGCACATGGCACCACAACGAACCAGGGAAAACCAAAGGCGGCCTCTCAGCAAGGAGATCATCTGCGCGTATGGCTCCTTGCTCTTCTCAGCCAGGGCTGGCAGGAGAGAGGCGATCCGCGAGAAAAACGCATCTGCATGCTTGCCATAGCCACCGGAGGCAGAAAGCACAACGGCCACGAAGGAGGCGTGCTCGACTTCGCGTACTCGCTCTTCGTACTTTCGGCGCTTTTCCTGTTCATGGCGTCTGTAGCTAGCAGCGAGGGAGGTGGCACGATTCGAATACGCAAACGGGTTGAACACCCGTACATCAATAAAGATGCGCTCGAATCGGCCATCCCACACACCACTAGTCGCAACGTCCAGCCGAGCCTGCTCCTCCGTGACAGCTGTGCGATGGCTAACGTAAACGCAAACCTTTCCGTACTTCGGATCGTTCAAGCTGACTTTTCCCTTTGCACAATGTAGGTTATAGTTGAGACGAAGTAGTCGTGACAACCATGACGTTATGAATTTTCGTGGAAACAGGTGCGGGAAATTCAAACTTTTGAAACAGGGATTAGTTTGCTGTCGTTCCGAAAGAATACCTTGGCGAGGTCTTTCACTCTGGAATACTAGCAAAAGCACGGCGAATATGAGTTTTCGCTGTTCCCAGGTCATTGGAAAACCTTTCCTAAACGCAGCAACGAAGACTGTAAGGGTTCTCCAGCTCAAGCACGTTTGGGAGAGGCCGATGAATTTCTTCCTCAGGAGTGCCGTGGAACTGGTCCTTTGTTTCCCAGATGGGACAGAGGGTGAAAGGCACGAAGCAGAGGACGCAGACATTATCAACTGAAAGGCAAAACTCGCCAAAAAGCTAAATGTCACAAGAGGAAGCAATCTCGACTCTCATCTTGATCTGCACGTGCTTTTTTATCTCCCGCCAGTTACAAAACAATGCGAGTTTTTTTGCAATTTTGCAGAACTACTGTAACGAATCCCACCGCTGCCACCATTTCTGTAGCGTATCCCACCGCTGGCACCAATTCTGTAACGGGCCGCAGTCTCTCTCGGAGGCAAATGCAGACGGGTCTCAGTGAACACACTGTTAATAATTATTAAACATTAACTCTGACTCTAACTCTAAACTGACATTACTGAAGGTTCTAACTGGCCCTTCTAACCGGCCTTTCTAACTGTAGTTTCTAACTGAACTTCTAACTGGCGTCTAGAGAATTGTGAACAGCAGCTTTTATAGGCAGACAGCATACGTGCTGCAACAGCAATGGTCACGGCAAAGCTCAGCAGAGAGAAGAAGAAAGGTCAAAGTAGATGTGTGGGCTACAGTCATTGCACAAGGAATGCCATTTGATTCTATGCAGAAGAAGGAGCTGAATGCGATGTGGGCAATGGGCGTAAAAGAGGTGGTTGAAAGTGCAGCAGTATTTCTAAGGTCAATATGAAACATTGAACGCCGTGAGACTACCGGTAGTTACTATCCATGTCATGGATCTGCAAGCACAGTACAGAGTTGCAAGTGCGGGGTACGGGTGCGGTGTAACACGCGTGACCAATACATTGAAAGTGATTCACGCTGCAGCTGTGTGAGTTACTAGCGTGCCAACGCTACACCTTCCTTCTTTAAACAGAATCACGTCCTCGTGATTAGAGTAGGAGTAGCAGAACAAAAAGTGACGAACACTGATAGAAGATCATGGAGATGCGCAGACTAGACTGGGCGAGTGACATAAGTTGATATAGCCGGACTCTGACAATCGACTGAGATTAGAAGGCACTGGTGGCATGCATGGTCGCGTCGGAATAACCTCGACGGAAGAAGATAGGCAGAATGGATGACTTGCATATACAGGTATGTATTCATGAACAGCCTCGGTTGATATCCGGACGCAATGAGGACAACTGACATTGAAGTACTGGCTGGAGCGCAGCAGCAGATCACAGGACTGAGAGGTGGTGCGAACATAATCATTGAACATTATAGGAGATAGCGCATCATACGGGTACAGCGTCAACCGGAATATGGCAAAATAATATCGGAAATGATAACCTTTGAGAGTAGACAGAAGAAATGAACTGATAAAATCATAAAGTAGCAGCACACCAGGTTCACACGATCTCACGGGGTAAAAAAGGGGAAAGAACCGTCCTCCAAATGGGACTTGAAAACCACAGCACTCTTGCTGTACCACCATGGCGTTTGAGCCATAAAAATAGTTCACAGTTCCAAACTGAACTGGACAAAGGGCACTCTAACACACATTATCCCAGGTTAGTTAGATAGACCGTGGCTCACCATGATCGGACGCCTACCTAACTAAACTGGATTCACACACTCGCATAAAGGAAGACTGAAGAGAACAGGAAGACTGAAGGAAGACAGGAAAGAAAATGCCATATCGGGAATTAGCTTACATTGGACACGGAGCTTGATCGGTAGAGACGCTGTCCGTCATCATTTCGGGCTTGGGGGAGACGTGGCGGGCGAAGGAGTAGCGGCGACTGGCGCATCAGGTTGGGCCATGTTGGTACCGGTTACACCAATAAAACAATTTACCGCTGCCATCAATTCTGTAGCGCCGCTGCCATCAATGCAATACAGATACTAGGTGGGTTCGAATCTAGCAATTATAAAATTGTACCACCGCTGCCACCATTTCTGTAACGAATCCCACCGCTGCCACCATTTCTGTAGCGTATCCCACCGCTGGCACCAATTCTGTAACGGGCCGCAGTCTCTCTCGGAGGCAAATGCAGACGGGTCTCAGTGAACACACTGTTAATAATTATTAAACATTAACTCTGACTCTAACTCTAAACTGACATTACTGAAGGTTCTAACTGGCCCTTCTAACCGGCCTTTCTAACTGTAGTTTCTAACTGAACTTCTAACTGGCGTCTAGAGAATTGTGAACAGCAGCTTTTATAGGCAGACAGCATACGTGCTGCAACAGCAATGGTCACGGCAAAGCTCAGCAGAGAGAAGAAGAAAGGTCAAAGTAGATGTGTGGGCTACAGTCATTGCACAAGGAATGCCATTTGATTCTATGCAGAAGAAGGAGCTGAATGCGATGTGGGCAATGGGCGTAAAAGAGGTGGTTGAAAGTGCAGCAGTATTTCTAAGGTCAATATGAAACATTGAACGCCGTGAGACTACCGGTAGTTACTATCCATGTCATGGATCTGCAAGCACAGTACAGAGTTGCAAGTGCGGGGTACGGGTGCGGTGTAACACGCGTGACCAATACATTGAAAGTGATTCACGCTGCAGCTGTGTGAGTTACTAGCGTGCCAACGCTACACTACCATAACGAACGTCGGCCCGTTATTTTGAGCTCTGTAACGTTTTTCCGTTATCCGATAACGTCTTTTGTCACGGCCGGGAGTGAGTACCGTAAAAGTTAACGTTATCGTACTTTTGCTAAGGATGTCTATTGTCATAAAGCATCGGTCACGCAATACGGTTAATTCCCATCGTGGATACGATAATTATTCAATTGACATCCATCCCTGCGCAAGAAGTAGGTCGTTATAAATATATTAGATATTGAGCACTCTTGCGTGGGGTAGTGCCTTTGCTGTTTGCGTTATGCAGAGCTCACTGACTTGTCAGTTTGAGCACTCTGGCAAGGTACGTTCGGGCCTGATTGGAAATTTTTATTTCCATTGCTATCAGGTTCGGCCTCATTTCCTCTGTGCTGCGCTGACGAGTCCACAAAGGACGAAACAGTTCTGTCCGCAGATTGAGTATATTAGACAATAATATTTTTTTACATGTACAGGTACAGGTACATGACTTATTCACTGCATGCGGTTTTCACTGTGTTCATTACATTTTGAGTACTGAAGAAACCACTTTTACGGGCAGAAAACAATTTCGATATGGGCACAGAAGTAACTGAGCTGAGCGGAAAGCAATCCGAGAACAGTACTACTATGAAACCTCAAGGAAGCGACTAGATTAAAAAAAAAAGGTCTTTGAGCCATTGTTAGATATTGCAGATTGACGCAGGGACGCTTTTACTGGATCTCAGTCGGCAGCCTGTCGACACTGCACAAACAACGAGGAGCGGAGGCGATGTTGTTATGAGGACCGGAAGCCGCGAAAGCAGGCTATTGCCCAACGTACATGGCAGAACGCCAGCCGAACACGCAGGGCACTGATGTCGATGAATATCGGACGTCGTTATTGCGCTCCACGAGCCGACCGCCAAGGGTCGCCAGGACCCGTGAGCACTCCGGCCCCGCCATCCCATTCGTGGCGAGCACAAGACGGGTGAAAGAGCCTCTCTCGACTTCAGTGACCCTGGCACCGTACTGCTTATTCTTTTGCCGTTCATGGGCCCGGCCTGAGTTGGTTTTGAACCAAGGACTTCTGGACCAGACAGCACAGACGCCTTAGGGTGGGTTGCCCTGACATCAAAATAGGCGTCCTACTGCCTTGTCCAGAAGCCCGGGCACGAATGTCCAGCCGAGCTCTATCAGTCTGGTTAGCTGTGGCATAGGGCAGTTGGCCGCCAGTTGCTCGCCAGACAACGGTTGGAGACGTGGCTCAGTTCCGACATCGCGAAAGGCTTGGAAGAGCGTCTCAGCCAGGATGTCACGCATATTATCATGTCGGGCGGATGGATACCCGCCGGCGGGGCAGGTTAACATAATGAGGCGTAACCACAGACAAAAGTGGACGGTATACCAGGGAGCTGCAGGCCATACACTATAGCAAGTGCATCACGGAAGTCACTCGCACAGTGCCGTGTGCCAGACGAGGCGCGACGAGGCTCCGGCCACGAAGACACACCGGCAGAGCCGGCAACGTCGGTCAAGAGCTGCTGTGTCGTGTATAATAGCTGATCATGCAGACGGGCCAAACATGCTTTGTCAGCCCGATGCCTTGTCAGCCCGATGCCTTGACTGTGCAGCAGCTCGGCATGCGCTAGTACACGTAGCTACGTAGGTCTACTACTGTCTACTACTGACATACATGTACATGTACGTGTACGTATGTAGTACTGCACAAGGACCAGTGCAATACCGGCCGATATCTGCACGAACGGCGAAGCCGTAACTTGGCGTAAGGCCACCCTTTGTTAATTCATTGTTTAACGTCCTTTTTTTCGCGAAAAGGTACGCGGGAGGGCGGAAAAAAAACAAAAGCCCATTCCAAAAACTGGAAACCCCAATCAAACATTTTGACCAGTAAAGCATGTGATATATACATGTACAATATTTCTGGGTCTAACGGCACTTGCAGGCATAGAACAACACTCTTTGATGGTACATTGGAGCACATGCCTGATGAATCCAACAAAACAGGTACATGTACATAGCATGGAGTTAGCATGTCATGAATTCATTACATCTGGATTTTTACTAGGACACACAACGTACGATATTTAAAAGCCAACAAAAAAAGAAAAAGCACACAAGACAAAGGCATGCCCGGGAGGCAAGATTATAAGTTTAAGGTCATGATCGGCACACTGTGAAACTACACAATCATGTATTTACAACTTCGCATATTATTGGTACTACTACTTTCTTGTTTTTTTTTCCGGTCGGAGGCAAAAAGGTACGCGGGCGCGGACGTTAACCCTTTGTGGGTCTTACTCAATGTATGTGAGGGGTGGTCACGCAAACACGCGTACAAACAACGAGCCATAACTCAAGTTCCGTGAGTTGTAGGTATGGGTAAACTATATATTTTCAAAATCTGTATGCCTGGACGCGTCCAGAAAACACAAATATGACTATGTCCAGGCAAGGATATGACCCGTGGTGGACCTTCAAGTTGAGAGAAAATACAATTGCGAACAAAAAAGCACAAAAATCACAGCACGAAGTGCATACCAAGTTCGTGATGGAGCTGAAGTCCTATGATAAACAATCAGGTAAGCGCTACGTCTTGGTGAAGAATATATGCTCCTAATTCCGTCCTTGAACTCCAATACCACGCCATCGGCGATGCACCAGCAGCAACAGTTCCACAATATCACAATTTTGGTTCGTTCACCTCAGCGCCGCTCGCGTCAGATTCACTCTCGCTCAGATGAGTACTCAGGCGCGATGTCACGCGTGCCGTGATTCTCACGGCCAGGTGAATCAGCTGATCGCACCTGACAAGTCCTTGTAAGAGTTGCTGTTGCTGTGCTTCCTCGCTGTTTGGTAAATTTGATTTCTTCATTCGGGGACGATTTATTTGAGCTAGGAGGACTCAACGGAGCTCTCTTTCTCACGACATCGCACTGGAAATCCTCCAGGGACATCCAGCCTAGACTGGTGCCGTCAGTGTCCTCAGAAAGCTTTTCTGACACGGCTTCAAAAGATGCACTCCCATTCTCGAAATGCGCGCATGGCGGATGGTCGTCTTTTCCAATTTCACCAGACTTCAGTCGATCGATACTGCAAAAATGTGTATGGTAAGTATGGTTGTTTTTTACACCGTTGGAAAGCCTGGGACCTCAGCTAGACGTGGAGCACCATTTTAGTTGTCTCCTAGCAACAAAACTCACAGAAAATGCGATTTTACTGTAAGGGTCACATACGACCCTTACGCTTATGTGAGACCCATAAAGGGTTAAACAACGAAAAAAGAAAGGGTGGCCTAAGTGCAGATATCGACGCACGCGTCCGTGTGCAGTAATACATTTATCGCACCCCTGCCACCACACAGTCTGTCACCACACACTTGTGTGTGTGACTTGACACGGTCTGGTGCAACCCTAGCATGCTGCATGCAACCCTGCTATCATTTCACAGTCATACAACACAGCACAACCAGTCGCGTTCATTTTTAGAGGAACACTTCTTTCGAGCAGCTGCTGTATATACACTCCCGGGAGATCATGGAAGTAGCGGGACAGCTTGCTCATGTCGTCGTCGTTGATGGGGTGTTTGTGCTCCACCGCTTTGACTTCTCCCCGCTTTCTTTGACTTCAGGAGGAAAGCCTTCAATGCAATGTTTGCGTCCTTGAACGCTGGGTCACTGTGGACGTTCATGAGCCGCTTCAACTCGACTAGCTTGCGATGTATTCCGGAACGGAAACCGAGCAAGCTTGATGCAGAGTAGAACTTCACTCCAGCTTTCTTCGGACGGAATTCGACGTATGCATGTCGCAGAATGTAAGCTAGGTCGCTTGTTGTAACCGTACTCAGGTCACAGCGACGTCCTGTGTCTTTACAGTACTCGTCGAATAAGCGGAGCCATTTGTCAGTTGCCTGCTCTGTGTTTTTGTTTTTCTGCTCAGAAACGAGGCTGTCGATGGCGGCGTCGGACAGTTTCTCAAATCGGCTGTCGACAGTCTTCTCCAATACTTGGGCGTCTGCTGTCTCGACTCTCACGGAGCTTGTGAAGTTGACTTCAGCAGCCGCACCGCAACACCGCATGCCTACTCGAGCGACAACCAGATCTGCAACACATCATCCATCGCAACTCACCAGTATCCTTCCCCCTCAGGCAAGAAACAACACGCTCCGCTCATTTCCCCACTCCCTCATCGAAACGTGGAATCAGCTCCCACCTACCCTTCTGCAGTCTCCCCCTTCTCGCAGAGGCATGCACACGTTCAAGAAAAACGTCAACGACCACTTGCGGCGCAGCAAGTGGGAGTGGGCCACAGACAGGCTATGATCTCTGCCAACACACCAGCCTAATTATACTGACCGCACTCCAGCTCCCTTCTACCCCTCTTTGATCCCCTTCGCTCAGCCTTAAAACCCGATTATCAGTTCACTCCATCTTCCTACGGTGCACTGCTTTTACTATTGTTTTGTCCTATCCCAATCTCAAATTCTCCCCATTATCGTTTGCAAAGCCAGTGCTCCCCTCTTGGATGCACATCGCCACATGTTTCTTTTCTCCTATGTATCGGCGCACAGGAGTAACAACGATCCCGAGACCTTTGGTCGGAGGAGTTACTTTTGCCCCGCCCCCACTTCCATCCAATATGCCACCGCCCCCGCTGTGCAGCATCTGATGGTACTGTGGTATTCAGTAAAAAAAAAAACTTGGCGGACGCAAGCCGGGTCCACATTCGCTTCCGCGACAGCGTCCTCGACCAATTATTATTTGGTGTGCTGCAGCAAGTCAGCAGCGACTGCTTGGCGGAGCGACTCGCAATATTCCCCAGTACACCGCCAGCCAATGACCAGAGGCAGAGGACAATGTGGATGCACTGCAGTGCGATATTGCACCCCGGCGAGTGAGCGTGCAAATAACCTATATCTTCACGCTCACTTCGAAGCGAGCGTGCAAATAACCTATATTTGCACGCTCGCTTCGAAGTGAGCGTGCAAATAACCTATATTTGCACGCTCACTTCGAAGTGAGCGTGCAAATATAGGTTATTTGCACGCTCACTCGCCGGGGTGCAATATCGCACTGCAGTGCATCCACATTGGCTGGCGGTGTACTGGGGAATATTGCACGCTCAGTAAGGCCGCTGATTGGCTCAAACCATGGAGACACTCACGTGGGGTGCGATAAATGATTGTACAACCCTCACTAGTACAGTTACTACAATGTAAAGTACTATACTAGTTATTATTATTTTGCTTGTTCGCGTTGGCATAAACCTGCATAAAGCAGGTATCTAGCCTTCGCTTAAGCTGCCATAAAAAAGAAAGCTCATCCTAAGCGAGAGGGCTAGAGGAAAAGATAACGATAACGAGATACAGAATACAAAGAAATACAATGAGTTAAACATACATGTACGTATACAGTTCAAAACAAAACAGAGCAGAGCCGAAGTTACTAATCGGAGTGACGAATGCGTTGGTTCCGATTAAACTAAACTAAAGAAAGTACTCTAATTTCAGAAATTTTCGGTGCTCAATATTTTCGGTATTTGGGCAAAAGGCCTGGTTAGGTGAACAGAACTTTTCGGTACAGAGAAGCAGTTCCCTATTGGATTATGTGTGTTAGTGTTTGTTCGGTGTATTGAAAATTTAGGTATGAAACAGATGCACCGAAAGTACCGAAAATAAAAGTACACCGAAAATTTGTGAAATTACAGTACCCAGGTAGCATCGACTCATGTACTCAGCGGGTGGTGCGCATGAGGTGACCACTATCTACACAGTCATTGTATGACTTGCACTGGCATGAGTGTCATTGAGTGACCACCCAGAAGTGCCAGTGGGTCAAAAGTATCAAAACTCTATTCCTGTCACATCCTCATTTTCTGATGTCAGTGATATGATGATGGTTTGTAGTACTGGACTCGGAACTCTACTTCTGTATTGTATGCTGAGCTGAGAAGTGAGCTGACGTTTGACGTAATCGTTCCTTGGAAACCTTGTACCGGTTGACAGGTAGTAGTATAAGGTGACACACTGCCAGTCAGTACTCAGTACTCAGTAGCGACACCACTTTGATGACAAGTAGGTATTGTTGATAACATAATGGTGGTAAAGACACACCTGGCAATATGGCGGTAAACACACGCCTGCCCACACACGCTCTCTAGGCTGCAAAGTTCTGGCACAGAGCTCTCCTTCTCACCACCACCACCATCAGTTCGCGCCTGGCGCCTGGTCGATGCATGGCTGGCGGTATCCGGCATAGCAGGCTGGTACATCAAGTAGCGCATGGCACATAGATGATGACACAGCAACGACATAGCTCGATTGCGACGTACGTTTCGTCCCCGCTTGACTCATCAGGCAATCTTCTTCTTGGATGTCTTCATACGGAGCTTGACTCGGGAGAATGAAGTTGAAGACACCACTGCAGCTGTACTTATGGCATGCGCTACTTGATGTACCAGCCTGCTATGCCGGATACCGCCAGCCATGCATCGACCAGGCGCCAGGCGAACTGATGGTGGTGGTGGTGAGAAGGAGCGCTCTGTGCCAGAACTTTGCAGCCTGGAGAGCGTGTGTGGGCAGGCGTGTGTTTACCGCCATATTGCCAGGTGTGTCTTTACCACCATATTTATCAACCATAAGTACAGCTGCAGTGATGTCTTCAACTTCATTCTCACAAGTAGGTATTGTAAGTAAAATGTAGTAGTTTAAGTAAGTTAACCCTTTCAGTCCTAAGGACAAGATATTAAACTCGTCCTGAAACATAGCACCCCGCTGGTGCACGCTATGATGAACTCATTTCAGGGTGATGTAATACGAATAGGGAATAGCGCAAGCTCCCACGTAGGGAGCAACATACTCAATTATCGCCGAAGTCGCGCCAACATCTTCTTCACATTGTCCCCGGCGCGGGCTTGACTATGTACGTGACTGTAATGTAGGTGTGTGTGTGGGGGGGGGGGGGGTCTGACACCTCCCCTGGTCCAGATCCTGGACAGTGCCTTTCACTTTGCATGTCTGTTTGCATGAAGCAGGTGAAGGTGGAGTAAAGGCAGCGCATAGCACCTCCTGCCTCTATCACCAGCCACGTGTCCTTCAAAGTGCATGTAGATCTACTGAGTACTAGTACATGATTGTACACACAGTCATTGCACAATCATGTACATGCATTCACTATCCATCACAAGTTACAACCGTGTCAAGGGTACCTACAATGCTACATGTAGCTCCCCCTAGGCTTTATGCCTCGAATCATTCATAGGATCTAGGACGTGGTTTTCAGAGCAGACCCGGTCTGTCCCATTCACTCTGCAACATCATATCGAACCGAATACTTGGTTGACAGACCAACAACAATACATACATGTACATGTACTTGTTTTGATCAAAACAAGGTTGATCTATGCAGGGGCGCCCGGGCATAGGCAGGGGGGGGGGGCTTTGGGTGCCAAAGCACCCCCCCCCCCCTCAAAAATTTCGATCTTGGTTAACAGCTGGTTCGAGAGAGAGACCATTGTTCAGACCGCTGATCACATGTGCAACTCTGCACATCGCACACTGAGGCCATCCCTGTTCAGACCAGGGAGTAGTAGGTACTACTCCCTGGTTCAGACCTGCAAGTACCATGTACATGTACATGTATCTGAAACCAATCCACCTGCAGTTGACTATTAATATTATTTTAATTTTTATCTCATGATCGGCCATTTTGCAATGAAATTTCTAGTCAAGGGAACTCCGCTTCGTACCTGCCGTTGTGCAGTGTCACATCAGGCCTCAGCAGGCTCAGTACATGATTTGCATCGCACTCCACATGTTTCATTAGAAGCAAAGAATCATACAAGCACGCCAATTGTAGAAGCAAGGAAGTAGCAACGCGGTCTATGGCCGGAAAGCATACGTCAGACATACATGTAGCAGTGTGTTCTCGCTATGTTTTGTATAATGTAGTTCTGTCTATTTGTTGGAGGTTGCGGAAAGGGCAATGAAGTTTCTTTCATGCATTGCAAGTGTGGATACAGCAGTAGAAGAGTGAAAGTAACATTGAAGTGCATTTTGAGTTTTTGTGGGGAACAGTGTAAGTTTGATTAAGGATGCCTTACTGCACAATCAAACATGACGAAGGGGAAAAATGGCTCGAGAAATCCCACTTTAAAAGTTCGATGGAGAGTGTGATAATTCTGTAGAAAGCAGCATCCAGGACTTAGTCCATCATTAGTTGGAAGCAGGCCAGGGTGTAGTAAAATACAATAATTATTATTACTCCCTGGTTGGAGATTTGCCATTCACTGATTGATCTTCCGCGTCAAATTAGGGGCGAATCCCCCCCCCCCCTTTTCACGGATCGAATAAAGTGCATGAAAGGACCAACATACTTGAAGTAAGTTCATGTACTTTTGTGTGGGGAAAGTCGTGGCAACACCCCCCCCCCCCCCCCCTTGATCACTATCCTGCCTACGCCCCTGCTATTTTACCATCATACCGTATTTCCCCATTAGTTCTCCCCAATGACTTTGTACCCCCTATAAAAAATACACTTTCCACTGCGGAGGTTATCACCCCGAAAGACAGTTCCCCCCAAAAGATAGTAAGTTCGTACCCGCCCTACATGTACAGACACCGTACATACATCATTATGCACGGACACTAGAGTTGCGCAGGCTTCCCACTGCGTGTCATTTACCCCCGATAAAAAAGTACTCCCCGAAAGTTAGTACTCATGTGGCTGCTAAGTTCGTTAGTTATAATACATGTACGTACTAACTTACGGGGAAATACGGTATTATCGAAATTGTAAGTAAAAGTGGGGAAGCTTCCTGCAGTTTCATAAACAGTTTTAAAAGAGTAGAGCCCACACGCTCCCTGCAATAGTTCAACTCGTGTCACATGTACAATGTACAGTCAGTGCTGGTAACTGAAGTCCTACCCCGGCCTGAGCGGTGCGCTCACATCGCAAAGACCCAACACGAGAACTACGAAATAGCTAGAGACCGGTAGAATGTGAGACCGCTAGCCGCTAGGGCCCAGGAGGGGTCGGATTTCAGTTGCCAACACAGTATGTGCCGATAGTCGGTGCTAGCGAGTACGATAGCAGTACAAGTGGGGTTTTGGAGACTAGCCAGCAAACCACGTGACTCCTGGCAGCAGTACATGTATTTCACATTATTGTAGTTCAAGTAGCTATTACTTTACTTTAATAGTTGCAAATGATGGAGCAAAGGGAGAAGCTCAGTTGAAGCAGAAAGAGCAGTTTGGCATAGTGATGATAGTGAATATCTCTCTAATTAGTAGTCACGAGGAGAAAACTCAGCGGTTTACGCAATGTACAAACAGCCATAAACATCAGCTTCAAAGTTCCATGGTTGTGCCACGTTTGCAATTTGGATAAAACAAACCCAGTAAGACATTTCTCGCAAAACGAACAGCATGAAGTGACCAGATTGCTATCATTAAAGTTCAATGCCTCTGAGACAGCCGATAGAGTAGGGTCTCTAGTACTCTCTACAACCTCATCATCAATAGTGCATAGTATTAGTTATCAAGCCACTCACGCACTTGCATAAGTACATCAAGACAGTCTTTGCTCACAAAGAAACACATTGGATGAGCACTGATGGTTCGAGGTGAAGTGTTTATGCCATGACCAGATTCACATGGTAGATCTATGCCTGTGCACGCTCGCACGCGCACACACACACACACACACACACACACACACACACACACACACACACACACACACACACACACACACACACACTCACAAACACACACACACACACACACACACACACACTCACAAATACACACACGCACACACACTCAGACACACACACACACACACACACACACACACACAGAAGCTTGCACACGCAGTCAGTGGTGGAGCCTTCCAGCACCTGACTCTACTCTAGAGAGTCAAACACAGCCATGTACCTATTGGTAGACTGTTGAGTGTTGATGCTCGCTGCACTCTGAAAAGATAGTACAAGCAGCAGCACTGGGCTATATACAGTGGGACAAAACGGCAGCTCTCTTGCCCAGGGTACACTTGCATGGCTTTGATCACAAGCACCAGAATATAGTCATTGTTACTACAAATACCACCACCACCGGGATCAACTGTTATACCACCACCGGGATCAACTGGTATTTGCACATACACTCACTAGACATACATGTGCCTGAAGCAAGCCCAAGGCATTATCATTGTTCTCTGAACATAGGTTGGGTTGAAGAGCCATGAAGCTCTGGGGAACAACAATATCTTATAGCCTCATTCCATTGGAAACTTTTGCACGTACATGAAAATTAATAATAATGCATACATACATACACATACTCATTATCTCTGTACAGGCGCGTGCGCCGGTGCCCTTCAAGGGTGGTTCCGGGGGGGACCTCCCCGGGAAATTTAAAAAAAAAAGAAGCAAAATCCTGCATTTTGAACGAAAAAAGGGGGGGTTCCGGGCACCCAGGAACACATACAGGGCACGCGTCTGTCTCTGTACACATACACATGTATACTTGTTTTCTTCGAACAAGCTCCATAGATCATGAAATCAAGCCAAACACATCCACACACAGTGGTTGGTCCCGCAATTTGGAGAGTTTCAAGCACAAACACAGAGCTCCACTTTGACTGCCATTGGGAGAGAGAGAGAGAGAGAGAGTGGACCTAAGGGAAGTCAAGCATGACCGAGCGACTCCTGCACATTCAGCTACTCTCCACAAGATCGGTTTGGAACCACTCATGACCGACCGCATGATTGCTGCGCGAGGAGACGGAGGAGAGGACGGAGGACTTTGAGTCCTGGCGCAGGAACTGCCCAAAGCCAGCACCCTGCTTGTCCAGGCTGGTCAGGACATCGCTAAAGAAGTCATCACCTCCCCCGCCGCTGCTGTTGCTGGTTTGTCTACCAAGGAACACTGATGATGGCGAGACAGTCTAAGAGAGATTGGAGAAAACAAGCGAGAGAGTTAAGTTGCAGCTTGACTTCTAAATTGTCTCAGCATCACTGCACAGCCCCCCCCCCCCCCCCACATACACAACCCCCCTAATGTACTTACTCCTTAATCACAAACAGGCATGCGCTCACACATCACAGAGAGTCCACGGCCTGGCAAATCACAGTAGAACTAACCTGAGACGACCCGGTTAGCTGCACAGCATCAGTATCGGATATAGCTAGTATGCGTGGTGAGCTGAGGGACCGTTTGACTGGGCTGGGCAGTGCGGTTGCTGTGTTCAGTTTTCTGCACAGATGCATAAATAATCATATTCCCATACACGAGGTGGAAGGGAATAATTTTTCTACAACAAGGCTATAATGAGAGAGAGAGAGAGCGAGAGAGCGAGAGAGAGAGAGAGAGAGAGAGAGAGAGAGAGCGAGAGAGCGAGAGAGCGAGAGAGAGCGAGAGAGCGAGAGAGAGCGAGAGAGAGCGAGAGAGAGCGAGAGAGCGAGAGAGCGAGAGAGAGAGAGAGAGAGAGAGAGAGAGAGAGAGAGAGAGAGAGAGAGAGAGAGAGGGAGAGAGAGAGGGAGAGAGAGAGGGAGAGAGAGAGAGAGGGAGAGAGAGAGGGAGTGAGAGAGAGAGAGAGAGAGAGAGAGAGAGAGAGAGAGAGAGAGGGAGAGAGAGAGAGAGGGAGAGAGAGCGCGCGCGCGCGCGAGAGAGAGAGAGAGAGAGAGAGAGAGAGAGAGAGAGAGAGAGAGAGAGAGAGAGAGAGAGAGAGAAGAGAGAGAGAGAGAAGAGACACACACACACACACACACACAGAGACACAGACAGAGAGACAGAGAGAGACAGTAAGAGACAGAGGCAGAGAGAGACAAAGAGGTGAAAGAGAGAGAAAGATAGACAGACAGATGCAGAGAGAAAGAGAGTCAGACTGGCACTGATTGTGTGATGTCCTACCTAAGTCTAAGAAGATGCATACAACACACTGGGTCACTCATCATAGTTTACACACATACCTTTTGTGTATACTGGAAGATCTGGGTGGCGCTACTGGTGTCACGGCATGGGAGGATGTCACTGATGTATGATCTCTGGTAGCAACAGGTGCAGCAGCTGTGGCAGTGGTCGTTGTGTGAAGGGCATTGCCAATGGACGCACTCCGAGCGGAGTTGGTGAGACGCTGCGAAGTCGTACCACCGTCGTGGACAGTCAAAGACTGCTTGCTTCTGCTGCTGGTGCTGCTACTGCCAACACTGCTGATGCTGCCCTGCGTAGCGTGTGCGTGTATGTTGGATACAGAGCTGCTACGACGCGACGGCGCCAGTGATGAACTGCGGGGACTGATCACAGGTGGCTGTGTCTCACTGACGACCTGTCTCTCTGATACAACAATAGTGGCGGTGGGAGCAGCAGTGGCACTGGCGGAGGTCTCAGTTGACGCTACCACTGGTCGGTCATTGCTTGTTTCCGGGTTGCACGCTGCTCTCGCCATTGCTCGTTTGCGTGCCTCCGGACGCTGTTCATTTTCCACTGTGAGCGGTCTGCTATTTTTGGAGGTTGTCCTGGGAGGGTAGCTGGGAGCATTGCTGCTTTTCGCTGCTGCCGCTTGGTCGTCATTGCGTGTGGCCAGAGTGGAGTTGGGGATCTGACGATGGCGGCTTATAGGGGTATTGCTGGCATGGCTTTGGGGCAGTGACTTTGTGGCTCTTGGAACGGCTCCGTTTCCGATTTGGGTCTCGGTTTGTTTTCTTGGTCTGCTTGGCACAGGTCTGCTGGTGCTCTCATCTTTGTCTGTCGCCATTGCCGCAGGGCTGTGAGGTATGGGCAGTTTTTCTGGAGGTTCATTTGCTGTGCTTGGCGAGGCATTCGCGGCCCCATACCCATTGATGTTAGAGTAATCAGCGTGTTGTTTCTGTTTCTGCTGCTTCCCGTTGCCCTGCTCTGCCGTGCTTGATTTTGTTTGCGACAGCTCGGCGTTGATGTGTCGTGGATCTTCAACAAGCCGTGCCGTTGCATGCGGGTCGCGTAGAGCTCTAGTGTCATGCCCGGTACGTGAAGCATTGTGCGAAATCTGATGAGCGGAATCGGACGTGAGGGCAGCCTTCTCATGAACTGCGTTGTGCTCCTTTGTGGATGTCAAGTGGCTGGAAACTCTGGTTTGATCCGGTGGAAGATCAGCAGTGGAGTTTGCCGTCACGGCAGTTGTTGCCCCTGTGCTTGTCGATTGCGGTGGTACACTGCCAGCGGATAGAGTGCTACCTTGGCTGTTGAGCGGAGTGATCTGGGGCGACACTGGACTGGACGGATGGCCGCTGTCCACCGATTGGTTAGAGCTGCTCGTAACCATGGGCAGGCCGACACAGACCGTGGTGCGGCGATTCCTCAGACTGTAGACACACAATAGAACGGGGGAAAGCGGACATGAAGAACCAACGCGCCCCTAGGACAACATGTGTTTTGTGAGTGAGTTTGCTTGTGGAAATTGTTTTGAACAGCCAGGTATCTTGCACTGATAAAATTAAATTGTATCAGTGCAAGACAATTTGCATCCGAATGGAATGTGCTTCTTGCAATCTGAAAATAGCCTGGATAGAAATTATAATGGGATAGAAAGTACATTTAAGGACCCTGGATTATGCTATAGAGGTAAGGCTATCTCTAGTCATCAGTTAAGATGCTTTGTATGCAGTAGCAAAGCCGAGGTGTAGTGATGCGTTAGCTCAAGCAAGACTGCCGCCTTATGCTGCTGATACTTAGCTCGCACAACCGAATCTGCCGACTGAGGCTGTATACTTAGCGGCCACTTGTGAATCTGCTAGCTCAGCACCATGACATCATTTTCATAACTTCTACACAAGGCATACATACGGATGCGGCTGATGAGGCCTTTGGCACTTGTGCTAGTGGTTGTGAGACTTGTCCCCTTACAACCACCGTTAGCTTTCATGTGAGCCCTCGGAAGTGGAGACAAAAGGTAATTTTTCTTTGAATTTATCAAGGTGCGCAAGTTCAGCCGCACCCAATTCATAACATCCATAAATCCCACACCATGTTCTCTTCCCTTCAAACTCTCCCAATTTCAATCAACTTTTCGGCCAGGAACCACAATTATCAGGATCGAGGGGAAGAACTGGTGATGTTTAGAACTGTTTCAGTCATTTGTTTTTGTGAACACAGGACATTCATTACAAATGTTATGAAGTACAAAAATGCATGGCCAGCACTGATTGTGTCTTATACTGAACTGTAAAAGAACTACTCTAAGTTTCGGAAAGTTTCGCCCCATTCAAATTTCGACCTCCTAGGGCTAAAACTAGGGGTGAAACGGTTCCATGTTTTTCATGTTCGGGTACCCTAACGCCAGCATAGTTCTTCACGGTTCGGGTACCCTAACGCCAGCATAGTTCTTCACGGTTCGGGTACCCTAACGCCAGCATAGTTCTTCACGGTTCCGGTATCGGTTCCATGTACTCTTTTCTCCAGACCGACAAAATGCGTTCGTGACAATAATGTTTTTGGAAACATGTTTACGAACAAGAACGAGACATCGGAGAGTCCATGTGCGAAGAAGATAATGACCAGGGGAACCCTTTGGTCCTTGGAAGAGCGGTGATCGTAAGGTAAAATATTGAGTAGACTTGACGTATACATGCATTTGTAAGAGAACGAGGTTTTTCGAGTTTCGGTTCGCAATTTGACGGAACGGGTACCCGATTCTTTTCAGCTGGCGGTTCCAAAACCGGTTCCTTCCCCGAACCGTTTCACCCCTAGCTAAAACACATTTCGGCCGCATTACATTTTCGGCCTGTACTGCAGCTGCCTGTATAGACCGTCACACTGAACCTTGCAAAACTAAATTTCGGCTGCAACAAATATTCGGCCAAATACGACCTGTGCGAAAAAAAGTCGAAAATAAATACCAGTGTGTGCCGAATATTTGTTGACTGACAGTAGTCCAGTAGTACCTGCCTACTTCGTCAAAAATCTGCAGTAACTGGAAGACCATGAGTTTCATATCTGGCACAGGAAGATACTCTTTGCCTACGTACCTCTGTGGAGTGTTGGTCATGTTGGGGTTAGTCGAGCGTCTTTGACTACAGCATACATGAATGTTAGGAAAAATACGCACACAATTAGACAATAATTATAAAATGTGGACATACACATACCCAGAAGACTCCATGCATCACATACGCATACACTGTATATGCATTAGTGGGTGTCCATTGTTATTAGGCATATGCCTGTTTTGATTTCCACTATACATAAAGTATACAACAATAACAACAATAACAACAGATGCACAAACACACACCTACACTAAGTCTTACACTTCTACTTACACCCCCCCCCCACACATACACCCCCCCCCACACATACACCCCCCCCCCCCCACACACACACACGCACATACCCCCCCCCCCCACACACACACACGCACATACCCCCCCCCCCCCACACACACACGCACATACCCCCCCCCCCCCACACACGCACATACCCCCCCCCCACACACACACACGCACATACCCCCCCCCCCCCACACACGCGCACATACCCCACACACACACACACACGCACATACCCCCCCCCCACACACACACATACACCCCCCCCCCACACACACACACACGCACATACCCCCCCCCCCCCCACACACATACACCCCCCCCCACAGGCCACACACACACACGCACATACCCCCCACACACACACACACATACACCCCCCCCCCCCCCACACACACACACATACACCCCCCCCCCACACACACACATACACACACACACACACACACACACACACACACACACGCACGCACGCACACGCATACACACACACACACACACACACACACACACACGCGCGCGTGCACACAGCCACAAGTGGCCAACTAAAATGAAACAGAGGAGGAAACAGTAGAGGCAAAGTATAAATGATTGCATAGTTTCAGCTCCAAGCAGTGTACCTAAACAAAGGACTTGGATGAGGACTGATTTGTCCAGGCATTTGTGTGGGTATATCAATGTCCAGATCTGAAACAAGGAAATTGTGTTTGGAGACACACACACACACACACACACACACACACACAGACGCATGCATGAATGCGCACACCCACCCACCCACACAGACAAAGACACAGACATACACAGACACACTCAGACATATACACAGACACAGACACACAGACATATAGGCATGCAAAGATCCACACATATGCACATAATTATGTACCTTATTGGAAGCGGGATAATTTCTACAACCATGATTCAACCAATAGTGAAAGGAAACTAGTGACCTGGCAAAAAAAGACACATCTGGTGAGGGAGAGCTGGTCATGCACTTAGGCCATGGCAAGTCTCACGTATGCCATGGCAAGTCTCACGTATGCCATGGCAAGTCTCACGTATGCCATGGCAAGTCTCACGTATGCCATGGCAAGTCTCACGGATGCCATGGCAAGTCTCACGGATGCCATGGCAAGTCTCACAGCTAAGGTGTACATGTATGTTGTTGCTGCTGCTGCTGCAAGATATGCAAGAGGTAAATTAAGTGATCCAGGACCTCTTCCGCATACACACACATACACAAGTGCACACGTGCACACACACACACACACACTTACACCCCCCCCCCCACACACACACACCCCGTACCCAACCCACGCGTCTTCAACCTAACCTTGAGTGTTTAGTGTTTTCTCTGGCAACATGTCCCTGTGTCGATCACCGCTTTCTCCCAGTCCAACGCCCGTCTGTGTCATTTCCAGGAACATGCTGTGAACACCGTATCGACGAGCACTCTCCAGTTGACTGCCCGTAGGACGCAACATCAAGTCCATCGGCACCTCACCTCCGACCTGCTCCAGGTCATGCCACATCTCCGTCATGCGTCGTGCATGCTGCTCATCCGTATCAGCAGGCGGGCTGGCGGAGAAGTTAGCATGTGTGAAGGGACTGGCAGAGGCGGAGCTAGGTTTGTAGGTTGTGGTGGATGACTCGGCCAGAGCCAGAGCCTCACCGTGGATGCCCGACGTGAACCATGGCCATTTCGGACATCCAGGCGAGGTGCTGAGAGAGAGATCGGACTGTGGTGTGGCTGGCACTGCAGGGTTTATGGCTCCAACACGGCTCTGGCGCCGCATCAGACGATAGAACGACGACGCACTGTCCTGGCGGGAGTGAAGTGAAGTGCCGCTGGGTCGCTTACCCGCACCACTCTGCGTGCCAGCCGTCATTGGCGTCGGTGTACCGGAGCTTGCGCCAGCCGGAGAGAAGCGCTCGTTGTGTCGCACATCCATGGCCGACGAGTGACCGGAGATACCGATCGGCGTCGGGACCTCTTCTTCGGAGCTCCAGGCCGAGCGGCGTATCGGGGTGCGTGCTGTTTGCCGCAGTTGCTCCATCTCCTGTCGCTTTGCCAGCTCATTCTCGCTGGAATCATCCTGCTTCTTGTCAGCCCTGAACACGGAAAGTAGAGAAAATAAACAAAAATATTCGAGGACATTCCTGGCCTAATAGCAGACAAGTACAACACGGATGGTGAGGCAATTAAATTATGGTGAAAAAGGAGACGGACAAAATGTTACGAGTTAAGACTAACTGTCCACCAACGTAACCAGATCTTATACAGTAAGCGAGTGCGACAAAAAGGTTGTTGGTTTGCGCCTTGGAGAAGTGTTGGAGCTAGGTGTCAGGTCGCCGAATGTCTCAGTACTCCTTCTCAGTTTTATGCCATTTCGTCGCACTCGCTGACTGTATAAGATCTGGTTACGTTGATGGACAGTTAGTCATAACTCGTAACATTTTGTCCTTCTCCTTTTTCACCACAAGTAGAACAATTCGTAAAATAGCTGTAAATAAGGCCAATTGTCTGATCATAACAATAACCAATTATTTCGCTCATCTTTCCGGCCAGTAACATTCAATATCATCACTATAATATTATCACGCTATCTGAGGAGATGCAACAACTATCGCACACACCCTCACCAGTGGTCAGGACTGAGCGGCATGGAGCGAGCTCGAGACACTGGTTTACTGTCGAATGAGTCAGAACTGGGCGACTTGCTCTTGCCTCCGTGAACACTCTTTCGAAACGCCCTGCAAACAGTACAACAGATAGTCCCATGGTAGCATTTTATCGAATGATCTAAAAAGTACGAATTAGGCCATGGTAAAAAATATCTTTGATTCTCAAGTACCCGCGCACCGATTTTTGGCGGCGCACCGACGATTTTTTTATTTCTATGCATGCATATTCGCGCATGAAAACGATCAATGCGAAAGGCGTGAATCAGGGAGTAGTAAAATAACTAGGGGTCAAACGGGTGTACCTTTAGCTAACGAACGGGTAATTTTCTTAACGGGCGGGTGAACGGGTACCCTTTAGCAGCCATATTATTTTTTTGCGCATTTCTCACATAAATAATGATTCTAATTTGTATATTCTCAGGTTGTATTTTGATACTACATTATGATTCGCAATTGATTCGTGTATCATAATATTATTATGGCAATGAAGGTTCCAAATGAATGTCATCCGTGCATTTGCCCATGTACATAACTTCACAGGCAGTAACTTACAATCGTACATGTATTTTGATACACTACGCAAATCAACTGCAGATCGATGTGATTCAAGCCATGCAAGGACAGAGTGGTTTAGCAAAACTTCCGTGATCTCGCGCAATCCTATTTGCTATGTTCGCAGAGAACTGGTACTCGTTGCATTCAGAAGATGTTCGCGCCCATAGCTAGCTGGGGTGCCTGACACAGCTGATGTGCTGCTGGCCAGCTAGCTGCTAGTGCTAGCTTGTTGAACTCGTGAAATGAATCTTCACAAATCCGTAATCTTGTATGCAATATTTCGAACTACTTTTCAGCTCGTCGATTAAAGGAACAAACTACAACCATGAGTATCATACATGTAGCTACCACCTACGGACATCACCGTTTGTGACACTCCGACTGGTCACTCAGCCTGGTGACACTAGTTCATCAAGTACTGTGGCGGGTTCGATGTCGGAGAACCATCATAACTTTCTAGTTACTCAGCTGCCACCTCGAACGAGTTTCAAGTCTTTCATTTTCTCACATCACAATCAAAAACCTCCAGTACGAGGATTTTTACTTTCACTAGAGTGGAGAGAACAACTGTCAAGTCTGTCTTTCAGCCTGCTCCTGCCTGATAAAGTCGAAAGCGGGAATGCACAGGAAAAAGGAAAAGAGTATCCGCACTCCTATTTTGAGTCTTGGAATACGATAGGATCACCTTTTTTTTTTTTTTTTTTTTTTTTTTTTTTACAAACGGGGGGGGTACCCTTTTACTAACGGTACCTGAGATTAACGGGCGAGTACCCGGGTACCCGGTACACCCGTTTGACCCCTAAAAATAACGGTATTTTTCTACTCCCTGGCCTGAATATATGAACATGTGACCATGTACCTATGTGTGACCCTATCTTTGGAGCAAAAATTGGGGGAAATAAAATAAAAAATTGCTCGCTTGCACCGATTTTCACAGGCTCATGACATGAGAATCAACTTTATTTTTTTTACCATGGCCTTATTGGTAGAGAATATTCACTGGTTTGGTTATTGGTAAAAACTTTGGCTACATTAGTCACAAAGTTGTTTGGTCATAGCCTTTGACCTAGCGTTTTCCAAACAGGCTAGTTCCCTGGCGATAATGCATCTCGGTGTGGCTCGAGGGACACAACATTCCCGTCACAATAGTACTGACGTCATCTTCCAGGGCACAATTGGTGCTAACTTTGCTGGTAAAAGAGGGTACACTTTGCACCAAGGAGTAATTGATATTTTGTACAGTACTTCAAACTGCATCTCTTGGCAAGTGGAGATATACAGTGGAGATATACAGTGGAGATATACAGTGGAGATATACAGTGGAGATATACAGTGGAGATATACAGTGGAGATATACAGTGGAGATAGGATACAACCACCTTGCATATAACGACAGAGTGAGTTTAGCAAAACAATTCTGTTGCCCAAGTCGTTTAGTAAGTCCTTTGCGAACATCTGATTGAATATAGTGACATTTTGTTCTCTCCCGAAGGAGTGTCGTTATATCCAATCTCCACTGCACCCCTATTGCCCAACGAAATAAAAAAGCAACAAAATAACAAAAACAAAAAAAGGGGTAGCAAGCTCGTTTTCAACTATGCGGAGGGTCAAGTCCTCCTTACGCAGTACAACCAGCCAGGAAAGGCTCAATCACCTGATGTTTCTGAATGTCCACAAGAAACTGCTGGACGGCTAGTGCCTGAAGAGTACCGCACGGGAATTTATACCTGCACTTAGGAGTATACTAGTATAACGTCAAGTCTTTCATGATACCACAGTACTGCAGGTTGCCAAATATTACTGACTACAGCTAATGACCAAAACTTTAGAAGTCTAACATATACTGTATATAGCCTGCACACGTATAAGAAACGATTGACCTACGCATGTAGTTCTGAAGTAGGGGCAGCCAACACAATCAGAACACTTCAACTACCTACGTGAAATTCGTCCATTTGTTGCTGCCACGGCGGATGGGCCTGAGAGCAGATTCGCGCGGCGAAAGAGGCGCGTCTGCCCCTCCGTTCTCGTCACTCTTGCCTCTCGGCCACCGATGTGATGAGCGTGGAAACTCAAGTTCTGTGCAACGCAGAGCAGCAGAGTGCAATCCAGCAACAGATAAATCCCCTCGCAGCATTTCGGCACCCCATCCCTATATCCCCCATTTGTCTTGTTTCATGTTGGTCTCCACGTGCTTCCCAGCAGGGCTGTACTTATTTTTTTAACAGATTTCGAGTAACCACCTGGCAGCGGTATATTTAATGTCTGGTCCACCTGTCAGGGAAGCATGATCAGCTTGCAGCAGATATTTTGTAAATGCAGGTTTTCAAAACGGACTTGCATTCTCTTGCTAAGGCCGAGTCCCAGAAGCCAGTAGGCATTCCTATTGAAGTTAGTGTGCATTGTAGTTCATTCTCCATAGGGTCAGTCTGATGCGCCTCCTTTGCACGCCTGACCCAAGCAGCCTCCTCTGCACGCCTGACCCAAGCAGCCTCCTTTGCACGCCTGACCCAAGCAGCCTCCTCTACATGCCTGTCATATAGAAGAATTATTATGGGGCCACCATCGATTTTCTGGAATCACCTGGTGCGTTCAGCTGACAGATGGGCAACATGCCTTGCTCTATACACCGTGCTGGTTTTGGAAAGACACACAGCCTCATTCTCTAGGGGATATCTACATCTGTTTTGTCTCAACGTCCAGCAAAAGAGAACGTGTGGACAGAAGCATAACTGCTTGGTTGACGTTGCCGCAGGAATGCATATAACAATACACGAGATATCCTCAGAAATATGCTTAGCAAACAGCCGATAACACCACAGCAAAGTGAACCTGTTACACACTGCCAATATGACACCACACCACTTCGCTCACCTGGTGGAAGACTACAATGGGAACGCCTGGACGGTGCCCTGGGCAGTATCACGCACACAGATACACACGACGTGTCGAATCAATGAAGGGCACCGGTGAAACAAATCTCCGATGCAGAACTATATAAAACATACCTTCCATGAGTACGTACACAAAAGACAAAAAAACGTTCTCTCCGCAGATTGAGCATAACATACCTTCTTATCAGTATGATAAAATACAGCAATAATTTGGAGTAGCTCGGATATGGGTTCAATGAACTAGAATGCAAAAAGGGGCACAAACACAGGAAACTAGATGCTGTTTCCGCGGCTCAGCTCGTGCTGTCTGATGGTAGCTCAGCGTGCGAAAGTGAACGTCACAGTAATACCACCCTCATTTCTTCAAGCACTATTACATGCTTTTCCAGGCTTCTGCTTCAGTTCTCAATTCTATCTGATATGTCGGGATTTTTTAGGCACAGAGCACCAAATTCTTGTCTTACCGTTCAAACGTGGGCTCTGCTCTCTTGTGAGCCATGTTTTGTTGTTTTACTTGATGGTTGGTACGCGGTACGTGAATCATACTGCTCGTGTTCTTGTTACGAAGTAGACCACCGGACGTTGTAACCACGCTCTTCTCTGGTGCAATGGCGTATCGACTGGGTACAAAGATGCAAAAAGCAACACAAACACAAACACATAAATTAAATTAAATTTCACGGTTCGCGTGAGACTCGGCTGGAAGCCGAGTTTTCCGCATCCGCCGTGGGAATGCCACCACCCTCTAGGATCAAGGCGCAGATGCAGCGCCTAAACGGTGGGAGGTTAGTAGATCAGACCCACCACCAAGTGGTGAAAGACCGAAATCCCATTAGCTGCATCCATGTTACCCTCGTGCCAGGCCACGAGTTCCCAATTAACTGTGGGTCGCAACACATACACATACATAATTAGGAATTCAAGGTACATAGATACACATGCACACACACATACTACATGTATGCCTGGGAACACAGATAATTGCAGGTATAGAGGGTCAAGCATGACAATCATATTGAAAAGAATATACAAGTAGTTCAATTGCAGAGGGAATGAATACCATGCAAAACACAATGAACTCTAGCCACTCTAACCCAGAGTGTCCACGGGCTTTCAACCATACACATAAGCCAGTCAGTGGGAATTTGGGATTGAAATCTTACCGGAAGAAGCAGTGCTGTTCCACGCAGCATTTCCACAGCTCCTTGCATGCCGCATCGGACGGAGCCAGGAACTTGTATCGCAGCACGTCCATGCTGTCAAACTGCAGCGATAACACCAACAAAAACAACATGTGGTACGAGGCGAATACTTAAACGGTCCAGGTATTCTAAATTTCTCAATCTTCAACTTCTCATGCAACGACGCAAGTCCATGCAATCAAGAAGACGCCTCCTTTCATCTATCCAGGTGTTCTTTCCCTTCTGTTCAGGATAGTACAGGGATTCATGGAAATTTCGAAAGACACATAAAGTTTGAAAAGGAAAGAGAGAAAGAATGAAAGAGATTATTGCGATTCTAAAAGTGTCGTCTCCTCGCCGTTTGTTCAAAGAGACAACGCTTCAATATAGGTGAAAACTGCTTCTTATCCTATTCTAAATTCGCTATAATACCTCTCTCACTCCACCAGCAGGGTCCACGGATGTGTCTTGGGGCTCTAAGCATAATCTGCACATGCCCAATGCTCGGCGCTGTGTGTTTTCTCACCTTTGCATCACCAACTGTGATCTGTAGTGTAAAATAGATACGTTTGAACTGAATTTTCTTGATCTTTGGCCTACAGTAATTGCAAGCACAATATACAATACAGAAAAAACATCAACAGACATGGAATGGACATAGGGAAAAGGGCAACATGGTACACTTATCAGCATGCATAATCCATAGTCTATTTTCGTTAATGTCTGAAATTGTTGTAGCTATATTTCATGCATGAAAATCTCAATGCATCTTATACCTGTCCGGGACCGTGTGTGTGGGGTGGAGGTGTGTGTGTGTGGGGGGGGGGGGGGGGGGGGATGATACTGAAGATAGAGATCATGTTGATCTGCTGATCTTGACCTGGACACTGCGTAGTAGATGAGAGTGGAGAAGAGAAGACCTAGTCTCAGTGATCACCTACAGACCAACACCATCAGACATCACGGTCTCAGTGATCACCAACAGACCAAGACCATCAGACATCACGGTCTCAGGGATCACCTACAGACCAACACCATCAGACATCACGGTCTTTGCATGCAGACTACGGTTTCTTTGATAGCATATTTATTGATCTCGCACACCGGGCACATTCGGTGCAAAGGGGACATGGTCTCATGGACACAAGGCTTCCACTGCACCGTACGCACGGCCTAAAAGTACTAGTAAAGTCAGACCTCGCTTATCCGGATCCATCGCCATCCGGAAGAAAATCATTGGTTACCGATTTACAGCATATGTCATGCATACATACAGTATGCGTGTTCGATTATCCGGTTCCCTCGCCTATCCGGATATTTTTGTGGAAAGTGGATGTGTGCAGTTTTAAAGCGAGGTCTGACTGTATTCAAATTGCTCGAATATGCCTGGCTGTGGCACCACAGTTCTACCTACCACTGGTAGAAGCCCACACGGGTAGCATCCTGGAAGATTGCCAAGCCAGAGTGACCAACAGCTACTTGGAGATCTGTGCCAGCCAAACCCTGCAAGGTGACATGCAGAAGCAACAGCATTTGCAAGCCGGAGTTGCGGCTATTGTAAGGTATGTGGGTGTCTCCATTAATGTTCACTGCGAGCAAGACTGTGGATGAGAAACGGCAAATGCAACTAGAGACGTGCAACACACGTACATGTACATTTGAGAAGAAATCATCAAAACACAAACACACACGTGCTCCAATGATTTACGGAGACTCCCCCGATTCAGGCCAAGGCCTGTGGAGAATCTATAATACAAATACAAGTACAGATACGAAATAGTGGTTGCGACTTCGGCAATGATTTTTTAGGAATGGGTTTGCTCCCACACTGGAGCTCGCCCTATTCCGCCGACTTGACTTGCCACTTGACTGACTCACGACTGCCATCCAGAGCACACGAGAAGGTTCGATGGGCTTCTCGTGTTCTCTGGATGGCAGTCGTGAGTCAGTCAAGTGTCAAGTCAAGTCGGCGGAATAGGGCGAGCTCCAGTGTAGGAAGCAAACCCATTCCTAAAAAAGGTACAGACATACAAATACAGATACAATGCACATAAGCATAAGTCTCACCTTGACCGGGTGAAGGTCCACTCCGTAAAGTGGCAGTAGATGTGCACGCTCCAAGAAGGCAGTCTCCGCTTGCGAGGGAACCATGCCACTGGAAGACCAAGAGACAAACACACACAAACAAGCAACGTTCCTTGATATCATTTCAACTTCAGTACGTGCAAACGAAAATCTGGTGGAACAGAATTATCTGAACTTAGAGTTTGATGCTCAAAAGCAATGACCGGGAAGCCATAGACAAGGCTCTTCTCTCAACTACTCCGACAATTCAGTTGGTGAATAATTCTACCCAACTATGAAAACATGCTGTTCAATATGATCATCCAAAACCAATTGAAAGGCTGGGGAGATGGCCAGATTTCAAAAGAAAAGGACCAAATTACATTCCAGAAAGATATTCAGGTTAGACATGAGTATAAGTTGGGGTGCTCTGATTCAGGTGATTGTGCAAGTGTGAAACTCAAGAGTTGTGACAATCGCTCCCTTCTAAGTGCTACAGGCACAACAGTCTGCTGTTACACTGTGAGAATACGGGGAGAAAACGAAACATTTGACAAACTAGAAATTGAACAATAATGATGCGAGTGACCCCGTGACGCAAGGAAGGCAAGCCCAGACATGCCATGCACCAGCGGGGTTATATCCGGGTTGTACAATGGGGTGTGCATATCTTGGGTACAAGGATGTTGCAGCATGTTAGTGATGGTAGCAATGAACGTTGGTCAACATTATTGAAACACTTACGCCAGTTGTCGATGGTATTCCGCTACTTCCTGCTCCAGTTCCGGAGTCTAATGCCATAACAAGAACACACACATGCAAACACCCATATGCATACCAGCACGTTGCACGTCCGGGCAATGAACGGTTTCCTCTAAATTTGGCAAATGCGCTGCTGAAAAAGCATGTAAAATTCATGCGTGTCTGAAAGTACACAGTAATAATAATAATAATAATAATAATAATAATAATAATAATAATAATAATAATAATAATAATAATAATAATAATAATAATAATAATAATAATAATAATAATAATAATAATAATAATAATAATAATAATAATAATAATAATAATAATAATAATAATAATAATAATAATAATAATAATAATAATAATAATAATAATAATAATAATAATAATAATAATAATAATAATAATAATAATAATAATAATAATAATAATAATAATAATAATAATAATAATAATAACCAGTCAATAATAATAATAATAATAATAATAATAATAATAATAATAATACCACAGCACGCGTACAAAGGCCAAAGAACAATGCATGAGAATACACTGAAATTAAGCCAAGTCCGCTTCTGTCTCCAGTCAACAAAAACTCATCCATAAACAATGTCTGATCTGCATTTCGACTTGTCTGCAGCAAATGCTCGTGCTCCTTCTAGGTCGCTGGCATTCTTCAAAGGGATGTCGAGCTGTACAGCTCGCTTGTCACGTTGCCTGTCGTCCTTTACACAGTAATTGTCCCCGTTAATATAAAACTAATGTCTGTTTGATCACCGTGTGGTTGTACTACAGTCAGACCTCGCATAACCGCACACTGCATCCGTTTTCCACAAAAACATCCGGATAGGCGAGGGAACCGGATAATCGAACACACATACTGTATGTGTACATGGCATATGCTGTAAATCGGTAACCAACGATTTTCTTCCGGATGGCGAGGGATCCGGATAAAGGAGGACCGGATAAGCGAGGTCTGACTGTACGAGTATTAACTCAAAGTAGATCTGATCTGCATGCTGTAGACCAGTGGTGTACCGGTGTCCTTGTGTACTGGTATGTGTGTGTCATGTACAATGATGTACAAAATGTCACGTCAGTAGCCTACTTGCTCTGTTTTCCTAATGTACCTGTATATTCATGTATAAGGATGGCAATAAACAGAATCAGCTGAAGCGTCATTTCACGAAGGTCTTATTGAGATGTCGCGAACAAATTCTAGAGAAAGTGATGATGGACACAGAAATAACTGTGATGGAAATGTAATGTGAAGAACAATAACAGGAACGATGAAAAATATAAAAAGCATTGTGTGTATATTCATGTACATACCAGGGGCGTAGCAGCCGCTCCGGCCGGTCCGGCTTTGGCAGGACCACTGTTTCGCCCGACCACGACCACCATAGTAAAACAATGCCAAAAGTGCCCAGAATGCAGAATTTTGCACCCTAATTTCAAAAACGAAGTGATTGCGGTTCTGCACAAGCGATGGTTTTTCGATGACATTGGAAGGATCGTGGTATGCTGCTGCCTCCGTCAAGTCAGGACAATGCTCAGGTGATTCAAGAGCAGTTCTCACAGTCAAGTAGTTCTGAATTTCCAAAAGTAGAAATGAACGCGAGAAAGCGATAATTTCGGAATTCTTGGCTCTCAACATACCCATGAGTGGTATATTCTTCACAAGAAGTTGAAGCGTTTTCCAGCACTCACAGTGGTTGGGTACCAGATTAAAATTGTTGTAGTGTCCTTTAGGGACATTTTAACTGCTTTGTCTGTTCACTAAGACTTTCAGTGGATCAAAGCGTGCATATCACAACTTTGAACCTCGGTCGTCGTAATGTTAACTTCACCTCTTCCCCACCCCCACTCCATCCACCCTCTCTAGAGATCTCTGGATCTGGCCTTCCCAGCAAAAAGCGCACCCTCCAAGACACCCCCCCCCCCCCCCCCCACACACACACACACAACCACACACCCCAACGCACCTGATATTCTTCAGGCAAGAATAGAAATTCAGACACGTAGCCGTCCTCAAACTCCTCCTCATTGTAATCTCCAAGTTCAGCTGTGATTAGACAATATTGTAGACACCCAGGAAACAGGAAAGAAGGAAGTTTGAGAAGGTGAGAGAGAGGAAATAAATTACAAGTGAAAACAGAGACGAAGAATGGGCGGAAAACACAGGGGAGCAACAAAAGTATATCTTCAGTCCTTTTAAATCTTTGTAGGGAATGTGAAAGCAGTAATAAGGAATGAGTCTTCCGCAGTAAAACAGTTTAGCAAGGCTAGTTCGTTGCCATTCAGTAAAACAGTGGAGTAAGACTGGTTTGTCTCAACTCAGGAGAATTGCAGATGCGAAGCAGCCTTTGCTCGACTGTTGTGCTGTGTACGACGCTCTGCTTTCACGCCGTGACGGCATCCAGGCACTCTCAGTACACAGAGTGCATATTCCTGTGAATAGGGTTTGGAAGTGCACGTCACAACCAGTCTGGAGTCATGACAACACTGACTTTGATCCACTTGAATCCCCCCCCCCCCTCCCCCACCCCATGCTTTGGACCAAACTGCATGGCACTACCAGTCGTGAGTGGAATTCCTTTACATCACTTGCACGCGTGCGCACACGCACGCACGCACCCACACACACATACACACGCACGCACACACACACACACACACATACACACACAACTAACAACCATACTTACATTGAACAGCACACGCAAAGAGATGCACTGCCGTGTCGTGCGACACTAGAATACTGCAGAAACCAAAATGGGAGAACAGCTGGAGTACTTAGCTATGGATAAACAATTGTCAATAGACAACGGCAGAATAGTAGGGGTCAGCTCAAAGACCTTCCCTGATAGAAGCCAATACATTCTGCTTGTGATTCCGGCTCCTTCATCATCGGAACGTAAATGGTATGCGCGCACTGCTCCATACATGAGAAGTACAAGTACCCAATCCCATATACTTTCTGGTGAATGCCCATTGCGTGACACGTTGAATAAGGTTTCATCGAAACAGCCTCTTGTCTCCTGTATCTGTGTGTACCGCTCTGCACCCTGGCGCATAGAATAGACCTATGGCATGAGCTGGCCAGACTGGTCGGCCTGTTTGAGTTCCATATCTAGATGAATTGCATTTTCAACATGCTTGCGGCGTTATCAGCAACGTATCCGTAGGAACGCCACCACCATTCAAGGATCAATGTACGCTGAAAATTGTCCCATAAATTTTTTTATTCAGCAGTTACTCACCGACCATAGAGGATGTCTCTCTTTAGTTGCAGGAAGTACTGGTATCTGCAGGCAGAACGAGTATGATTGTACCGAGTCTCAAACATGAGCAACCAGGATAAATCCTAGACCCTCATCTATATCCTGGTTTTTACTCTGGTTGAGCCCTGGTTTTGCACTGGTTTAGGCCTGGTTACTCACAGCTTAGCCCATCTTTAGACCAAGTGTTGTCCCGTTTAGTCTTTGGTGAGCTCAGGTTTAATTAATCCTGGTTCAGATCTGGTTCAGTTCGGGTTTTCTTCGGGTTTAGTCTGGTTTTACACCTGGATAATTCCAAGTTTAGCCCGGGTTTAGTCCGGATTAGTCCTGGTTAGTTTTGGTTCAGCCTGCTTTTGCCCTGATTTAGTAGTGGCTTAGTGAATTTTGCATGTATCATGTTGTATTACCCGCAGTCAGTCAGTATTGTGCAGAACATCGTGTGTACAAAGTGTTCTGCTCAAAACGTCACTTGCAGGGCAATTTACTCCAAGTGCGAAAAATAGAAGCAAAGGTGAGCAGGTGTCAACAGGCACTGCCTTTTCAATGTTGGATCCACATTTGAATGCCTAATGCATTCAAATCTGGATCCAAGATTGAAAATGCAGTGCCCATTGCAGAGCACACCAACCATCATCGTATCCTTTGATTCTCACTGCCGTCAAATTTGACTTTCGTTAGTCATATACATGTTCATTTCATCATATCGTGAGAGCCGTGGGCCAATAGCCCCGGTGAGAAGGCAGTCTTGCCTGTTCATATGGTGAAGTAAAATAAAGAAACAACAACAACAACAACATACATGGCATTAGATGAACCTTGTATTGTAGAAACACGTTTTAGTCTGACAGCATATTATTACAAGGCGGTGGAACACCGTGTTCGGAAACAACTCCCCCTAGTAACTCCCCTAGTATAATGAGGGTCAGAACCGGGTCTAGCACCCATGTGGTTCAGATGGTGGCAAGACTGGGGCTCTGCCAACCGCGGACGGTTGTAGTGAGGGACACTGTTTCCGAACACAGTGTTCCACCACCTTGTAATATGCTGTCAAACTAAAATGTACATACATGTACATGTAGGTGAAATATCACCATGTCATGAGTATCTCTCACACTTCAGCTTTATTCAAAGTCATTAGACATGCTAGTGGATTTTTTATTTTTTTTAAGTACTAGTAATGTTTATGTTAGAAAAGAAGAATCCACGGGTAAGATTCCAAACCAGCACCCTGTCTTTTCAGGACGGTGGCCTACCAACAATCTGCCAGGGGTGACACACGCACACACTCGCGGCCCCCTTCCTTCTACATTGTTACCCTCCGTAACAGCCTGCGTACTCACGCAGTACCGACCGTATTTTCTCTAATAAAAGCCCAGGTCTCCAATAATAACCCAGTCTCCAATAATGACCCGGGGCGAGGGTGGTTTGAAATAACAAGAGCACAGTCTCTAATAGTTGCGCGGGTCACAATTGGAGTATGCAACAAGTGCATATAAACCAGCAGTACAACATGCCAAGAACACATTTGTAAGGAGGTTTTCGGTCTACTGCTTCCTTCCTGGCGCCAATGCTATTGTGAAACATCTGTTTTGACAATATTCCTGAGTTTAAGGTTGAAAAATCAGTCTTGATATGGTCAGTTTATGCCTGTATAGATTGGAGTTGGCTTGATAGTTGATAATTGAAAAATAAGAGCCCAGTCTCCAATAATAGCCCAGTCTCTAATACTGTAGAGCGGGTAGAGCTGTCACTGAAAAAATAAGAACCCTGGGCTCTTATTAGAGAAAATACGGGCTCTTATTAGAGAAAATACGGTAACTTCTCATCGGGGTACCATGTTCTGGGTGTGAGCCAGTGCCAGGTGCCACTGTTGCAAAAGAAGGACACACAGACTGGATCTGACCCCCTCCCCCCCCCCCCCCCCCCGCCTTTCTAGGGCCATTATATTCATTAGGCTACCAGGAATCACGTGCAGGCAGCCCCCCCCCCCCACACACAAACACACGTGGAGCCTTCTCTAACAAAATCCTGGTTCATAGACGATAGTGCTACCCAGGATTACATGCTGTGTACCTGGTGATTTCCTCAGTAAGTGTTGTAGGTTCCTGAATGTAGTACTTGACACACAGATAACAGACTGGATTCGGCGAGACTGCAGAAACGAGAAATTACCATCAGCATGATCATCAGTGCATCACTATGATCACCACAGAAAACACACCCATGACATCACTTTCTATCTGAAATGAAGTCATAGTAGGCAGCAATGACATAACGAGAGGCATGGATGACATCATGTCGTAGTGAATGAAAGGACCTGACTATTGTCCTCACATCACATGCTTACTTGAACGGTACACCATGCATGCCGAGACGACCACGGGGGGGGGGGAGGCTTGTGATGGTGAGACAAGCTCTTGTTCATGTACATTATCAAGATCTCTATTCTACAATGGTGAATAAAATGTCTAAACTCCAGGGTATCAATATGCAGTTTCTTTAATAGTGCAGGCTTTGCCTTACCTTTGATCTGCTTCATGATCCGCTCATTCAGCTCCAACCAGTACTACAGCATCAGCGAGGAAAAAAGAGATTGAAAAATGTTTGGGTGTTAGGTGACTCTTCACTGGAGATAATTCAAGTGCACAATAGAGAGGTTCTGCAAAACGAAAATGCGTACAAACTTTCGCTCAACGTCATGAAGTGAGAAGCTTCGCACGAACTTTTGCAACTTTGGACGAGAAACTTGCAGGGCACGCGAAATGAACTTTCGTGGGAAGCTTCGTGAGATCGGGTCATGCCGTACGTGCACTTGGCGCCTGCAAACCACGAAAATGTGCAGAACACAAAGATCGTGCGAAAATTCATACATATTTTCGCAAGGCCTGTCGCGAAACTTCGTTCGAATTTTCCTTTGCAGAACCTCTCTACTAGTAATATGGCAAGTGAACACCCCCCCCCCCCCCCCCCCCCCCACACACACACACACCCATGCGTATGCAGACACCCCCACACACCCATGCCAACATACCAACACAAGCACATACGCACACAATCTCTCCCCTAGCCACCCCCCCCCCCCCCCCCCCCCCAGGGAGTCACAGGGCAGTGGGAAGAGGTACGGCTGGGGTCCGGTAGTGTCACCCGGGGGAAAAAACGGATTTTTGTCCAACAGGGCCTGTTTTAAAGGGGAAGTCCGGTGAAAAATTTAAATTTCACAGTCCGTAGAGTTCGGGGCGCTGAGTCGAATGGTCTCTGTCCGAGGAGGCTGCGGCTTATGGTTCGTCAGATACGCCCAATCGAACATGTGCGAATTTGAGCGCGCATCACCCAGATCCAGGTGATGACGTCACAGCGTGCAGCCAAGTAGCCACACCATCTAGTTGTGTACAAAAATGGCCATATTCGGAGCGCGTTCGATTGGGGAACCGTTTATCGCAGCTTCTTCGGACCAAGACCATTCGATTCAGTGTTACAAACACTACGTACCCTGTGATTTTCAGCTCGGTAAACCTGGAGGTTATCATGTGACCGTATTTTAGCCGTTTCCGAGTTGGACTTTTCCGTTAGCCCGTCTACATGGTCTATGCGCCCTGCGCTGCGTGCGTGCAGTGCCTGCAGTGTGTTATCTAGCTGTAGTGCAGTCAACAAACTCATGTCACAACTGACACAAGACTCAGAAAATTAGTCAACACACGGACTTGTCATGACTACACTCGTATCAGTCGTATTGTACAGTCATGTAGTCAGAGAACGTGCGTTTCTCCTTGCCGGTACTGGTGGTTGTGCTTTGAGAAAGGAAATTTTAGTTTTCCGCACCCGCCTCATTATTTTATGCTACAGCGATGAGTGCACAACCGTGACAAGTGACAAAACAGCGAACAGCTCTGGACCTAGAACTTTCAGATTCCATAGCGTTGCGAGCGAAGAGTCGTGCCTGTGGTTCAAAGAGCCTGCACTGTTCTCCAATTGAGTAGTCCGAAATATTCCAAGTTCGCACCAAAACATCACCATGTGGCAGGCTACTGGAGTCTAAGCGAATCTAATCGGTATGGAACAACATTTAGAGCACTCGCATTACTCTTCTCCATTTTGGCGACCCTGCTCTCCAGCGATCTGATAATTACATCAGCCTCGTCTGCAATAGCTGCTGCTTCTTCATCAGTCGGAAACTCAGTAGCGCTCACTCTTGACCGGCCCGCGCGGCCATTTCTTCAGCTGACTACCGAGGTTCTCAGCCCCAGACCGAACTCATGAAGGTCAGCCATGGCTACATCCTCACTCTCACAAGGAGTTACATGTCTTCGGGGTCGCTTGCACCACCTAATATCAGTCGCCAAATCATCTGAAATAGCACTGACACTATTGCTTTCACGCACTCCTTTTGACCTAGCTGCACGCTATGACGTTGCAGAGGGTGTGGCGCGGCCGCATGACGTCATGGCGCAGCCCCCGAAACTCAGTTTTTCAAACGGAAATATCTCGAGAACGCTTTGTCGGAGACACGTGGGACCAACACCATTCGACTCAGCGGCCGAAACTCTACCGACCCTGAAATTTAAATTTTTCACCGGACTTCCCCTTTAATGCTCTACAGGCGTTCTGGGCGGACTATCCTGGACGGAAAGTGGTACGCGACCATGGTCGTACTGTCCATACGGTGTGTGACGCCTCTGCCCCCTCTTCCTTCCTTTCTCTCTCTCTCTCTCTCTCTCTCTCTCTCTCTCTCTCTCTCTCTCTCTCTCTCTCTCTCTCTCTCTCTCTCTCTCTCTCTCTCTCTCTCTCTCTCTCTCTCTCTCTCTCTCTCTCTCTCTCTCTCTCTCTCTCTCTCTCTCTCTCTCTCTCTCTCTCTCTCTCTCTCTCTCTCTCTCTCTCTCTCTCTCTCTCTCTCTCTCTCTCTCTCTCTCTATCCATCTATCTACCGTAATTCCGCGCATATAAGCCCACGGGCCTATATCCGGATATAAGCCCACCTCCGTTTATAAGCCCATGGGCTAATAAACAGACACAAATGCAACTCACGTGTCAAGTAGAATTTATCACAGTACAGACTCTTCCTACCATGGTACAGCAGTTCAGTGCAGTTTACCAGTAGAGTATGGTAGGCCCACTATAAGCATGGACTTGTACTTTTTCGTGAACCTTCAAAATTCGAATATTGGCCCATGGGCTAAAAAACGAACATGTTTTACTGGATATTTTATCCCCAAACTGCATTATTTCACATATAAGCCTTATATGCGCGGAATTACGGTATTTATCTATCTCTGGTACGCGTGCTAACACGCACATGTATGCACGCACACTTATACACACATGCACGAACGCACGCACACACGCATGCATGCATTCCCGCCTGCACACACCTCAGACCTCAGACCTGCCCATCGCGGAAGCGATGATAGCGAACAGCTATGTTAGACATAGCAACATGTGCTGGGATTACACCATTCAACAGCTTGCAAGGCTGATGAATTGACCGCCACTAATTTTAGCCTGGTATCCACCACACAGCTGATTGAAGTGGCTTTTTCTGGCCAGTGAATCCCTATTTTTCATTTATTTTTATTTTTTTCACACACACCACACCACATACTCCGGCATATATGGCTGTTGGTAACCACCCAGGAGAATGAAAGAAGAGCTAGGAGAATGAGAAAGAGAAGAAAGACGAGTGCGACCATAATCGTCGGGAATTAAACCCGCAACCTCTCGATTGGAAATCGACTGTACATACCACTGCACCATATGGGACACACACACACCTCAGACCTCAGACATGCCCATCGCGGAAGCGATGATAGCGAACAGCTATGTTAGACATAGCAACTTGTGCTGGGATTACACCATTCAACAGCTTGCAAGGCTGATGAATTGACCACCACTATTTTTAGCCTGCTATCCACCACACAGCTGTTTGAAGTGACTTTTTCTGGCCAGTGAATCCCTATTTTTCATTTCAATTTTTTCCATACACACACACACACACACACATCCAACATATTACCAATTGCTCTTGGCTGTCCTGATATCGGAGACCGAAGTAGTCACGTTCCCACAGATTGACATTCTCACAAACCAGATCAAACAGCTCTTGACCGTGCATTTTGCGCTGAACATTGACACACAAAGGCAAAAGATAGAGGAAAGATAGAGGAAAGCAGAGTCTTATAGTGATTGTGAGAACTGAGAACAGGAGAGAATTCACGACCAGATGCAGCACTACAAAAACACAGATTTGCCACACTCAATGTCTTCTTTTCCAAGGACATTATGCAGTAGAGGAGAAATCGTGTTCTGTAAACTTTCACGCAAAATTTTAGTTTTCATTAATTTGCGATGGCTCAGAATGAGAAACTTTCGCGACTTGATCTCTTTGGTTGGATCATGCATTGCCCAAAAATCAATGTACCGAGCAGTTTGTGGCATATATATATATACCGTATTTTACCGGTTGTAAGTCGACCCCGGTTATAAGTCGACCCCCCTATCTGGAGGTCTCAATTCTGCGTTTTAAAGTTTTCACCCAAAGAAGCACTACTAACCACTCCCTGCTACTAACACATCAACAAATCATGTAAACATTCCTTATTGGAGGATATAACGTCCCAATCCTTGAAAAAGGCCAATAAACTGGCAGAATGTATAAACATGGTGCACCCGTGCATGCAGTGCAGGTCATTTTTTGTAAGATACTGATAGTTCGAAGTAGTGGTTGCGACTTCGGCGATGATTTGTAAGAAAGGTTTGCTCCCCACACCGGAGCTCGCGCTATTCCGCCGACTTTACTTGACACTTGACTGACTCACGACTGCCATCCAGAGCACACGAGAAGTCCATGTGTGCTCTGGATGGCAGTCGTGAGTCAGTCAAGTGTCAAGTAAAGTCGGCGGAATAGCGCGAGCTCCGGTGTGGGGAGCAAACCTTTCTTACAAATCATCGCCGAAGTCGCAACCACTACTTCGTACTGTTGTGCCCAGCGCGGGCTTGCGACTAGTTGGTTTGGAGGTGACAGCGTTGCGAATGACCGAGGGTCCTCGACGTCTGTCTCACCGTCCAGGAGCGACACTGACTCACGCTGCTATCTGGTGTTCACGAGGTGTTTGTCGCGCTGGAAGCGGAGCGTCTCTGTAAGTTTGTATCCCTGGTGATGTTTGTGCCTGGAGAGCACCATATAAGTGGTGCTCTTCAGGCACAATCTTCCTCAGCCTACTCAAGCTCAACTGATGAGGGGTGAATTCCCCGAAACACTGTGTATTGAGCAGGGAGTGGTGCTTTCTTGCAGGTTTGCCGAGTCGAAGGTTCGATGGACTTCTCGTGTGCTCTGGATGGCAGTCGTGAGTCAGTCAAGTGTCAAGTAAAGTCGGCGGAATAGCGCGAGCTCCGGTGTGGGGAGCAAACCTTTCATACTGATAGTTCCCGGTTATAAGTCGAATCCCGGTTGTAAGTCGACCCCCACCCTTTCTCCTTCTATTTTAAGTCGTAAAAGGTCGACTTACAACCGGAAAAATACGGTACGCAGATGTGCGATGGTCGCAAAATAGCGCAGTTCATTCTCTCACGGAAGCTGCCCATCTTGCAGTACTAGTAGCTGAACAAAACATAAGCAGGATCTGACAAAAGAGGATTGAACCAGGAGAGATCTGTGCAAGGGTAGAGCATTGTCCAAGCTGGTCACTAGTTTGGAAAGTCGATAGGAAGTGAGTGAGTGAGTGCGTGAGAAAAATGGATATAGAGAGACAGAAAGACAGACAGACCGACAGAGCGGGGAGGGAGAGAGAGAGAGAGAGAGAAAGAGAGAGAAAGAGAGAGAGGGAGAGACTGAAGTCATGCAATTGCCTAGGCTTTACACATAATGCTGCGCGCCTCAATCAAAAAGACAGCAATGTAGCGTTGTGGCATAGTAGGTCAGGCGATCAAAGGGTCTCTGCTTTCTCAGCTGCTTCCCTGAACAAGGAATGCTTCTTGTGATGCCAAACACGCGGAACTAAGTAAGCATGGCTTGCTCAAGCATCACTGTAAGACATGCATATAAGGAGGAAGTAAATCTAACGTTTTAACGGATATTACATCTCTTCGTTATAATAAGATTCGTCGAGGCTGTAATGCTTCATATATGTCGTGTGTGGATATGCCGGAATACTTGCAAGATCGTTGACATAAAATTCATAGGTTAACGAGATGATATTATCATCTCGTTAACCAATGAATTTCAAAAGTGGACAATCGTTAAATTTGCAACTCGTGATAATAACATATCAGTTACAGTAGAAGGAGGAAACCAATAAGTGCACAGCTCCGAAATCTGTAAAACGTCAATCGCGTCATTAACCGAGCAGCTGTGGTGCCTATAAACCGCATGACGTTGAAGAAGGTGGGAAATTAATCTGTGGCAAACTAATCTGTTGCAAGGGGGGGGGGGGGGGCAATGTTGACTCAACACAGAATATTCTGATAAATTGATGGCTCCACTGGCGCCAGTGTCCTATGCAAATGCCCACGGGAGATATCTGAAACAATAGACTGACAATACTAGACATGTGTGAAGGGATCCTAGCAAATGGCTAGCATGCAATACCAGGCAATGGCTCAACGAGTGTGTGCCCACATTATGCAATGCGGCCTTGAATTAAAATCACCCTGTCCAGCCATGCTATTGGTACAAATTTGTGGTGAGTCATGCTACCCCTGCGTCTCCAGCAATTCCTACCCATACATGTACTTGAATGGAATTGCAAAAATCTATTGACACTGTCCAGCCCAAATCTAGCTCTCAAGCTTTCTTGGCAATCAGTGAGAATCCTGCCCCAGCATTATTCGGCCCACCCTTGGTCACTTTTAATTGCCTTCTCTAAAGACACACTAGCTATGAATCTGTTGAGCATTGTGCTGCCCTAGACCACAGTCATGTTCACTGAGAACTCATGTACCACTTTGTTACCCTCACCAAGTGCATCAGTACAATGTCATGTACATTTTTAATTTTGTTTATGCCTGAGCTCTGCTTTGTGCTTTTCCTACCCTGGGCATGCGTTATCAAATATGTAGCGAACATGTAATGGACAGCGGGAATTGCTGAATAGTGTCCAGGAGTAGATAGCCAAACACTGCAGCTCCAATGCTTCTGATTTGTGAAAATGACTGCAGTGAGCCCCATGTTCATTCTGATTTTCAATACTTCCTGAAATATGAGTTGTAGCAGTTACTGCTAATTCTAAGATTAATGATGTCTTTTTTATTCTTCAGCCAGTATGACTTCTACTGTATTCACTTCGTCTTCGGCGTGAGACATGGGGAAGTTTCTTGCATTCCCTCTGTGTGGGCCGATGTAATTTGTGTTCAGCTGCACAAAAGCTGAAAGGAGAGCTATGCATGCACCCCTGCTGGAATGCTGCTGCACCATGGCATGATAGAGGTGAACTGTAAAAATACTAGTAGTAGTACAGGTGAAGAAAGCGTGCACCTGCAAGGGCTGTATGATGACAGCAAACAATGCATGCAACCAACTACAGACTATGCCAGTCTTGGAAAACAAAATACTAGTACAATGTACTTGACCGGCTGATTCTCCGTACCAAACAAGGCAGCTAACCTGACGGGAGCACCCTGTCCCGTTGAGCTGAGGAAGGGCTCTTTTCTCAACAACTGCGACATGAAGATCGGGGAGACCTGATATAGAGGTGAATAATTTGGCGGCCATTGCATGCTCACCCACACATGATCACACGGCACAAGAGCGTGGTGCACACACCGTGACAAGCGCCACTGACTCACCGTTACTTTGAACGTCTGGTATGTGTCGTCCAGCAGCAGGACACGCACCACGATGCGATTATCGCGTCGTCTCGATTTCCGCTTCCGCGGCGTTCGTCCGCCATCCATCTCGTCCGAAGCTCTCCTTTCTGCACTGGCAATGGCCGTCAGGCCAGGATCCATACTGAAATTACTGCGCATTGACGAACGTTTCACATCTTCGGAGAGTAGTTCAGTGCTGGTGTTCGCAGCGATTAGCACGGGCTGGTTCTTCTCGCGCCACGACTCGCCAGCGTTGGCAGCAGTGGCGCTAGAACTCCCCTGATTCCACTTCACAGCATCGCCAGACGTTGGACCGTACGACGTTGTCGTACGTCTAGCGCACACTGCACAACAGCCCATTCTTCGCACTAGACGTGTGACTGGGTGACGGATTGGTTCTGTGGGATTGTTCGGAATCCACAGCTAGCACCGCTGTGAATGGGCTGGTGACAGACGGGAAAGGGCAGCGCGCAAACGCTGAAATACTTGGTAGGAAACAGCAGCCGAGTCTTCAGCCTGACCAGTGACTGTTGTGAAACACTGCCGCAGTCAGGCCTGGTCAGCTGACTAAAAGCTGCCACAGTGCAGAACCTCTGAAGCAGGCTGTAATCTGTCACGCTCTCTCCTTGGGCCGTTATTAGCGCGAACAATCTTCCTGCTGCTGCTGATGATGATGATATTTCGCGTCGCAGACAGACGCACTCACACTTTCTTCCCCACTTTCACGCCAAAAACTGCCAACTAAGTCACGTTCTGTCCTACAGTAACGAAATCCGGACTTGTGACAGCTCCCACCACACTCGGAACTGTGGTCCGCAGGACTGAAACTGGTTGGAAGACCTCTTCGAATGTCATCTGCGAACTCGCCAAGCAAAGGAGAAAGAACAGCGCAAGTCTAGAAGACCGCAACGGAACACTACTGAGGGAGGACAAGGAAGACGACATCGGCTATTGCTACCAGGGCAGATGTGCCGGACCAAGGCATCGTGCGTGAGACGCCCCAAAAAGACGCGGACGACGAGGTGAATGGCAGATCTGAAAGACTCACAACAATGTAGCTGGCACAGTAGCAACACCTCAGTGGGACTTGAGGAAGCAGTCGGCTGAATTCCTCACCGTGAAACCCTCTGCCCGCGACCGATGTGCCTAGACGATGCCAATGCCTTGGGATTTCCAGTACACACAATCACTAAGCCCTAGATGATGTCTCTGGGTTGGACTTCTACCCAAGCGATCGCTTTATCGCACGTCGCCCCACAACCCTGCAAACTACAGCAGTACAGGACTGGCGTTGAGCAGGAACTTCGCTAGCTTGCCAACCTGAGCAATACATGTACGTATCGTCCTCACCACCACCAGCGGCACCACTCCTCCTGAGTCCTGTAGTCTGTACCTAGCTCAGTAGCTGGTTCGTCCCCGGCATGGATGCTGGTCGGCTTGTTGCTAGCCTGCGCCGAGGCTGCGGACTTTCTTCTCCCATGCTCAAGCACAGGCAAGCAAGGACAAGTAACAAAACTAGTTAGTACATGCACCGCAGCAAACGTAACCTGGTACTGTAACTCTGACTCATGAGTAGCTTGAGCAAGTACATGTAATAGTTAGTACTAGTAGTTGATGTTCCTTTCATTCTTTCGCTAGTTGAAACTCGTTGTGGTTTCGCGTGCCCAGTTTCGGGTTCCACCAACAGGGCTTGTTCAGTTCTGCCTTACACGACATGACCTGTCTACTAGTATTAGTAGTATGCCATCGACCTCGCTGGCACGCTGGCACTGCGATCTGGAACTACAAGTACAAGTACAAGTACAGCATACAAGAGTAGACCCAGGTACTCGAAGTCCGTACACTTTTACAGTGTGTGTTTGTCGAGCTGAAACTCACACTAGCAATGATCACTTGCCAGAATCCTGCTCGTGGATGGAAGGTATCTTGTCCAAGTTTGTTCTGAGGCCAGGCTCGATTGAACCAGGCCATCTTTCGATCCGATCTGTTTCTCTGGAGTTCGCTGATTTTTCATATCAAATTGTTGTGTCGCGGAGGGTACTCTAAGTCCGTACTGATCAGAGGTGACTCGAAATACAGACATATTTCTGCTAATTGCTAACTTGCAATCCCTCGGTTACGACGAAAGCACCGAAGGGATATGTTTGGCATGTGCCTCCACCAGTATTTCTTGCAAAAGCGTAGTTTGTTGCCAAACTGCAAGCTGTTTTAGTCGGTTTAGAGAAGAAGCAGCTGCGCTGTGAAAACCGCGGGAAAACAGTGGTGGAGATGCCAGGAGTGTCAACCTTTCTGCAAGAATTGGTGGTTCTCTGTAAATTCTTCTCCTCTGGCCATTGTCAGCTCTAAGCTGGCTCTTGATGATTGAGTGAAGGTCTGTTTGACGCTGTGTCCGTTCGAAATCGGTCTTGGCAAAGTTGATTTTTGCATGAAATGTAACCCAATTTGTATTTCGTATGGGCACTCGAAAACCCACTCGCGTGGTATGGGACTTCTGCTTATCGTAGATCCCTGAAAATTGCTACGCGAGGAGAACATACCACACTGTCCCCTCGATAAAATATTTGAGTCGAATACAATAACAGAACATGAAATTATGGGCGTACGAACTTAGGATACCATGTACGGACTTCGAGCACCTGGGTCTACAAGACACTCAAGTCAACCAAGTACTAATAGTTGGCAAGTAAAGTCCTTGCCGACCTTGGCCACGCCAGGGACCCAGGGACCCAGGCAGGGACCCAGGGGCCAGGGCATGACCGAGGTACAGTAGTAATACCGGTACTAGTACATGTATGAGACTACTAGTAGTGTGTGAGTATGACATTGTAGTGTACAATCATGTACATGTAGTATCATGAAGGATCCATGCGCATGATTGTACACTGTACTTCGAAGTACATGTACATGTACATACTACATGTAGTACATTTTGTAAAATGCTAGCATTATCCGCAGGGCCATACTTGGAGGTCAGTTTGGTTCAGTAAGGGGCCCTTACTAATACTAGTACACTGTATGTCTAATCACTGGGCTGGCGGCAGGAAGCGCTGCAGCAGTGCAGGAAAATTTACATGTAATACCATTACCAACCGTGGCAACACTCTTCATCTTTTTCTACCCTTCTCCAAAGCCTGTGCCACCGCCGGACTGTCTGTATTTGCTGGCTGGTATACCTGAGGTATACCAGCCCAGATACAGTCCGGCGTCCTGGCTGTACAAGCTCCAGTGCATCCCAGGACCACCCCAACTCACCGCCATGATCCCCCCCCCCCCCCCATCCTGCCAACAGTGTACTGTACATGCACATGTAGAAGCTTGGGACACCAGGAGTCAACCCCCTCCCGGGATCCCGGCCAGCAGCACCATTTCGGCATTTGCAGCAGCAGCAAGTCCTGAACAGGAAATAAAAGCACCACCTACTACTAGTATGCTTCTCGCTCCTTCCCGTGTTCTTTCGTTTGAACTTTCAGTATGGAACAGCTTGCCAAGCGAAAGGGCTCCACTCAGCTTGACGTGGATCCACACATTCAAGATACCGGTAGATACCGGTAGATGTCCATAGGTTGGCACAAATGGCAGAGCATTGTCATGGATTGCCAGCCAGCTAGCATCCGAAAGCAGTATGTCACAGCCAACACACCAGCCTACTGACCACACTCCAGCTCCCTTCTACCCCTTTCTGATCCCCTTCGCTCAGCCTGAAAGTTCTCTCCATCGTCCTACTTCCGCGGGGCACCGCTTTTGCTATTGTTTTGTCCTATCTCAATCTCAAATTCTCCCGATTATCGTTTGGAAAGCCGGTGCTTCCCTCTTGGATGCACATGTTCTTTTCTCCTATGTATCGACGCACATGAGTAACGATGAATCCGAGACCTTTGATCGGAGGAGTTGCTTTTTCCCCACCCCCACTTCCATCCAATATGCCACCGCCCGCGCTGTGCAGCATCTGATGGTTCTGTGGAATTCAGTAAAAAAAAAAGTTCGATGTGGCACCCTCCGAGGTACAGGGTACCGGGTACAGGGTACCGGGTACCGGGTGTCCGACAGGGCTCAGTCAGTACTACTAGGTCAGTGCCTTGTAGGTCAGTACTCGTACTACTACTAGGTCAGTTCAGTCAGTCAGCTCAGCGTCTATACCGGGGCCGGGGTGTCCCATCGTCATCGTTTGTGGAGGCAGCATGCAGCAGACTGAGCAGAGCCTCATATCAGAGGTTCCAAGGGATCCACTCAATCGATCTGGATCCGGATCCAACCAATCGAACATACCCTTTGACGTTCTCCGTTTTTTTTATGTCAAAACCAGAAAAAGAACGAAATGCATTACGTCATTCATATTAGCAGTTTTCAAATCTCAGAGAGACTGACATGCATGACATCAAGAGTAGATAAACAAGAGTGTGCAACTCGCGGTTGGGTTGGCCCACGGCGGAATTTTTTGTTGACGTAATCTTTTCGACGACGCACGCGCTGCGAGCCTTTTGGAGAGGTTTCCCTCGTGCACTTGGCCGGGCTTTACACTACAAGGTCGGTGCCCAGCACGTGCTCTCACACTGCTCTGCGGCAAAGACTTTTTTAAAGGGGAAGTATACCCTAAAATCAAATTTTCACCAGTTGTAGTCTTCGGGGTGCTGAGTCGAATGGTCTTGGTCCGAGGAAGCTGAGACGCTCCCTTCCTACTTGAATCCCAATCGAACTCGCGCACTTCCACCGAAACTGGGTGACTGCGCCCTACTAGATGGGGATTTGTATGCAAAATGTCACTAAAAGCGCCATTTCGTTCTTATAAAAGCACGGATGACCGCGATTGGCCCATATGTTGTAGTCTTTTGGACGCTGAGTCGACTGGTTTTGGTCCGAAAAGGCTGCGATGCAGCGTTCCTCCTTTATTCCCAATCGAACATGGTTGAACAAGCGGTCACGTGCTCCTGCGTACGCCAGTCACCTGGTCATCGTGCCTGCAGGGTACAACTTACTAGCCTGTTTGACCTTTTTTGGGTTCAGTCCTGTCACTCGAGTTGAACTCGAGTTGAACCTTGGTGTGAAAGTTGCCGCCTGCTGGCGCGGTGACCAGGTGATTTGGGCATCCAGGAGCACGTGACCACTTGTTCAACCATGTTCGATTGGGAATAAAGGAGGAACGCTGCATCGCAGCCTTTTCGGACCAAAACCAGTCGACTCAGCGTCCAAAAGACTACAACATATGGGCCAGTGGCGGTCATCCGTGCTTTTATAAGAACGAAATGGCGCTTTTAGTGACATTTTGCATACAAATCCCCATCTAGTAGGGCGCAGTCACCCAGTTTCGGTGGAAGTGCGCGAGTTCGATTGGGATTCAAGTAGGAAGGGAGCGTCTCAGCTTCCTCGGACCAAGACCATTCGACTCAGCACCCCGAAGACTACAACTGGTGAAAATTTGATTTTAGGGTATACTTCCCCTTTAAGTCCGCGTTTCTCTGAAAAAAGGTGACGTCAACAAAAAATTCCGCCGTGGGCGGGGGTATCTGCAGATTGTGCAGGAGAGATCCGGAGTTGCACACTCTTGTTTATCTACTCTTGATGACATGTAGTTCACTGTGTTTTGAATTATTTCCAGCTAGCCTAGCAGCTTGGTCAGTGCAGTGTCGACAGAGCCCCAAACTATCACTGTTACTTCAGTAACGACGAGAGCAACCTGCCATGCTGCTGAATACGTTCCCTGGTCTTGTAGATTGACGCGGCGGCAAGTCGCCATGATCCTAATTCTAATGGGCGTGTGTGGGTGCGGAAAGTAAGTGATCACTGAGAATTTTTGATTTTCTGCAAAGAGACCGTGTACATGTAGGTGTGGAACGTCGCTTTCACGACATGCACATTACATTTTTCTCTTTGACAATATGGGGCATCGGATCATGGGGAAGCCAGCGTAATGGCAGCAATGTACAGGCTACCTGTATAATCACAACACCATGAAGTAAGAGTCAAGGCAAAAAGACAACCCAATTTCGGAAATAAATAGAACGCTCAATTTGTTTGAAATATAAAATAATATGTATAATGATCTAACGACGTACATGTAGCTGCTTTATGATGCAAAGCTGCACCTCCATCCTCATGCTCAAACCAAGAGTACATAACTCTTGCTCAAACTCATGAGTTTGTTATGTAAGAGCGCAACGACCCGGTTACGTACATGTAAACGTTTTTTTACAAATTTGTTACCAAAATGATATAAATAGAAATACTGTTGTCTGTACACGAGGCGGAACTCCTCATTAGGCACTTGATTATCTTATTGTGATGTAGGTCATGTTGTGTAACATTGTAATGTAGGTTGTAGAGCTAGCGAAGTACCGGGTTGAGCAGGAAATGCAGTGTTTATTGTCAGTGACTCAAAATAATACTACAACAGTCGCTGACAACATTGCGACCAATCTCGTACAATACGGCCGCAAGTAACCGTTCCCCCTGGCCCTGGCTCTTGGGCTTGTAGCTGCGGCATCAATCTTGTTCAGTTGCATAGACAGCCAAGTATAACATCTTATTGTGTTATCAGTGTGTTATCATTGTGATGTCATTGTGATATCATAGTAATGTCATTGTGATGTCATTGTAATAATATATCATAGTAATGTCATTGTGATGTCATTGTAATATCATCGTCCGGATGCATGTTCAGGGCAACATCCAGTTCATCCTGCCGATTTCCATAGATGTACATGTAGTACGCATCGCATCAGTGTGTGTCCGGTCTGTTGAGTGGTGTTTGAATGCGTACGTCCGTATCTGTGCAAACACTATTAATTTTTACACAGGCAGTTGGGATTTCGTAACTCTGGGTTTCACGAATTGAATCGATCATCAGACGAAAATTGCAATTTTCTGTCTGTGTATGCCGCTCTTTGCCTTAGGCAAATTGAGCCCTCTACGGACTGCGGATGAACTTCACATGGCAAAGAGCATAATAATTCTGTCCGCAGATTGAGTATTTCGCTTTTGCTCTTGTAGCAGTTGAGCACTCTCACGTGGGGTAGTGCCTTTGCTGTCTGCGTTATGCAGAGCTCACTGACTTGTCAGTTTGAGCACTCTGGCACGGTACGTTCGGGCTTGGTTTTAATCTGGCTTTGGAAAATTTATTTTTCATTGCTATCAGGTTCGGCCTCATTTTCTCTGTGCTGCGCTGATTAGTCCACAAAGGACGAAACAGTTCTGTCCTCAGATTGAGTATTAATTTTGATATTGTTGTTATGCTGTGATGCGCAGGTCATCGGTCGGACAGGCACTGGCGAAAGATGTGAGTTATTGTGGTTACCGTGTGGGTTGTGTGGGTGACGTAATGCTTACATTTTGGTCACAGCAATGTGTATTGTGTAAATACCAAGGGTCCATAATCCCCCAGAGTGCGCAACTTCACTGGTCAGATTTGGGACGGCGAAATCCGTGTTGCACGGCATAGTGTGACATCATGACTAGGGAAAGTGTTTCCGTGGTGGACCGTGTCGACGGAATGACGCAAGTCCGACCTAAAACATGATGTACATCACGGATTACGCTGTCCCACAACCCCATCCCAGTTGCGCACTCTGTGGGGATTAGGGACTCTTGCTAATACTGGGTGTGTACGCCGACTCTGCACACCATCATGGGTCATGATTCATGCATCATCACAGCATAGCATATCATCACAGCATAGCATCATGGTTACATGTACTAGCAAGAGTACATAAGCCAGAGTGTGCAACTCGGGATGGTTCCTGTGGGAGCGTAATTCGTGCAGTACGTCATTTCTGACGGCATGGTAAGCCACAGGTACGGTGAAAAGTTGCGTAACCAGTCGCGGTGGTGCAGGTCACTGAGTTTGTCCTGATTTCGGTTTTTTGATATGGATAGCCTGGTGACTTTACTTGTCGGTGGATGTACGCGTACACAGTCACACAAAAACACCGAAATCCTGAAACTGGACGTCTAAAATCAAGCAAACTTGGCTGATTTCCGGGCTATGAAACATGAAAATTTGAGCTGTACGCAAGTCGCGGCTTGGCTGACCTCATCAGGGTGACGTAGTGCACGAACTGCGCTGTTTCAGATCTGATATGCACAGTTGCACACTCTGGTTTATGTACTCATGGTACTAGTATTTCTGCCCAGACAGAAGTAGTCGGCAAATAGTTGAGTGTACAAGTAGCAGATTAATGTTTCCGATAGATCAGTATGTGTCTGCCTAGTATCTCTCTGTGTGTCTGTATGCAATCTCTCTGTATGCAATGTGTCAGTGTGTCTGCATGCAATCTCTCTGTGTGTCTGCATGCAATCTCTCTGTGTGTCTGTATGCTTGTCTTAGTCTAAGTGCATGACTGTAGACATGTGGGATTATTTCCAAGTCCACCCAGAGTTTGGGGATTGCAGGGGGTGTCGGCTGTTGGGCGGTTCAATAGCCAATTGCGTCGTCTTTCCAAGATTCCTTTTGACTTTCTCTCCCCTCTCCGCGGGAGACCCGCTTGGCCTATCATGGCAGTACAAGGACAAGCACAAGTGTGTGTTGCTCTGTGTATCTGTCACTGTGTCTGTGTGCGTACGTGTGTTTGTGGGTGTTTTTTTTCGTGCCCCACATGCGTGACTATGCACATGTACCTAATATGCACAGTAAAACCTGTAACTAAAGACCACGTGACTAGCGACCAGCCTGGTACTACAGACCACTTCGCCAGGCACGGACGGTCTCACACTCATATAATTATGGTTGTGCAGTGTAGACCTCTAACTAAAGACCACCTGCTACTAAAGACCGCTTTCTCTGGCCCCAAGGGGTGGTCGTTAGTCACAGGATTTACTGTACTTGAATCTCTTTTGTTTGTGTGGCATATGTTTTGTCATGACGGCCACAGCTCGAATGTAGCTTTGTGGATGCAGATGATCTTCATCCAGAGACGAACAAAGACAAGATGAGCAGAGGAGTGCCATTAACCGATGACGTAAGGCTGCATTCACACACGGTACAAACATTCGCGTTTACATGACCGTACAAGCCACTTGCAACGCCTGTGCATTCACACAATCAAATGCAGTGCATGCCAATCACGTAAAAAGTCGCGCGTGACCCATGGCGAAGAGCGGGAATTTTGACTTCTGCATGAGCTGAGCGCACTGTGCGGCACTTGGCTCAAAATTTAAAAAATACTATTTCTTGGTTCGCTAGTTTGATCTCGGTGGAACGTCTCCGCAACTGGTGTATTCTTCTGAGTTTGCTGGAGTTGTGAACGATAGCGGCCGTGTATATCATTTCCTGATCACCTCCGGATAGCTGTTTAGCGTACAGATTCAGCTCATCTGCAATCCTCTTCTCGGCAACAGCTCTTTTCATCATAGTTCCACTTTTTCTCGCTGGTATTTTCCTCATAGTTCTATCAGCCGTAGCTCCACCTCGGCAGAAAAGACAACTCGAGGCATGGTACCGGACTCTCCAATAACTAACAAAAACTCTGCGCACTCGACACATCAAACCACTCGTTTCGACTTGCCTGAAAACTAAAAGCCGAAATCCGCTTTCAAAGCCGCCTTCAAAGCCGTTCCGGGATGGCTTTGAACGTTGATGTGATTTTTCACTTTTTGCGCATGTTTCCATGCCCACTTCAAAGAACATGATGCTTGTATGCGGTTTTGTACCGTGTGTGAATGCAGCCTAAGCCTTTGTTACCATGACAAGTTGAGAACCGTATCCACGATGTGACTGATGGCTTGTGGTAAAACCAGACTTTGTTCTGACTTTTCCTTGACATCTTCCTCCAATCATGAACATTAGCTTGATGACCCGTTGTTTGTTCCGGAAACAAAGTTTTTCGCCGGATTGGTCATTAATTTTCAAGTTGTGGAACTTAGTGTAGCAATGTTCTCATAGGAGTAATGGCAAATCATGTGTGTTAGTCTTTATAATATTGGATTGGCAGCGATGTCCACGAGATGGCTGTTTGTGAAGGTTGTCGATTCCACTCTTTTTCTTTCACTGTGTTGAATACTCTTGTGTGTGTGTGTGTGTGTGTGTGTGTGTGTGTGTGTGTGTGTGTGTGTGTGTGTGTGTGTGTGCGTGTGTGTGCATGCGCGTACATGCACGTGCGTTAGGATCGACTTCCATGGTTACGAGCAGTGAACAGGGAGATGAATCGGTGAGTTACTTGTATATGTTTTCGGTGTGTGTATGCTCATCTGGGGGCATGCACGTGTTTGTGTGTGTGTGTGTGTGTGTGCGCGCGTGTCACGGTGTGTTGGGTGTGATCCGTACATACTAGGGAGGTTTAGTTCCCACGTAACGGAAACGCGTACGTGGGTGATCCACGTAAAGTGGATGAAGGGCATCCACGTTGCAATGACTGTTGTGTTTAGTCACACGGAACAAACAAAAGCATGAAGTGAAAGGCCCAAACCTGGTCAAAGACGAAGCTACCCGGGCCTAAGAAGCTCATCGAATACTTCGATTTCGTGCTTCGGAAACTTCTTCAGCTGAGCACCCTCACAGTTCGCAAAATGCGCTCCATTCTGATTTTCACCCACGTTCTGGCGGAACGTGGGTGAGCCTCCATACACGGTATGTCGTGAATCAGAAAACGTCTGTACGTGGGTCACTGAGTATCACGTGGTACACACACGTAAAGTACCCACGGATTACGGGGGACTAAACCTCCCTATTATGATGCCGTGCCACTACACATGGGTCTGTGTATGCGTCTGTATCTCGTCCATGCTGTCATACGCACACAACATGCTGTTATGTTTGATTGCTTTGCTTGTATTGTACGTAGGTTGCACACACCGGGCTCGTCTGTTGTAGTCGCCTGCTCCGCACTCAAGGCCAGTTATCGCCATATTTTAGTGAGTAACCTTGATCAGGATGACAGCCACACACGCAGCCACAGCGGGGTGCAGCAGGATTCTGAAACCATTAGCGTGTCTTCAGATATCTGTTTCGTACACCTTGACGGCTCGTTTGAGCTGATCGCATCCCGTATGTCCACGCGCCACGATCACTTCATGCCGACGTCTCTACTACAGTCTCAGTTTGCTGCTCTGGAGAGACCGACACACCCGGAGAGGTTCATCACTGTGGATGTTTCCCCTGGCGTGGACGAAACTGTGAGAAGTATTCGATCGCAGTTGCGCGCCCTGGCACATGCTCAAGCAGTGCTCTGACGTATCCAGTATGATGCCTATTGATGGTCTGTCGCACGACAGTAGTTACGGTGAGACCAGCGCTTCTGCTATAGCCGCCAAGTCTGCCAATGGCTCTACCACCACCAGCAGCAGCACCAACAGAAGCTGTGGTTTCAGTGCCACCAGCAGTAGCAGCACCAGTAACAATGCCTGGGCCTAAATTGCGCCGCCCCCCCCCCCCCCCCCCCCCCCCCCCCCCTGGCACTTGCTCAGTCAGTGCTCTGAGGTATAAAGTGTGATGCCCTGGTGCATGACTGGTGTCACAGTGAGACCACTACTGCTGCTATTGCTGCCGCCGGCCTGTCGGCCAGCAGCACTACCACCGGCAGCAGCACCAGAAGCTGTGGTTCCAGTGACACCATCAGCAGCTGCGCCACAAGCGGCAGCAGCACCAGAAGCTCTGGTTCCAGTGACACCAGCAGAAGCAGCCCCACCAGCGGTTGGACCAGCAGTACAGCAGCACTGCCACTACCACCGGCAGCATCAGCAGCACCAGAAGCTGTGGTTCCAGTGACACCAGCGGCTGGACCAGCAGTACAGTCACAACCAACCCTGGCCAGTAACCACCATCAGGAGCTGCAACACCACTGCCATTATCAGAGGTAGCAGCCACTGCCAATATCAGAGGTAGCAGCCACTGCCAGTATTAGAGGTAGCAGCCACTGCACACACATGATCCTCATGCCCTCCCCACATGCACTCATCTCTGGGAGATAACTGGGCCACTCTAGCCTAGGCTCGCAGACTCTCTGCCCGACCTAGTGGAGATCAACAAGACATGATTGCATTCGGTGCCACACATGGCTTCACTTGTTTATGATAGTCAACAAAGTACTAATACGATTGGACTTACAGAATGCATAATAATGTTACAGGAAGTGCATAATTATGCTACAGAGTACGCACGCACATATGATAGTATTCTAGCATTCAAATTGATCTGCTGCATGCCTGCATGCCTGGAGTACTGTCAGTCACATAACACTAGCGCATGACTGCACACGTAAAAGTATGTATGACCTGAGCGTGAAGTAGAATTATCTGCTGCTCGTCATGCATTGCTCACAGCTAGGGTTCTGTACAATGCCTAGATGTGCGTGTGTGTGCTGTCTCTGGAAATCTAACTGCAGAGCATGCCATTAAACGTCGGCTGCTGGTAATAGTGACTCTGTGCCGGCGATCACATCAATAGAGCAACAGAGCACCGTAATTGCATGCCGGCAATGCAGGTGACAGTGGGGTGGCAGCTGCTCCTTGGTACATGCAGAACTCTAGCACGGACCCGAGTGGCGGACGTCGAGAGGCAGACACTCGGTGCAGGCCAGGCGACGTAGTATGCAGGAGTTGCCATACGTCTTGCCGTCCGTACCACACACCTGTCAGCACACAACAATCCAGCATGGCCATGACTAACGTTAGATGTGTAGTGGGTCGCTACCTGTCCACATGTGACTAGGGGAACAGCGGGTCACTACCTGTCCACATATGACTAGGGGAATAGCGGGCCACTACCTGTACACATGTGACTAGGGGAATAGCGGGCCACTACCTGTACACATGTGTATCACTATCAAACACTAGCCTTCCCGGAAAGGCCATGCAACTTGACACCCAAAGGATTTAAAAATCTTCTATTTTCTTATTTGGTTTCCCCTTTGAAATGTATGGAAATACCATATTTTCTCTAATAAGAGGTCGGGGCTCTTATTACTTTAGTGACACATCCGCCTGCTTTACCACTAGTACATGTACAAATTCACAGCGAGAGCTTGAAAACATTCTAACGGAGTGACTTGTACCATTTCATTTCATGCACATGACATCCCGTCAGTGGACAGTACCTGACTGGAGCCGGTGGGAGTGGCACACTTGCGCTTGCACTGGCAGGTAGGCTTGTTATGGACAACAGCACACGTAGAGCCAGCCGGACACTGCACCAGTGAACACATGCCACGATCTGTGCAGAAAACACACGCGTGCATAGAGATGAACACACGGCAGAAGGACAAACACACACAAGCATGTCAACACGCACGTATGCACACACCCAAGCACGCACGTACAGGCACGTGCACATACATACATGTACACACACCTCACACACACACATGCACTGTAATGCTTCCCGGGATTGTGCCCTGCCACTAGATGATGGTGTTATTCCTGCCCTTTCTCATCCCCGGGACACACGTGGTGTATGCAGCACTAGTGCTTCGCAGGATTGTGCCCTGTCAGTGCATCAACGAATATGTGATCCTGCCCTTCCTCCTCCCTCCCCCCCCCCCCCCCCACACACACACCATACGGTAGCTAGGATCCCTTGCTTACCTCTGGAGATACGGCGTGGTGGTGGTTTGGCACTGAGGCACTCCAGACAACACTTGCCCGGTGTGTAGGCCTTGGCGTAGCCACGGCAACGAGCAGTGGGCGGACACGCCGCGTTGGCGCAGAATTGCTGATCTTTAATCATCATAGCGCATGTTGGGCAGCAACTGCCCGGTGTGGCTAGGTTGTAATGTGCACAGCCTGCGATTGCTGGACAGTACAGTGGACGACCTGCAGCAACGAGCACATTGGAAAGGCAACATTGCTAGGAGATACATTGGCCGTTCTGTGAGAGCTTGCACGATTCATCACGTGTTCATGCAAGAAAGGCAGCAATCATTGTTCCTACTGGCCAAGTAAAAATAAAAGATACATACAAACCAAGCAAAACGATTTTTTTAGTGCACAGTGCATCACCCTGTGGTGCGGGGGATTCTGAATTTCTCTAGCCAGCTGCAAAAAAAAACACCTTAAATTGTATTACGGTAGTGTCAGGGTTACGCTACTAGTACTGAGATGGAGCTGTTACCATAGCGACATGGGCCTGTTGCCTTACCTACAAGGGCCAGTGCTGCAGCCTATATGCGGTGACGTACTCGGGTGACTGAAATTTCAAATAAGACAGAAAGCGGTAGTGTTTGCTACCAACCTGTATAGTAGGACTAAAACCAGCACTTTTGTTATCTTGTGGGTGCCGGCCCTAGGCTGGTGAGAAGGCAATCATTTTATGATCTGTTCGCTGTTTTTTTTAAAACGGGGGAATTCAGCTCTGTACAGATTTCCATTGACCACCACCACCACATCATCTACTGCGCTCTCCAGCAGTACAATACCAATACCATCATGGCGCACACACTCACCTGTTGTGACTGGCTCTGCGGCTACCGTCGGCTCAACCTCGCCTTCTGGCTCAACCTCGCCTTCTGGCTCAACCTCGCCTTCAGGCTCTGGTGTGGTGTGTCCTCCCTCCGGCTCTGGTTCGACAGTGGCTGCCGGCGCTGGTGGAGCTAAAGACGGTTGGGCATAGAGAAGATACAAATGCATACTTAAGGCCAGGACGTCACAAGTTGTCTATGGCAGCACAGGGGTGAGAGGCGAGGAGTATGGGACTACGATCAGCATCATCATAATTATGGACAACATAATATTTCCAACTCAATATGATATGTGTGAAAGAATCTGTCCCCCCCCCCCCTCCCAAAAAGGAGCATATGGGAGAGTTTCACTGTAATAATATTACAGCATACTATATATTATACATGTTAACATGGTTGGATGCTTTGGGAATGTGCATGCCTAACACGGGCATTGCGTGCTTCTATGGCCCATCGCCCTCGCGGTGGTCCAAGGTCACAACGTCTTCAGGCCAGCTGGCACAATCCGAGCACATACAGACAACAGAGGTGTAGCTGGTCCCTCATTTAGGGGGGGGGGGGGTGTGGGGGGGGGGGGGGGGGGGGTGGGGGTGCACGACCGCATATGTATAGGATGGCTGTGCATCATTATGTGCATGTTGAGAACTTAGGTCTAAATTGTTAGAGGGTGCGCATGCCCCCCCCCCCTCCTCCCCTCCCCATGCGTTCTACACACCTGGACAACTTACTGCAATCAAAGCTGATCAAGTCTGCGGAGATAACAGGTGTGCTGGTATGGTAGCGGTACATCGTGCGTCCCGCATCCAATGGCCCAGTGGGATAAATCAGATAGTTCTGCTCCGTCGGCGAGTAGTTCAGACCGTCACTGGCATCCGCGGGAAGGTTGCAGGGACGCGAGAAGTGTATCGTGGTCACACCGTCCACACGAGATCCGTGTACGGAGCGTACATTGGACTGGTCAGAGTCAATCGGCGGTGGGAAGTATCCCAGGGCGGTGGCATCGACTGCCATAGCGTTGTTGTTGCCGTCAATCCAAGCAATGATGACATCTGTAGCGGCCTGAAACCAGCAAACGGAAACACAGTATTGAAACAAGTACAATGACGGTTCCCATCAGTCAGTTTGAATAACTTTTTCAACGTCCTACACACAAGGATAAAGGCGCTGATGCAGCGAAATATTCCAATCCTGATGCACAAAGACTAATTCCACAGCAGCTGAGCAAGCAGGAAAGCTGGACATGCGTCTTACAACAGTGCACATTAGACTACATGAAAGCGACGTCTTTACCCACACAAGCCGGTCCAGTGGAGTTCGTCTCTATTCCGAGTGTCTTGCTCTACGGATTGCGTAGAGCAAGACCGAGTGACTCGGAATAGAGACAACATCCACTGGACCCTGTGTGCGTGTGCGGGAAAGCTCTGGAGTACTGATCGGTCAGCACTCCCATCAAACACTCCGACCTGCCACCAAAGATCATCCTGTGAAGGCACGTAGCTCGCATGGGGCACTGGGAACGTGCACTGGGGGCTGGCACCCCCTGAATATTTGGCCCTAGGTTCAGCATACACATAATGACCATGAATGACATGCACCGGCCATCCTACACATATGCGGCCGTACACCCCCTAGAAGGGGAACCAGCTACGGCCCTGAAAGTGATGATTTCATATTGACAATACACCTACCATTCGCTTGTTCTTGCTGAAGCCCAGGCCAATCCAGCCATTTTCTGTTGTGCGCAGTGTGAAGTGGACGACTTGCAGCTGTTTGTCAACATCGTACATCATTTCGTACGTGCAGCCAGCACTACCCTGACAGCCATAAGAAAATCCTGGAGACAAAGGAAAATGGGCAGTAAGGACAAAAGTATAGACTCGGATCGAGAGCAACTGATGAAACAAAAACTGTTTGTGAATTTGCGGAAAATAGGCTTTTTAATGTTACTATTGCTAAGCGCCTGTTTCCAGCGCATTTCGTATTTCCTATAGTGTTGGTCTTTGATGTTGAGCATGTAATCACTATAAGCTGTTGATACTGCATGTGCTGTATGTGAGTATCTACAACTTGGAGTCGTGTTTCTGGTGTGATGAGGCCGGCCAGAGAGCGCATGTGGTTGAGGGGAGTTGCTTCAGCACTTGTATTGCTTACCAGGCATGGCGACAGCTTCTGTTGAAAATGACCGTGGTACGCAGAGGGACAGGTGGAGAGGCACATATCCACATGCCGAACAAGCCCATATACAATGTATGCACACACAAAACACACACACACACACACGCACGTAAACGTACACACACGTACACATGCACACATACACACACATGTACACACACACATACGTTCGCATATAAAAACAACAGAACAAAGAAACATTTCAGGGTTGATGTGGAAACGGCATAAAATCGATAAGAAATGGTCCAGTGCACAAACTTTTCATTGATTATGCCCACTGCAAAACCAACCAACTACACGAAGAAGTGAGGGAAATATTCAAAATGCAGATGTGGAAGAGAAATTCAAAAGAAATCTGGAAAGATGACTCGAACGGCCGACACACCCTGAAATCCCCCAACTCTGGGTAGATTTTGAAACGAGAGAGCTTGGAAGCTCAGGGCCCTACGCTATGCTTTTTTGCCTTGATGACCTAGACAAAAAAAAGCATAGGGATGTTATAAATTCTTTAAAAAATTCCTTTTTTTTAAGACATAACCTGGGATTCGAACCCGCACTATCGCGCGCCCTGCATGCATCCCCCGATGCACTTCGCATACATACTAATTCTTCCAAGTTGCTTCACATTATGATCTTGCATTTGAAAGCCCTATTTGAATATGCATTGTGGCCAGCCGTCTTTGATGGTACGGTACGGTAGGGATAGGTACGGGACAGGTACGATCGAGGGTAATACGACACCGTCTCCTGTACCGTACCATCAAACACAGCTGGCCACATACAGCTGCCCGCAATATTCAAATAGGGCTTTCAAACGCAAGATCATAACGTGAAGCAACTTGGAAGAATGGGTATGAATGCGAAGTGTATGGGGGAATGCATGTAGGGCGATAGTGCGGGTTCGAATCCCAGGATATGCCTGAAAAAAGAATAGGAGAATTGAAAAATTTATAACATCCCTATGCTTTTTTTGCCGTCAGATACGGATAGCGCCAGGCGTGACACAAACAAACAAACACACAAACACACAAATACCAAATTAAAGCTGTGTGGACCCTGGCTAGCGCCAGACGTTACTGAAGTAACGTCTTCTGCATAGCTACGGGAATAATCCCACTTATATGCTCGCCACACCTCAGTAGGTGGGCGAGGACAAGGTGCAGAAAATGGATTGATGGCATCAGGGTATCCGTTCTGGTATCCGATTGCATTATTCCCTGGCCAATTGAAGGTAATACCTGCTACTAGTGTAGGTGGCTAATTCAGAGTGGAGCACGTTGGCAACAGACCCAATACTATCTGGCACCCACCACCTACCATACACACACACACACCACCGTCACCAGCACCATCAGCACCGCCAGCACTGCCTCTCCATTCACTAACCCTTTAGCTTTGACAGGTCAACAGCTGCTGCTCCTCGGTTTCCGATGAAGCCGTGGTACTTCAGTTCATCGTTTCTGTAGAACTTCTTCTCAGCCTCAGTGCGTACACGGTTTCTAAGCACCGCATTGAAGCTATAGTCACCTTGAGTCTGGCCTTGAGCAAAGATAAACTGCTGAAGTCCATTGACAAGCGGGTGGTCATATGGGGACACTGCAACAGGGAGAACATACATTGACAATAAGGCATTCATCAGCAGATGGGATAATATCAGGCTTTTAGATTCTGTGCTCAAAACAGAGGGATGTGCGGGTAGGGAATTGGGAGGATAGTGGCCCCTTGGAAAAGACAAGGATTTTCCAATGAGATATCGGGGAATTTTTAAAGTGCAAAATTATGTAACGACTTTACACCAGTACGTGCTGCCAGCTCCATCATTTGTATCACCAAAAATCGTTCAGCAGTCAAGACCAGATGACATGGCATCAAGCAAGGAGATTTGCAAGGCATCTTCAAACGCTTGGACCTACTCGTACGCAATATCCACTTGACTACCAAATCTGGCTGAATTATAAGCTTACTAGTAGCAAGTCTGCGACGGAACTTCAACTCTGTGACTCCTTCGGCTGTTTCACGACCCACGGCGGCGATGATGTTGTCCATGCCTCCGTAGAAACTGTCTCGCTGCGGAGTGCTACGGTCACGTGTGTATGCGTCGTATAGCTGGAAGGTGTTGCCACGAGCCTTGCCAACAACAATGTCTGTACAGTCCATTGGGTGCAGACGTGTACCTAGTTGAACAACAACAGCAGGAAGACAGGCACACTTGTGAACACACACGGTAGTGAAAAAAAAGCACTCCCACACAATACATGCACACATACACATGCCATCCACCAAACACAATATTCACGCGTGCACGCATGCATGCACACACATACACATACACACATACACACATGTACACACACACACACACTCACAAACCGACAAACACATAATATTATGGATCTTGCCTAAGCTCCAACGAAAGTCCTGTATTGGAAAAAAAGAACGAGTATTAATAAGAAAACACGATAACATTAATTGTATTTGGCGTACCTCCTGTATTTTCTGGTTGAGCGGCTGGCACTTGTGGCTCTGCAGTAGCTTCGGGCTCTCCCTCTGGCTCTGCAGTGGTTTCAGGTTCTCCTTCCGGTTCTGCATGTGCGTGGCGACGCTTACGTGCTTGACCTGTGATCGGGCGATCAGAGAAAGCGGCAGCTGATCAAAGGTTCTGGCTGCAAAGCTCCCGTGTTACACAAAGACATGTGTTGAGCTGTGCAATGTATACACGGTGAGTCAACTGCGCATAGACTGTAATACATGAAAATAAGAATGGTCTAGGCTGGGAGGCTGACCCGCAAGTTTTTTCACCGCAGCCGTCAGTACTCTATTCCGACACAGTGTATACCATCATAGAACGATGCAATCCAGTGATGGTGGCCCTTCACTGGTCTGTGCATTGACTGGGAGTAGTCTATGGGTGTCAGCCATTTTGGTATGGTGTTCCCAGTTTATCGTGTTGAGGGAGAACACTTAACCTTCTTCACATGCATGGAAGAACGCTGCACTTAGTAAGTGTTTTGGGTGTATCGCTCAGCAACCATCCAGGTCCGACAACAACAGAACTACACACACCGAAAAGGCTTCTACTTCATTTCGTGCCAACAAACTCCTAACTAACGAAAACCAGAACAAGCATGATCAGTTCCTCGCATGCGTACCTGAGGGGCCCGCATGCTCGGAGTGTAAAGACCACATGGCGGGCGTGAACACGTGTCGCAACGGCATGTGCATGCATACAAGTAAAGTGCGTAAAAGAGTTCATACTACATCTCCCCCCTCCGGGGAACTAGAGGAACTAAAGATGGGAAAGTGAAAAACATGCAGAACGGTAGAAACAATACTGAGTAAGACGGCGGGCCAATACACATGAGAGAACAAGGACTCTTGCAATGCGTTATGATTGAGCGACCCGGAAATAGGAGGTTGAGAGTAGCGTCCTAATCCAGGATCGCCCAACCAGAGCGTGAGGAGTCAAAGCCTACTATTCAGCCGCGTAAAGGCACTACTTCGAAGTAGCAATAGGAATAGAGAGAAAGCGAGAGAAAGACAGACACATATCGGCACGCACACACAAACGCACGTGCATACGTGCTCGAACACACAGTGAGAAAGTGACAGGAAGAGAGAGAGAGTCAGATAGCGATCAGGTGATGCCGGGTTCGTCGTACTTGTCCGGATGACAACTGGATTATGTAGGATCGGGGTTCAGCTGATCTTGCTACCACTGTACCCCTCTCTCGGCGACCTGGAGTCGAGACATCGATCACGGCCGCGCCTGGGGGTAGAGCGGGCAGGATAGTCGCTCTGTGCCGCAGGTCGTACTGAGCTCCGGACTTCTCGCGTTGCGCTGTCTCATTCTGATCAGACACAACCGTGCTCAATATGGACATTTTACGGAGCACGTGTGTATTGATACCTTGTTTCAGTGCGTATTTTGGTCAACTAAAGCGTTGACTTTGCCCAATATCCAAGGAACAGAGGGTCTCCGGGCCAAACTGCCATAGTGAGCGAATGAGGTCCACCCAGTGATAAAAGTCCCCAATATTGAGCGAAATTGGAAATTTGGCCATGCCGGGTGATATTTGGTCCTTGCAGACATGGACTCTGTTGAGTATGCTGGGATAAGAACACCCCTCGGACACTAAATACATTTTCCTGCTGCACACGTAGGGTACACGTTATCCGAATTATTGCATGCACGTATGTATGCATGTACACTTTTCATGTTATGTTACCTATATTTTACTTCACCATAGGCACAGGCATTGCTGCTTTCTTGCTGTGGATCATGAATGATACATCTCCTAGGCTATGATGAAAACACACACACTCGAGCACATTCACACACATACACACACACACACAAACACACACACACACACACACACTACTACTACTACTATTGACAGCTGCCAGAAATGGCCACGCCGCTCCCCAAAGGGAGGTACTGTCAGAGAGGTTAGGGGGGAGGAAGGCAATGCTCCAAGTGGCGTTCCAGATCTTGCCGCCTCCGGAACCGTCGGTTGTGGCAAACTTGGCAGTGAAACTTGAATTGTTGGCGTTCAGCCACAGTAGGGCGCTTTGGACAGGTTCCACAACGGTGACGCTTGAGACCCGCAGCCGATTTAAATGAACGCTGACAGTTCGTGCAAGTTACACCAGGAACAACAAGAGGAGCAGGGGCAGGGGCCGGCGGCTGGTCGACATCGCCTAGCCGACACTTATGCACCGCAAAGCCTCCTCTGCTACGTAGCCATCGGTTGCATGTTGGACACTGTACTGATCCAGGCTGCTCCGATACCGGGAGCTGACGGATTGCTGAACACTTGTGACGGACCATGTCGGAACTACGGCGGAACAGACGGTTGCAGGTTGGGCACTCGATGCTCTTCGGGGCGGGTTCCTTGTCCTCACCTGCTGCTGTCACCACTCCACGCCACTCTCCACGATCGCTTGCCAACTCAAACCAGTTACGCACTCCAGCCACGGATAGGTCCGTGTGAATGGTGTCCTTCCAGCGACGACGAGGTCCACAGAATGGCCGAGACTGAGGGAGACAGGCAAACAGCAACTGCTTCGGTACTCTGGTGTCATCAAGACGAGCCAGGTGCCCAAGCCACTCCAACCGTCTCTGCTGCACCATGCGTGACAATGGTGTGGGATCACCCCACTGTGCTCGCAGTTCTTGTGAAGAGATGCGCTGTTCCCACTGTCGGCCTCGCGATACGCCAAGGATGGAGCGAATGTTGGCATGGTGAAACCGGTCCATTCTATCTAAATCTGCCTTCAACGGCGTCCAGCATTCTGAACCATACAGAACCGTTGACAGTACGCAAACGACATACAGGTGGCGCCTGGTAGGGAGGTTCAGGCTCCGGTCATGTAGGATGCGCCGAAGACCACCAAAGGCCCCTGCACCCTTTGCTAGACGGCTCCGAATGTCCGCTTGCGACCGCGAGTCTGGAGTGATGGTGGAACCAAGATAGGGGAATGAGGTGACTGCTTCAACCCTATCACTGCCAATGACCAAATCAGAGCAATCAGCAGGGCAAACTCCGAAACCTGCAACGAGAAGCTTGGTCTTGGTCATGCTCACTGTGAGACCCAAGCTGGATGCGACCTCACAAAAGGCACACAGGGATTGATCGGCTGCGTTGCGAGTTGTAGCGAGCAGTACAGCATCATCCGCAAACTCGAAGTCATCAGCATGGCCGGACTCGGAGTGGGGACGACGCCTAGTGACACGAGGGAACAGCTGGCCATCAATTGTGAAGCTGAAGTCCACACCAGACTCTATTCCACGCTCAACGAGAAGGGATCGCCAACGCTCAATAACTAAGCCGAAGTACAAGTTAAACAGTACAGGTGCCATAACGCACCCTTGGCGCAGCCCATTCTTGACAGATATCGGATCCGTGCAACCACCGGCAACGCGAACGCAAGCTGACATGTCTGTATGGAATGATTTGATGATGGCCACAGTCGGGGGCGGCACACCCAGCCGCAGCAATGCCTGCCAAAGAGCTTCGCGAGGGACAGAGTCGTATGCTTTGCGGAGATCCACAAATACGCAGAAGAGCTTCGATCGATGTTCGTACGACTTCTCGACAAGTTGACGGACAGAGAAGATGGCGTCCGCACAACCACGGTGCCGCCGAAACCCGCATTGGGATTCAGGCAGTTCCGCCTCAGCAATACCTTGCAATCGGTTTTGCATGATCCGAGCAGCCAACTTGCCGACAACCTCCAGCAATGCGATCCCTCGCCAATTATCGCAACGAGAGAGGTCGCCCTTCTTTGGAATCGGTACCAGCAGTGCATCGCGCCAGTCCTGGGGCACGCAACCCCCCGACCAGACAGATTGGAGTAGGTCCAGGAGGAGTGGATGGAGGACAGGCACACCAACCTTCAGCAGCTCCGGCACAATCTGTGACATACCACCAGCTTTGCCATTCTGTAGGTGTCTAATTGCCTGAGTCAGCTCATCCTCCGATGGTGGCAGTGAGAGGGAGTCCTCGACCTCACGCTGAGGGATAAGTTGGAAGACATGCGGATCGTACACACTGCAGACATTCAAGACACCCGAGAAATGCCCATGCCACGTGCCCTGCTGCTCCTGAACAGATTCGCAAAGAACTCCATCGGCATTGCGGATGGATTGGACAGACAGGGGTTGCAAGCCCCCAAAGCAGCGTTGCATGTCGCGAATGGCAGACCAGACAGCTTTGCCACTGAAACGTCCACGGTGCACCACCGCCGCTTTGTCCATCAACCAAGTTGTTTTTGCCTTCCGGATACCAGTACGAGCCCGGCCACGCGCTTCTTTGAATGCCCGGTGATCAGAGTCCCTGCCGCTTCTCAGCCATTGGCTATACAGGGTATTACGAGACTCCAGTAGAGGCTCCAATACAAGGGCATTGTCACGGAACCAATCTGGCATCCGCCGCTTGTCCCGACCAACCACCTGCTCCGCCGCGTCAACAACAGCCGACTTCACGGTACTCCACTTACAGTCCACAGACGAGGCGCGGTCATACGTGGCTAAACGAGATTCAAGACTAGCACAGTACTCAGCACGTACAGTAGCCACACGCTCAGCCTCCTCTTCACTCATGAATGGCTTCCGATTGAATTGGTGAACAGCAAACTTCCGCGGCCTGGAACGTGCATCATGATGGTACCGTTGCTGCACAACGTCAGGTAGCCGGTATTTCATGCGGACAAGACGGTGGTCTGTGCTACACTCTGCAGTGCGCATCACTTGACAGTCCATGCAACGTTTACGGTGTTGTTGGCGTACGAACACATAATCTATACAATGCCACTTCTGTGATCCAGGGTGTTGCCAGGTGTACATGTGAATGCGTTTCTTGGGAAACAGTGTGTTACATACTGTGAGCTGTTGACACGCCAAGAATGTGAGTAGTCGATGACCAGCATCGTTCACATCACCAACACCATGTGATCCATGCACTCCCTGCCACATCTCTAGTTGCAGTGGGCCAAAACCAACACGAGCGTTGAAATCCCCCAGGACGATGACGTCATCAGCAGAGTTGACATCGCTGAGAGCAGACTGGAACTGAGCAAAGAACTCTTCCTTGTCAGCATGGGGGGATCGAAACGTAGGAGCGTAACATGAAATCACTGACATCCACCCGTGCTCAAATCTCAACCTGGCCGTCACGATGCGCGACGAGACGGGCCTCCACTGGCAGCCTGCACGTTCAAATGCCTGCTTGGCCCTCCGACGCAGAACCAGCGCAACACCCTCGCCACGACGAAAATTTTCGTCAGGTACGGGGCGACCAGAGGCGAGTACAATCGAATCGCCGATGTTGAAAGAGTCTCTCCCAAACCATTTGGTTTCCTGCAGGCCAGCCACTTCCACGTCAAACCTGGACAGCTCACGGATAACCAAGTCGATCTTTCTGTCCTCCACGACGGGCACAAAATTCAAATTTTCAAAATTCACTCGTCTCTTTGCCGTCTCGACCGGTCCGTCATTGTTGACCAGAGTGCGGACGTTCCAAGATCCAAAGGCCAATGTTCGCAGCCTTCCTCTCCTCCGCCTTCCTGACAGTACTCTCTGAGCTTCGCAGTTTGGAACCATTCGGGGGTCAGCTACACCACCGCGAATGGAGAGGCGAGGACGACAACGGTCGTGACAGAAAAGAAACTGCCCTGGCGACCGCGCCGCGGAACCCTCGCCCCAGGAAATTTAGGAACACGCCAGGGGCGACTCTGGTGAACCCAGAGCCACCCCGTGGCCTAAGACTAGTAAGAAGAACGACGGAAAAAACTCAGATAAATCGGAGCTACAAACACACACACACACACACACACATACACAAGCACACACACATACACACACACACACACAGTCACAGCAGATAACAAGCTCTGTTCACTTACAGCCATCAATCTGCATGTGAGTGGATGAGATTCTCGGCGTGCGGCCATGCTTTCCGATGAACAATCCCTGGAACACGGGTCCTGTGCCAAACACAAAGTAGTTGTCGCTGTCCGACAGGGAGATGTCCATGGCGTCTCTGCTCTCGCATGTCAGAGTGAAGCGAATGGTCGTCACTCCGTCCACTCTCTCTCCAGAGTAGGTCTGTATGCGGGTCTGATCGCTATCCGTCGGCGGCCCGTAGTAACCCAGCGTATATCTAGAGAGCACACAGACAACAATATAATTACATCCATGACCGAATTAATGTCACAACGCCTGCATACGAAATCCACTTTCACAATGGCCTATAAGGGTCTGATCGCTATCCGTCGGCGGGCCGTAGTACCGCAGGGTATATCTGGAGAACACAATGTACGGTTACAATGGCGGGAAACCTTGTGTTGTTGTAACTCTCAGTTCCATGGCAATAGGGCCAATCATCAGACAACATGGTGGATGCTTAGGGCACCAAGGAATATATAGGGGTAGGTTCTAGGAACTACAAACACACGTATTCGAGCAAGCGTTTTGGAGACAGCAGCTTTAGTACAGCCACAAGGAGGACTAATTTGACTGTTAGTATTTCATATTTGTCGACAGTACAGTTCTAAACTAATCCTTCCGTTCTTTCTCGTTGTGTGCCCTATACTCATCGTCTTTACATTATAGTCATGCAATGTCGACACATAGGAAATGCTAACAGCTAAATTAGTCCTCCTGGTGGCTGTGCTCATTATATTCCTGCCTGAATTCATGTCACAACTCTTAGATACGAAATCCACTTTCACACCGGCCAACACGGTCACAACTCCTAAAATCATATCAGATATGAAATCTACCTCCACATTGACCTTAACTCTTACAGCTCCTAAATATGGAATCCGCCACAATAGTGACATCCCTTTGCATACTTTTTGTGTGTAGACTTGCAAATGACCCTGTATGGAACATGTTTCCTTGTACGAAAGTCCCGTTTATGTGACATTATGATAGCCTTCACAAATACCATCCCTCTGGGGAACTGCATCTCACACCAACAGTCACACCAACAGTTTACTTCACATGCGTATAAGCACCTCAATCCTGCTCGTTCTTCATTCTTCCTTCCACGTGGCAAATGCTGGTTTTTATACATTGCGAAATTACTAAGCGTTATTTGCAATAATAATAAGAATAATTATAAACAGAAGGATACTTACCCATCCGCGATTTGGACATCGCCGTTTTGATTGTTGACCCAGGCCATGATTACGTCGGTGTTGCTCTAAGTGTAGATGGCAGGTATATTTGACACATGCATGCACAAACACATATGCACGTGCACACACACACACACACACACACACACACACACACACACACACACACACACACACACACACACATACGCACATGCACACATACGCACACACACCCACACACACACACAGACAGACACACACACACACACACACACACACGCACACACACACACAGGCACACACACAACCGAGCGAGTACATAGAACAACGCGGGGAGAGGATTAGCACTATCGTTGTGCATGTTCTAGAATGTGTCGCCTGCGCCAGTAATAGGAGATGGTGGCTAATCAAGTGTCAGTCAGTTGGTAGAAAGCAGGATTGAGCTGCAGCCACCTTTATCTTCGTGTTTGTGTTCTAGTCTCACTGTATCAACAATTACAGCAAACACCACAAAACTAATGTTAAAATACGCAGGTGAATACTGGGGTTTGATGCCCTTGCCTGCATGTGGTCACATATTAGCGGATATTCTCTTCTCTTCCTACTGCATAAAAAAATTATTTTTATTTTAAGGTCCCCCCCCCCCCCTCGCACCCATCTAACCCTCACTCGCTTTCTCATTCACTCACCATCCTCCTGTCCTTGGAGATGCCGAATGCAATCCAGCCGCTTTCCGTCGTGCTCAACTCAAAGTCAACAGTGTGAGTGACGGGATCAGCAAGCCATGATCCACGGTAACTGCAGCGTTCGCTGTTTCCTGCTTCGCAGCCATGACTGTACACTATAGAAAAAGGAGCAGGACAGTACTCTGACATTGATTAATCGTCTTCTTAAAAGTAACTAGAGACCTCTTGTACTTTCATGTGAATATAAGACGAGCGTGAGTCATATGCCCGTTCACTATGTTGGCTCGAGGATGTGTCACAGCTCTGTTCAAGTCTACATTCACACCAGTACATGCATCTACATCCGTCAACTGCCACAAGTGGGGGGGGGGGGGGGGGGCATTTCTACTCATTTCGTTGCAGCTCGCAAACAGTTTCCAGGCATTTTGGCTGGGACAGTTCATTGCAATGCATTAAAAAAATCGTTTCCAAGTGGAAGGTTTTTGAGGTGGTTCGCATTCAGCGGCGTAATAAGTGCAAGGTGAATGTTAGCTTATTGCACACCTCCTCTTCAGATGCATCCGGTGGTGCCCAGGGAAACTTGTGTGTGTGCAGCCCTAGCACTGTGAATAGTGAGCTGCAGAGCCGTTGGCTAGAACACTGTCCTGTACAGCAGCAGGGGTGTCGGACATGCGACGGTCACTGTGGTATTGACCGTACCACTCTTTGTCCCGGATACCCTGTGAAAAGCACTGATTTGGGCTCTAAATTTCCAAAATTTTCAGAGAAGCCACCCCAACTCCACGAGTAAATTTGGCTTCAGGTGGCTGACGGTACCACCCTAGAATACCTTCTGACACCTCTGAGCAGTGCACTGGAACACTGGCGTGTAGAGCCGTGCATTGGAGCAATGGGCTGTACAGCTGTGCACTGGAGCAATGGGCTGTACAGCTGTGCACTGGAACACTGAGCTGTGCTGTGCACAGCAGTGAAGTAGGACACTGGCGTGTAGAGCCGTGCATTAGAGCTTACCTGTGGGCTCAGGTGGAGGCTCGGTGGGAGCTACTGTTGGCTCTGTGCAAGCACACAGGCAGAAAGGAAACACCAAACATTCACAGACCACACTTATACATTGACCTCCATTGCCAAGACACAGCACAGCACAGCACAGCATAGCATAGCGCCTTGAATAGCACAGCAGAGCAGAGCAGAGCAGAGCAGAGCACAGCACAGCACAGCACAGCACAGCACAGCACAGCACAGCACAGCACCTTGAATAGCCCACACAAAGCCAACAAAGTTCGTCATTGCACGGCTGGCATGTACCAAATTCTACATGACGTCACCCCTGAACACGAATTTAAAGTTCAACACTTAGACAGTTGGTTCAACACTTTAGAAAATATATATAATAAAAATTGTAACATGGAATAATAAAACGTGATATTTCACAGCCTTTCCATATGTAGAGTCAGCCTGTGTGACCTGATCAGTTTCAGGACCCCAATGTACGAGCCCTGTCTACAGGTGGTCGCCTTGTACAGCTCCACACGGCTGAAAAGTTGAAATGGCACCAATTGGTCCTCCTGGCAGTGGTGGTTTTGGACAGGTGTTCACCTCAGAGCTGTACCGCTAGGAAGTTCGACTATAGTCAACCTCGTGAATAAAGACCTATGTTAAAGCAACACTTCGCGAATAAGGACACAGCATTCAGACCTCGTGACCATTTGATTGCAAACGTTCCACCTCAAGAATAACAACTCGCCACTAAAGACATTATTCTCATGCATAATCCAGTGTTGTTATTTGCAAGCTTCGCAGTATTCAAGAAGGCTTTACTTGATAGGAATACACCTCATCACTCACCTGGCTCGGATTGCTCTGTAGGTTCTGGTGCTCTATGCGTTGGCTCACCGTGACCTTCTGGCTCTGGCTCGGCGTGATCAATATCTCCCACCGGGTGCGGCAGAGTCTCCGGATGGGCTTCAGGTTCGGCTGTGGATTCGGGCTCTCCATGTGCTTCGGGTGTTGTTTCGGGCTCTCCATGAGATTCTGGAGTGGATTCGGGCTCTCCGTGGGATTCTGGAGTGGATTCAGGCTCTCCATGAGATTCTGGAGTCGACTCGGGTTCTCCGTGAGATTCTGGAGTGGATTCGGGTTCTCCGTGGGATTCTGGCGTGGATTCGGGTTCTCCGTGGGATTCTGGCGTGGATTCGGGTTCTCCGTGGGATTCTGGGGTTGTCTCTGGTTCTCCATGTCCCTCAGGCTCAGCTGTACCGGCAGGCACATCTGCAAGGCAAAATACAAATGAAAACAGATTGTGATTGACATGCTATGATCTATGTTGACTTTCTGGCCATTCTACCCTGGCCCCATCCCCACCCCCTTCAAGCTACCAGCAATAGTGATTGACCGTCGAAAGTAGAAAAAGCCATCAAGATGAGAAAAGTTGTTTCCACGGAATGGTTCTGTCAGCACATTGGCAAGATGATTGGCATGCATACACAGGATCAACAACCACTGAATGCTGGCATAAGCAGCCTAGGCGATCATGCTCGGCTGTCCACAAAGGAGAAAGGACAAGTCTTGGTTGTAATATCAGATGCTGATTTATACATTGATCACTTATTCACATTACTTGCCATGCCAGCAAGAAAAGGGCACTCAAGAATAGACCACACAAATACTCGTACCATAATCGATTTCATCGCACCAGGGCAGCTGATCAGGCTCGGCATGGCCTTCAGGACTTGTCTCTGGGTGTGATTCTGGATGTCCTTCAGGCCGGGATTCAGGTGTCGTCTCGGGGCTGGATTCTGGATGCGATTCAGGGTGGCTTTCAGGGTTGGTTTCTGGGTGAGTTTCTGGGTGAGTTTCTGGGTGGGTTTCTGGGTGAGTTTCTGGGTGGGTTTCTGGGTGGGTTTCTGGGTGGGTTTCTGGGTGGGTTTCTGGGTGGGTTTCTGGGTGAGTTTCTGGGTGAGTTTCTGGGTGGGTCTCCGGCTCACTCTCTGGTCTTGGCCTACATGTGGGCTTAGGGCGAGCTGAGGACAAGAACAAAATCAGAGCAAAAGAGAGGCCATGACATCCAATCAAGATATCTACTATTATCATGAAGAAAGGAAAAGGACAAAAATGTGACGAGTTATGGCAAACTGTCCACCAACGTAACCAGATCTTATTCAGTCAGCTCGTGCTCTTCTTCGTTGCGCTTTCCTTCCCCTCTTGGACCTTTCCGAACCTGAGCCTTCCAAGTTGGAAGGTTGTTGGTTTGCGCCTTGGAGAAGAAGTGTTGGAGCTAGGTGTCAGGTCGCCGAATGTCTCAGTACTCCTTGTCAGTTTTGTGCCATTTTGTCGCACTCTCTGACTGTATAAGATCTGGTTACGTTGGTGGACAGTTTGCCATAACTCGTAACATTTTGTCCTTTTCTTTTCTTTATCATAACTATTGGCTCACCATCCGAGTTCAAATATCTATTATCGTGTTACAATGTGATAGGCGCCAGGCGCGAACTGATGGTGGTGGTGGAGAGAAGGAGAGCTCTGTGCTAGAACTTTGCAGCTTAGAGAGCGTGTGTGGGCAGGCGTGTGTTTACCGCCATATTGCCAGGTGTGTCTTTACCACCATATTTATCAATGTGATAGCTGGCGTAAAAATTCACAGTTCGCATTATACTCGGACTGAGTTTCCGCATCCGTAGGAACGCCACCACCCTCAAGGGTAGCTGGTAGACTGGGTAGGTCCATTGCATGTCGAGTTAGGTGCAATGCTGTGTTATGTACTGAAGGCTATGGGCATGTCCTTGCATATACATTGCACGGTGAGTTAGATACAATGCTGTGTTATCTTCTGTAGGCTATGGGCATGTGCTCGCATATGCATTGCACGGTGAGTTAGGTACAATGCTGTGTCATGTACTGTGCACTATGTGCATGCCCTTGATCATGCATTGCACGGTCAGTTACATGTAGTTGCAATGCTCATCTAGACACTCACAGCAGTCAATGTGGACAAACTCTGATGATATGGTGGGAGTCTCGGCAAGATGCATGCCAACCCAGCGACCCTGGTACACCAGACCGCTGCCGAAGAAGAAGTAGTTGTCACCGTCCGACAGAGAATAGTCGTAGTCGTTGCTGGCACTGCATGCCCGAGAGAATGCAAACGAGGAGAGGCGGCCCACACGCATTCCCGACGCATGGCTAATCTGAGAGAAGTCTCCGTCTCCGTCCAACTCCGGAGTGCTATGTGTTCGAGCCCACCTGCAGTAGAAAGAAATGATGGCAAACGATCATAGGAACAAAGAAATGATGGAAACCGATCATCGGAACAAAGAAATGATGGCAACCGATCATAGGAACAAAGAAGATGCAATGAGTAAACATACACAGAAGCAAAGCTACTGTCGTGGACATGGAAATCCAGTCGAATGGCCGGGTCCGATGCCCTCAGTGCGTACAGAACGTTGCATGCACAGTGCACATGTTGATCGTTGGCGTACTCACGGCTGCATTGCCAGCGCCATGGGGCCGCTTGACCCCCGAGTGGATGTCCAAGTCCACAACAGTAGTTAACGATGGTAGGAGGGTTTGCACACACTACCAGCCTTTGATCATACCGTATACAGAGAATGGAGTCCTTAAACCCTAGTCAATAGAGTGCTGAATGCTAACAGGAGCAGGGCTACATCACATGATCATCAGCTGCCTGAAGATCTCCATCTCGGGCATGAAACTGATAGTACAACTTGAGTTGTAACTATTATACTGTCGGCAAAAGGTAAATGGCTGCAATTCAACTAGGCTATACCTGTCCTGGATGACAGCTTCACTGGAACTACTGTTGATCCAGGCAATTGAGATATCAGTCATAGGCTGAAGATGAGAAATACGCACGGACAGACAGACAGACACACAGACACACCGACACACAGAAAGACAGACAGATAGACAGACAGAAAGATAGAAAGTCAGACAGACAGTCATACAGACAGAAAGAACTACAGAAAATATGCGCAGACAGGCAGACAGGTTTGCAATCTAGCATCACTAGCTAGCGCTCCAATGAATATAATTATAATCATTTCAACTCAAGGGAATAAATAGTACTGTAAGACTGTAAAGTGAAATCCTAACGGATTCTGTCCCAAAACCGGCAAATGCCTGTGCATGTACATATCGTTTTGCACATAAGTCATAACGACTTCAAATGTTAAAGATTCTTTCAAATCCGTTAACTCGTTAGAATTAAACGTTCGTTAACATTACTGGTCTTGCAGTAAAGCAAATATCTGATAACGGGGTACAACATACGATGGAGAGCGACTGTGGAGTTTACACTGTGTGTGGCTATGCTGTGTGCGTGTGTGTAATCTGTGTGCGTGTGTGTAATCTGTGTGCGTGTGTGTAATCTGTGTGCGTGCCTCCGCTCTAAGTATGCCCACACACTGAGCACTGTAAGACTAGTGCTTGACTATGCTACTGTACTGGAGAGCCGGTGATGGCGTATAGGCACGGATATACAGTAACCCTCCCCTAGTTCGGGCAGGTTGTGAACGAGCACTGCCCCTAACTAGGAGCTGTACATAATTCAGAACGTACATAGTTAGTTTATGAACGCAAGTAAACATGTTTTGCCAATCAAAGGTGTTTTGGGCCGTTTTGGTTGAAAAGCTTGGATTATTGAGACTTTACAGGAGTGAGAAAGGTGGCCGGTGGTCGGACGTGCCCAGATTAGAGGAGTGAGAAAGGTGGCCGGTGGTCGGACGTGCCCGGATTAGAGGAGTGAGAAAGGTGGCCGGTGGTCGGACGTTCCCGGATTAGAGGAGTGAGAAAGGTGGCCGGTGGTCGGACGTGCCCGGATTAGAGGAGTGAGAAAGGTGGCCGGTGGTCGGACGTGCCCGGATTAGAGGAGTCAGAAAGGTGGCCGGTGGTCGGACGTGCCCGGGTTAGAGGAGTTCATATCAGGGCAGTCTTACTGTGCATGTACAGTGTATGCGGTTGTTCCAGCCGTGTTACTACCCGCAGTCAACTGGGAACTTGTGGCCAGGCACAAAGGGTACATGGATGCAGCTATTGGGTTTTCCCGGCACTTGTGCCCGTGGTTGTGAGACTTATCCCTTCACCCCTGCCGTTAGGCACTGCATCTGCGCCTAGGGTTTACCGGGTGTTAGCGGCCATCGTGAGAGCCCTTCGGGAACGGACACGATAATTTACTTTCTTTTCTTTTACAGTGTGTGCCCTGCTATTGCACTGACCATTCGCTTATTCTTGGAGATGCCAATGGCGATCCAGATATCGAGCTCATCCGTCAGCATGCTCATTGTGAAGTTGACCACCTTTAGGTCGTAGTCCGCAATCCACGTGTAGATACGGCGACACTCGCCGTTAGAATCACACCCATCCTCCATCACTGTCAGAGATACACACACACACACAACATTGCAAACAGATAATGTGGCAAACAGCAGCATTCGGCCCTGCGCAGATTTTTAGTACATAGCATTCGCCAGTAGGGCCTTACTTATCAAAGTATTAGTAATAACTTCTACTACTATTATTGCTGAAAATGCGGCGACGAGACAAAAGTTGACGGATTGCAATAAACAGAACCAAAAATGCATCGAACTAGCTTTCGCACAACGCTCATTCGACGAGCATTGTGCGAAAGTTAGTTCGATGTATTTTTTATATTTTCATCGTTTCCTATTATTGTTCTTCACATTACACTTCCATCATAGTTACATCATAGTTACATCATAGTTACATCATAGTTACATCATAGTTACATCATAGTTCCATCATAGTTACATCATAGTTACATCATAGCTACATCATAGTTGTTTCTTTGTCTATTTAAAAACCAGCTCACCATGTGGTACTCTATCCATTGGTTTGGCACCTGGACAAACACACACAATGGAGACAGAAAGACACCACACGATCTTACGACATACAATGTAGATAGTAGTAAACTAGAAGACAATGAGGGAATCGTGTCTGATTTAGCAACTTTGGAAATGCTTTAGAAGATATGCAGTAAGACCCACAATATGCCAGTCACCCACACTGGACGCCAGCCCAGTATTTTGACACGCGATTGTCTTTATTACTTCTACTGTATAATGCAGATCAGATAGCACCAATGCAAGACTCCACGAGCAGCACAATTACTACATACCTGGCTCACAGAATGGCAGTTCCTCTGGATGTCCTTCTGGATTGCTCTCAGGCTCGGCAGTGCCCTCCGCATGGCCTTCTGGTTCAGCAGTGCTTTCGGGTTCTCCTTCCGGATGCGAATGACCTTCTGGTTCTCCTTCCGGATGGGAGTGACCTTCTGGCTCAGCGGTGCCTTCCGCATGGCCTTCAGGCTCGGCTGTACCCTCTGGATGTCCCTCGGGATGGCTGTGACCTTCGGGCTGCGATTCGGGTGTGCCTTCCGCATGAGTTTCCGGCTCTCCGTGACCTTCAGGTTCTGCGGTTGTTTCTGGTTCTCCATGACCTTCGGGTTCTGCGGTTGTTTCTGGCTCTCCGTGACCTTCAGGTTCTGCGGTTGTTTCCGGTTCTCCGTGACCTTCAGGTTCTGCGGTTGTTTCTGGTTCTCCATGACCTTCGGGTTCTGCGGTTGTTTCTGGCTCTCCGTGACCTTCAGGTTCTGCTGTTGTTTCTGATTCTCCGTGTCCCTCTGGATGAGCTTCGGGCTCTGCCGTTCCCTCGGGCTCTGCCGTTCCCTCGGGCTGTGCCGTTCCCTCGGGCTCTCCCTCTGGGTGCGTGTGATGACCTTCAGGATGTGCTTCCGGCTCGGCGGTGCCCTCAGGGTGGCTTTCCGGCTCTGCTGTGCCCTCGGGACGTGCTGGTGGCGGAGGTCGATAGCCAGGTGGACGAGGTCTGCACCTTCTTCTCGCATTTCCTAATCATAAAAGAACAGTACATAGAAGCAAGTACAGAAACATCAGGTAGAGTCTTTGTGTGGTTTTGACAATCAGAAAATAACACAAAATCTTTTATTTGACTATAGTAGAATTAAACAATAATGTAAAACGAGAGAGCTTGGAAGCTCATGGCCCTACACTATGCTTTGTTGCCTAGCTCATCGTGCATGTTGTTAGAACTGATGGAAATTGTTTTTCCTTTGATTAGCTACATCATGGTATTGCAAAAACGTTTCAATGAGTTACTGAAGTAACGTCTTCTGCATAGCTATGGGACCGGCGCTGACTCTGCCGATCACGGGCGTTCTGGAGTCGACGGGATGTCTGTCCTGACGTTTCCTGGGACCGGCGCTGACTCTGCCGATCACGGGCGTTCTGTAGTCGACGGGATGTCTGCCCTGACGTTTCTTGGGACCGGCGCTGACTCTGCCGATCACGGGCGATCTGGAGTCGACGGGATCTCTCTTCCGACGTTTCCTGTGACCGGCGCTGACTCGCCCGTTCACGCTTATTTTGGAGACGACGGGATCTCTCTTCCAAAGTATGTTTTTGCTGACGCATCCTATCACCTATTTGGCAACTAACGTCCATTCTAATTGCATTTCCTCCTCGTCTCCCTATTTCTTTCCAGAAAACCTCCCTATACATCAGGGAGTCGTATACATAATACGACGAATATTGTGGCAAGCTGTTTGTAGCCAGCTGTGTTTGATGTTATGCTGACCTTTCATACAAACTTCCAGTCAACTTGCCCATCATGCTGGCGGCTTATACTGGGCATATAAACCTCATACAAACCCCATATAGACCGCCACCATAGAAACAGGAAGAAGTTGACTGTCAGTTTGTATGAAGGTCAGCATAAGTATAATACATCCCACTAGTACGCTTGTACGTGAAATATAAACCATCATACAAACCTCGGCTTCGCCTCGGCTTGTATGTCGGTTTATATTTCACGTACAAGCGTACTGTTGGGTTGTATTATATACGTACGGTACGGTACGGGACAGAAACGGGATAGCGCCAGCAAATATTGTGGCCAACTGTTTTTGACCAGCTATGTTTGATGGTACGGTACGGGACAGATACGGGATAGCGCCAGGCGTGACACAAACAAACAAACAAACACCAAATTAGAGCTGTGTGGACCCTGGCTAGCGCCAGAAGTTACTGAAGTAACGTCTTCTGCATAGCTACGGGAATAAAACCTGTATTTGCTGGACCCTGTACCGAGCGGAATCCTGTATTGACCAGACAGATTTCCACGCACCAACATGCTGTGGATCGAATGTGCGTCCATGGATCAAACGGAATCTTGGCTTATCCTCATAGTTTCCGCTGCACCGCGGGCGCCCGGTTAGGGCAGGTTTTACCGTACATACCAGAGGTTGCGTGCTTTGGTGCAAGTCGATCCGAGGGGCAAGTCGATCTGAGGGGCAAGACGGTGGAGTATCTGATGCGGCAGCACTTACACCAGCACCACATGGCGGGTGGTGTGTGTGTGTGGGGGTGGGGGGGGTGGGGTGGAGAGGGGGGGGGGGGGGGTGGAGAGGGGGTGGGGGGTGGAGAGGGGGGGGGGGTGGAGAGGGGGGGGGGGGGTGGAGAGGGGTGGATTGGTTGGGTTTATAAAGGCAAGGCACGCTAGTGAAGTGCGCTGAGCATGAGCAATGACTGGTAGCACATGCTGCTCGGGATGCTGCTCGGCATGCTGCTCGGGATGATTGACACATACACTGTACCTGGTGGCAGAACTCTTGGTGTTGCCTGGCATGAGCTTGTGATACCTAGAATGTAATCACAGTCACACAAGAAAACTCCTCTTACTTTAAAACTGCATTTCCTATGGTCAATACTACCAACAACGCACCTAGCATGATAGGCTACCCTATGACCTACACAGACCTACACATACACACACAAGCACACACATACACACACAGAGTTCTATGCATGTCAATGAAAAGATTTGCTTGCAAACACTTGTAGATCAGCGTCTCCAATTGTCTTGCCCATCCATTCTCTGTCCTCCGGATCACGGCACTAACCAATGGTATTGATCAAATGGAGAATACCATCAACAGACGATGACACAACGTGGTATTAGAATAGAGGACACAGAAGAGGTGTTTTGAGTCAGTACTCACCTGCTGGCCTCCAACCCAGGCCTACCCAGCTAGCTGTTTGGACTTGAAGAGCGATTTCAATTTCTGGTGCAGCCTACACAGCAAGCATGAAAACACACACGCACACACGCAAAAACACACGCAGACACACACACACACACACACACACACACACACACACACACACATAGACACACACACACACATACACACACGCACACAAACACACACACACGCACATATACACACAACATTTAATGTGTGCACGCACACACGTGTGCATGGGTGACAGTTACTGGCAGACTCAAAAAGCATGTAAAACGTACAGATAGCGTACTGTCAGCAAGCATGAATATTGTTTTTGGTGATAAGCTTCCAGTAATACTACTGCTGTAATGGGTACAACTCATTGGCATCGTTGCGGCCAGTCACTATAAGCTCCGCTGACGAGACCAAATTAGATCATAGCAGGAAGGTGTTCAGAGATTGTTCGTAAGGTGCTAAGTACTCTTTCGTCACATGAGCTAATTTGCATCACTCCTCAGCATGGTTTGAATGTGTGTGCCTATCACATTTTGTGGTACATGTATGCCTGTGTTGTTAGCATGGACCAAGCTCGAGGATGTCACAGAACTTACACCATCAATGATCTTCCAGTGCATCTTGTAGGTCTCGCTGAAGTCATGGCTGTTGCTGTAGTCATCCGGGTTCACGACCGGATCGGTAATCATTGATCCTGGAAAAATAAATAAAACAGAAGGCTGAGTGAGGTTACTGAAGTACACAAGAGCAATTGCGAAGAATTTATTGAAGAAGAAAGGAAGACATAGGCGACTACAAATCCAGTCAATTCGTCCACACGGCAGTATGGGGAACGTTGGTTGCTCGTCCGTGGATATCACACATCCCCGCCAAATTGACTGACATTGGACTTCATGACTTCATCAGAGAGGAATAGGAAGGGATAATGAAGAGCAACCAACTTCGTCAGTCATTTCCGTCAAAGCCTCTGCTTCTAAGTTGGAATTTTGGAAATTTAGGAGTCTCTACTTGTTATGTGCGTAATGGACCCAACATGGCTGACATCATGTGACCTACTGGTGTGGGGACTGGCTCAACAACCATCATGTCTGACGTCATGTGACGTATTCGTGCAGGGACTGGGAGGGATTAGAATCACCATGGCTGACGTCATGTGACCCATTGCTGCAGGGACTGACACAAAATACCTGTACAGCCATCATGGCTTATATACTCTGATGCATAGATATCATGCATTTAGTGAACTTGGAGGCAACAAGCAACAAGATCATCTGCAGCTGCGCGTGTGATAACAGACTCCACTATGAATGACCTCGACTGCACAATAGTCAGGAACACTTACGTTTCTCGCATCTCTCGCCAAACCAGCCTGCGTTGCAGAAGCATTCGCGTGTCCGATTTCCAACCTGCACACAGTTGCCATTACCATTGCAGTCACCACCGTTTTGACAGAAAACTAAAATGCCACAAAACAAGCATGAACACGCACGCACACACACACGCACACACACACACACACACACACACACACACACACACACACACACACACACACACACACACACACACCGCACACACACATGCATGCACACACAAATACAGTCACGTTAGCAGACACACATTATTTCTCAAGATGGAATGGGCATATACAAACGCAAAGGCACTATTCACTGTCATATGCCGACCACCATTCTGAGTGTCTGAAGACAATAAAACTAGGGTCTCAAACTAAGCTAGATTTGTAGCACCAGTCGAGGCTAAATGTTACTACTGGTATTGCCCTGCACCATATGTTGAATATCCTTGTCGCACTAGGTGTGGCGTGCACTTGCAGTTTCTGGTTTCCGCACCACAGAGAGCCGAACCACTGCACGACACCACACTTAACTTACGATCGACTTCGCACCACTTCCCAGTGTACGGCTGTTGACACATGCAGCGGCCGGACATACACGAGCCACGTCCCGAGCACGTCACACCATTCAGCTCTGCACAGTCCAAACTCTCAGCTGAAATGCACCAAAACCAGCACACATAGCAACACATATCGATAAGGAATCCGGATCCCAATATCAAGTCTTCCACTAAGTTTTTCATTCATATCTCATTTTACGGATTCACCAACAGTGAACAGAAACTGATAAGGGAGTGTTCAGGAATGGTCGATGGGAGAAGAGTTTTTTTCTCTCATCAGTTAGAGTTGAAATGCTTTCAACCGCAACATTGCCATTGATCGATAATGAGTGCTGTACAACATTTTGATACTGTTTCCGTCTTTTATGTGTCCAGTTGTCTCATTACCCGACTGCATACTGTGATCTGGCTACTTAAAGTCTTTATGCGGACCGCTAGTGACAACTGGTAACAGCTTGCCCTTCCTCTTATCCATAAAAAAATAATGTTATGTTAGCTCCTGAAGTGAGAAGAAAGCATCACATGATTGCTAAGCAACTGCAAAAACAATTGATACTTTTCGATATGGTTTGAAATTTGTCCCGCCGTCAAAACTTACAGTTGACGAGTTTCAGGTCAGAGCATGAGTGGAAGATGTAGTTGCGTCCCCACTCGAGTGCCTGTCGTCGTACTTGCAGTGTGCACACATCATGCAAGCTATTACCACAGCTCACACCTTCCGGCAACTGCACGGAATAGTGCTGTGTCCTGCAGTGGTGGGCACAACAAACATCACCAGGGTACAGTGTATAGAGGTCATGCAATTAGACCATCAGCTCAGATGCTTCGGCGAAGTCGGAGGACAGCGATGTCCTTGTACTAGCGACATAGCACCCATAAACAATTCCGCTGCATACTTAGCGCTGACAAGAGAATCCGCTGAGCCACCCTGTATGCAAAGACTCCAGCTTCAGAGAGAAAACTTATATTCCCGGTGGGCTTATTGTAAATTTCGCACTTGACGTAATGAAATTACATCATCGCTTTTTTTAAAGCTGTTTTGTATAGTTCTCTGCCAACTTGCCAAGTGTCAGCATAAAGCCATAAACTCAGTTATTTGTTCCTCACAGAAAATTTTACCTACAACAGTGCTGGAAAATGAAACCCAGTCGAGTTTCTAAAGTACACGCCGAGCGTTGCGCAGCCCTAGACCTGCGCGCACTGGGCTACAAAAAGGTGCACGGCGCCCACTTGACTCTCGCGACCAGATGTCATTGAGCAGCCCTGTAGTATGGTATGAAGTTTATTTATGCATACCAGTAACTAAATGTAAGTCAGCAGGGTTTGTCGTGTCTAGCAGAGAGTAAAACGAGTCTAATGCTTTTCCCGTTTGTGTCTTTCCCTCAGACAAGTGAATGCTTGAAGTATTCATGTGTACAGTAGAGGACTTACGTTGGTTCCCTAGTGGCCACCCAGGTAGGCTCATGTAGCTTGTACGTGTGTGTATTAGTCAGCAGGTTGAACTGAACACCTCCCTGATCAAAGCAACATACGCATAAACACATACGTGCACGCAAACACACGCGCGCGCGCACACACACATACACACACACACACACACACACACACACACACACACACACACACACACACACACACACACACACACACACAATTCAATAATTCAGTTACCACACCATGCCATTTAAAAAACGGGCCATTCACACAAAGTGTTATTTTCACGATAACATGTTTGTGTATAAATAGACAAGGGATCCAGCGGATTCACACGTACACCGTGCAAATCTCGCATGCGTCTTTGTACTCAAAGCCTCCATTGAGCATAAATCAAGTACATGTATGTACCATACTCAAGAATTTTCGCTGGTTTTCTCCAACCGTTTCCTCCCACCGTTGTGGCCACACGAGTATATCTCTATGGATACAGCACGATACACGTGAGTTTGCAGGTCGTGTGAATCGCTTATATGGAAGTAAAACCTGTATTTTTAGTAGTGACAGGACATCTTAACTATCACTGCATGGCCTTGCATACATGTATATTTAAAATATCACCAAAAAACGTCACATTCCGTACACGAGATGGATGGGGAGCAGTGGCGTGCACCGAGTCTTGAAAGGGGGGTTTCCAGAGTTGGTAAATTTTTATCTGGAGACCTACTGTATAATCATGATTTGTGCACATGCGCATCCCCCGAAAATCCCGTCCGAGATAACGGTGAGGGCTAGGGAGGAGAGGGGGGGGGGGGGGGGCTCAAGATCAGTGGTGCAGGGCACCAATGGACTCTGGTGCTGATGAGATGTGGGGCTCCTCCGACCGCTATCATGCCGGCACAAACGCTTCTGAAAGGGAACCAGGTCCAGGGGTAGAAAGGACAGAAATAAGAGTAATGAGGAGGGTACGATGTTACATGGAAATGTTGGCATAACCAGTAGCAGGATAAAACGGGTTACCTTTTACATACCAGCTTATTCTGTCCCCGGGGAAAATTGCAATTCCGCGGCCGCGTTTTTTTCCGCGTTTTTTGCGATTTTTTAAAAGACCGCGTTTTCCGCGATTTTCCCCGCGTTTTTTTGAACTTTTTTGTTGCACTACACGTACACACAGTGCAGTGCACTGTTCGGTCAGCAACCATGGCAACGTCTCATCGTGGCGGCTTTTTACTCAAATAGGACGAGTGCTTACACCAGAGACTAGACTTGTAACTGATTGATTTCACTACATACTCACTGAAAATTGCCGCACATCAATATTATTCATCAATATTATTCACCGCATATTTACCGCAAATTCACCGCAAATTATGCCATATTATGCCGCGTTTTTCCCCGCGTTTTTTGCGATTTTTTCCGCAATTTTCCCAGGGGACAGCTTATTTGTAAAGAGGGTGCAAAAGTCAATGACTTGTATTAATATTGAACACGAAAAGTTTGATAGGCCTAGCCGCCCAGGCTACACTACAGTCTACAGTCTATAACAAGTACTTCACTAGTCCACTCCAGGCATGTTCATTTTCATCTAAACACTGCTTTCATTCGACGGTATCTTTCTTTCTGTTCTTATGACGAAGTTTTCAAGATGTATTGGCAATGTTCCACATGATTCAATCAAGAGTTATGGACCTTGCTTCGATGGAAACTTGCGGAAGAAAAGCGAAGCCCCGCGTCCTTGAATTGCGGCCGGAGCAGCGCTTTGTTCTGAAGCAGCGCAAGTGGATCATGGACGCACATTTTTACGTCTTCCAGTCAACAACAGTTTTGACGAACATCTCTGCTGCGCACATGAGCGAGAACGAAAGGCTGTGGAGATCTTGATTTGAGTCAACAGTTTGGAAGGAGATATCGTCAATCATATCCTTGAACAGACTTGCATCACGCGTGCTTGACTCAAATTTCGAGACAAAACGGATTTCTTGAACGTCGTCGCCAATCAAGGAGCGGACCAGAGCTAGAGATTGATCTCTCTGCCGCTACTCTCCACTGAAGAAAGAGAGAATAATGTATTTTGAACTGCATGCAAAGCAACTCTCTCTCTCTCACACTTCGAAAAAAGGACATAGTCACTGTCCTGTAAACTGCGCCGGCCCGTCGATCGACGCGTAGAGCTACGTATGCACGATAACCAATCCAGTGGGCACACTTTTCCTTTGGCAAGATTGCCCGAAAAAAGGTGGTTTCCAGACACCAAAAAACTCATACGGTGCACGCGCCTGGGGAGGAGGAGAATTGTTGCTCAATACAGCAGCCGTGGCGTTACGTCACAGCAAGCACAGCGGCCCATTGGTTATGTCCATGCAGAACAGCAGCATTTGTGAGGCCGACACTAGGTTATTGGCAAGCTGGTGGGCTGCGGACGCGAACGTCTTTGCTGGATATGTTCCTCAACATATCCAGTGATGAGCCCGCGAATCTGGCTACATGTTACTATGCCTTTGTTAACAGCAGCAGCACGCCAGCATAGATAAAAAAACACTGCATTTTACTCACAGTATGGCCGTATCCCAGGTGCCATTGGACGTCGATAGTGCTACCGGCTGCCAGGGTGGTGATCCTCCGCGTTGTAACATTACCGGCGCGGTCTGCATCCAAAAGAAAAGGAGAAAATTGAATAAACAAAAACAAATGCCTTATTATGGTGTCCAGAGCATGTGGAATATGAGGCAGCAAGCAAATTGCAGAATATCACCAATGCAACCTTGAACAGAATAATAACTAACCGGTAGATTACAAGCTCGCTGCGATCGCCGATTAGTACGTAAAGCGGTCGCTCCGGCATTGGACTCGCCACATGCACAAAGCGCACTCATACCGAAAAACATCAAATTTGTGGAGCCTACAGCTTGTTTTACTCTTGTCTGTTTGCTTTTATGAGTACGTCAGCACGTCTTCGACATCCTTTTCTACGAGAACTAGAAATGTCCACATTTCCAAACAAAATAAACAAAATTTACAAGTGCTGCACGTCTCCATGACTGATTATACCGCACAGCAGCCATGCAATAACGAAAAGTCACTGTCCCAGCATCTATTCGTCATGGACATGATGTGCGTACTGGCCTCGCGAATCTAACACCTGGGTACTTCGTGACTTTTGAGTTTTGCAAAGAAAGAAGGGAAAGAGAAAGGAAACCAGCTTTCGTTGAAGCAGGCTTCTACAGTTCCAGTTCTATCGATCTCATAGTCATAGTCATACCGGTATCCTCAGACTAAAAAATAAAAAGAGTCGAAGAAAACACAGGATCTAACTTACTTTACTGTACTTTGATCAGAGTACAAAGTTCATCCGCCGCGTCAAGCGCGGGGCTGAAAACCATGGCAACAAGCTTCCCCTCCTCGTCTTTAGACAAAATGGTCAGCGCCTCGGGCGTCTTCATGTGAAATCAGGATAGTGTTGTGCGGTCCAATGCCGCGGCTGCTACCAAAGGACTTCAGGCGCCAACATTTCACCGCGCAAACAGCTTCAAACATTGCATACTATTATTATCACCACGATTCACGAAGACTAACCACTCGTCAACTCTCAAGCCAAGCAAAATATTTATCTTGAACCGTAGCCTAGTTTCTAGAGTCCTTTCCGCCAAGCAACAAGGGAATGATGACTGTATTGATAAAGGGAATGCTAAGGTAGTAAGGAGAACAATAAACGTGCGTGACAAACCCGTTGTCTTATGTGTTTAAATGTAACACATAAGGAGTCAACGTGACAAGACGAGGACTCCGGAGGAGGGTTACAAAAATGACATCAACTGCACTCGCTGCGTGCTCCTTCGTACTCGTAGTTCGTCTCTTTCACACTTTCACAATGCAAAATTATTGATAAAGTGACTCGTGTTGTATCGCATCAAAATGCGACTTTTGTTATTTATTTATTTATTTATTTATTTCTGCACCTCGTGGCATGTCAAGACAGCCAATTGAATTGAGGACAGGGTGAGACCAACCACGGAAGAATAAAAGAGAATTATGTCTTTCACATGTACAATGTACTTACTTTGAAGTAAAATTTATGACCGTATATAAACCAGTACATTTTAGCGGAGGAACTTTGTATCCGAGGTAAATAACTGGTACGATAAAGGGGCTTATTATAAAAAGTTCAAACTAACGTTACATGACCATGTACCAGTCTTCATAACGACGTTAGCACAGAGTACATGGACGGCATACCTAGGGTACTTCATAGTGATTCACGTGCCAACGTCGACGGGGCTCTAGGATACAATGTATGTCAATACTACAATACAGTAGTATACTGTAGCATAATGATTATACACTACTAGGGCCAGCGTGAACGCGTGGGATATTTCTGGCAGCTGGGCACTCACTTCACTTTGTACAGTTTTGTAGGACGGTCTGTGTGCTGAGTCCATTATGATGCATGAAAACAAATCAGCGAAGGACATCCCCGTCCATTGAAAGTCCGCACCGCAAGCCACAACTTTACTTTCAGTCATCTAGTGATCTACCTTGCTGAGATTGACTGCTATTGGATTGAGTGCGTGCTGGACATTGTCAATGAACAGTTTGCTTTACCACTCCAAAGAACGAGCATCTACTTGAGTTGATGCAGCGTGAATTTTGGGCTCCGGCTTCGTTAGAAAACTGCTTCATGCATCCTGTCACTGCACTGGATCCACATTGCTAACTGCATTGGTTTTCTAAATACTGGCGTCTGCGTTGAACTGTATAGAATAGTGTCTCAAATGATTCAATCATTTGACCTGAGTGATGGAAAAGAGCCGGTGCAGACATGGTATTGTGCTGCGCATGACAAAAATGATCACACTACATCATGTACATGTGTCATCCATTCAAGTAGTTGTGCGTGCATGCATGCCTGGTCAGCAGCAGCTCACAGGTCACACATCTTCTTTTCCTTCCATATCATGACAACCGGATACGATATGCACGGCGGTGGCAAAGACCAATGATTTCATGATTTCATGATTGTCGCACGAAAGACTTTTAAAAAGTAACATTCAATCGCGATCCAAACGCTGGAGCATCAATATGACAATAATCAAACCTGTGATTGCTATGATTGGGCGTATGGTAATCAATGCAATGACTGGAAAGCAAGGTGATAACACTGACACACAAGCGACTTCACGTTCGTTCATCCTGTCATATGAATCCATATGTTCACTTTATTATGATTTGAATGGTCATTCATTCGCCATTTCAACCTTGCTACATGTACTACCAAGCTAATGAAATTATGTGCACTTGCTCACTGGAAATGCTCCGAACTCTAACCTGGACAGGTCAGTTTACTCGATTTGTACGGCCAAAAGACAGGTTCAGTGATACACATGAGCTAAACAAAATACAGTGTACATTGTACAGTGTATCTGCTGATTCTGAGGAGTGTTTCGTCCTTTAGCTTTGTGGACTCATCGGCGCAGCACAGAGAAAATGAGGCCGAACCTGATAGCAATGAAAATAAATCTTCCAAAGCCAGATTTAAACCAGGCCCGAATCGAACGAGTGAACAGTCATATAGATGCAAGTACAAGATACATATTTTTATAATGTTCGAAGCAAATCACGCTGATAGATAAAATTTCGACTCACAAGACTAGATACATGTACCTGGCGAGGCGTGTCGCACGTACAGAAGTACAGTGCAGGTGTAGTATCCCTGCTTTACAGTTTACACATGACTAGTACATGACATTGTATTTTGCAGGACTCTTATAATTACTCTTGTTACTACTTTCGGACAAGTCCTACATCATGTACCTCATAGCTCACACATAACTTGATTACATCAGGAGTACCGCACTTCTAGAAGATCATAGATCTTCCATGCATGCTGCTGTCATCACTTCTAGTATCACTTCCTTTTAGTTACTAGTTGGTACAGTCATGACTCATGTACATGTACATGTATGTCATGTTGTTCCGGACTATTCCAGACCTTTCCACGTCATATGCCCGATGAGTAATGTTGCTGACTAAATTGCATAATTATAGATATCTCATCTTCTAGAATACCTCGCTTAGTCATTATGTTAATGTTACGCAATGCTCACTTCGTCTACGTGTATAGCAATGATGATCTAGGTTTACTTCTCCACTATTCTAGAACTTGTACTAGAAGGATGATTTCGTAATCACTGCAATGGCTTACTAACCTTACTTTCCTACCGCCGCCTGCTTTGCTATACATACTTTGCTTGCCTATAAAAGCTGCTGTCTTTTCTGCCACCATCAGATTACCTCAGATTACATTAGAGCTGGGAGCTGAGAGCTGAGATCGGAGAGATCCGATAGAGATCAGAGAGAGAGCAAGTTCACTTTCACTTTGATATAAGATAACCTCCAGGCCGTGCCGGAGTAAGTTCTGATACGTTACTGTAGTTGACTGACTGTGGGTAGTAGCCTCCTAGCCTCGCCGACGCACGTTACACAGGTACGCTTTACTGATTTTCTCACAATACTCGCTAGGAACGAGATTTGACATACAATCATACATGTAAATGTACATGTACACGTACGTTCAATTACAGCCCACACACTTTGATGTGCAAAATTACTAGCAACCCGATGAAATTTAGTGCTACGTCGTCCACTGTATAACTTCTTCTCAGACTTCTGGCTTCAAGCTGAGGAAATCAGGTGATTACAGAATGCAAGATGACGTGCGAGTGAGAAAAGCAGAAGCTTCTGTTGTGGTCACACAGGTCCCCGCACCAGGCAGTGGCAATGATAGATTTCGTTGATCAGGTTAAAATTGCACCCAGGCAAGTCCACATGTATTATAGCTCACACGCTCGAAGAACTATATTTCCCCATGCCATCATATTACTCAATTCTCATCCTGTTGATGGTTAACGTTTTCCTCTCTTGGCAAGGGATGTATTTTGAAGTCAGACCGCTATTTTCATAATAATTCTTACATGTATATCTTCATTGGTTTGAGGGATATACCCCAACTAACGCTAAAGGCAATAATTTGTCTTTCTTACCATCGAATGGAACTCCACATGGCGTGGCGGTTCTGACATTGTCCAGGAAGTCCAGGTCTGGATAACGCGCTGCCGGGTGAGTGAGGCGAAAGTGGGCATTGGTCAGCACGGCACACACCAGCAATGCAGCCGCTACGCTAAGCACTCGCATCCTGAATGAATGTGGAGACAGAGAAATCCCTGCTCCCTTCCTAGGTCCGGCGATTATGTTTGTAGCCTCGATTCCGTGGATATCAGAAGAAATGTCCCGTGCTCAGTCAGGAGAGGAGTAACTCGGATGGAGCTTGCAGATTCAATGAACCAATGTGCAATGGAAAGAATGATTATGATATCTCCGCAACGACTTTGGTAGTAGTGAGTGCACGGTCAAACACCCCGCAGCTTTCAATCCGGAGTAACTGTACGGAATGCGACTTGTTCTTCGCGTCTTCGACGTCCCGCCGTGAGAGGTCCGGCCCATTCAATAGAAGCGCTACCACTACCCGGCTATCGGGCTATGACCAGTGCAGTGCTGGCTGTTTGATCTGGCCGCGTTGAACACCGCACATAATTGCATGTATTCCTAGTCATCCTTGCAATGCACGATAAAAGTCAGTCAAGCTTGACCATGTGGACGTGCATCACACAGATTGCGCCTGTCAACCACAGCGACTCAGCATTCTCGTATCTAGGATGACCAATGTCACTGCCAAGGCAGCGCCCAGTGTTCACCTACAATCTACAGTGCGGAGCCGAGACACCGCTCCTAGTCCTACTGAGTTCTAGTATCATACGAGTGTAAGACTGAAAAAGAGGAGAGTCAGCAAGTTTGTGCCTACGCATTCCCTGGATAATCCCTGCCGGTTCAATAGCAGTCCTTCCTGAACTGAATTTCGACAACGGCATTGTCCCAGCAAATACGTGTGGGCGTCCAAGCGCCGATAAGAAAATTCGCTCAGGCAGCACTGGGCAGGCAGGTCCAAGGAGCCACTGCGAGCCCTGCAGGATTTGGCAAGTGACTGAACATGTCACCAGTTTTGACAGGCGTGAACCCTTGCTCCAGGCTGAGTCGGTGGTCTAGCCCCTAGCCTATGCCTAGTCTAGGTCGATCTGGTGTCTCGTGTGCAGACTCTTTGGTCGTGTGCTGTGTCTTGACAGGTAAAACTATGTACAGACAAACGCATGATCGTGCTGATTGACTAGCTCAAGTCAAGATGAGCACGAGCGCACGTGGGCAGTGAGAGAGGTCCGTGACACTTCTAGTTGGACTTGGCACATTGCACTTGATTGTTTCGTGCTGGCCGGCTGGAACAATGAGGAGGAGTAGGAGTACAAGATGCAGTATAAGGACGAACACCGGACGCGTGCACAGCTATTTTATGACCTCTACCGTTCACAGCGTGGCAGGAATTCCGTCAGGGCTCATCCTGAGTGCGAGGTCGAAATGACCGAGGAATTCCCAAGACGGTTCAACGAAAACCAGCGTTGAACCACGGCCAGTAGCGTCACGAGAATGTGTTTGTTTGTACACTAGTATTGCATTTCGAGTTCGTACATGTACATGGCTTTGTATACATGTACGATTTCCGCTCCTTACAATGTGCACATCTACATGTACATGTACATGTACATGTAAATACAATCACCAGTCATGTAGGCACTGGCGGATTCTGCCGGCAGAAAAATAGGCAGGATTCCGTACTTTTTCTGGTAAGTTTCATGCATGTTTGGTACTATGTTGATAAAGAAATGGAGCAGAATTCGAGAAATTGCCCGCCATAAGGTTTGTATGATTCTGCCAATTTCACTGCTTTTCGAGCAGAATCTGCCACCTTTTCGAGCAGAATCTGCCACCTTTTCGAGCAGAATCCGCCACCTTTTCGAGCAGAATCCGCCACCTTTTCGAGCAGAATCCGCCGGTGCCTACGGATGATGTAAATGTACATGTAAAGTTTTAGTTTTAATTAAAAGTACCAGCTAAACCATTGTATGCCGGCAATATGGCCAAGATCTCGTGTCATTATGCCAATATGGCCGAGATCTCGTGTCATTTCAGTACATGACTCTAGTGTGATACTGATGGCATTTAGTTTCTGTTTCGTCTATATTTCCCACTTTCCGTCCCTCCCTGCCCAGGCGGTGCCAACTGAGTTGGCGTCTTGCCTTTGAAATCCGAAGTACATGTACATGTACATTGAATTGGATTCGAGCCGGAGTGAGAGGCTGAGGGTTGAGGGCCTTGCCCGACGTTTTTAGATGCAAAAAAGTAGCAATTAAAATTAATATTTTCGTCGTCCCTTGTTTTGGAAAACCTTTCGAGTGTTATGTGTGTGTGTGTGTGTGTGTGTGTGTGTGTGTGTGTGTGTGTGTGTGTGTGTGTGTGTGTGTGTGTGTGTGTGTGTGTGTGTGTGTGTGTGTGTGTGTGTGTGTGTGTGTGTGTGTGTGTGTGTGTGTGTGTGTGTGTGTGTGTGTGTGTGTGTGTGTGTAGACACAATGTCAATGACCCGCCGTGCTGTTGAGAATTGGTCCGTCTGTCCATCGTCTTATTCATGGTCACAATCCTTGAACTCGCACATCTGAATGATATGACAGCACGCTGTCGCAGTCGCATGGCTAATGAAACACTGAGTCAATGAATACATACACACGATAAAGGAAGGGGTCATCACATCCTCTCGAACGTTGCTAAATATACATAGTACATTGTATATGACATTGTATTATGAACAGACTTCACGGCCACGCAATGTACAGTGTACATGTACATGTACATATTATACATGTAAAGTATATTCTTTAGGGTAAACACGCCCATCCACTTCATACATCATGCACACCCAATCACTGGGGTCGGTGGGGAAGATGCTGGAAAAAGGGCAGATTCTGCTCGAACAGCGGTAAAATTATAATTGGCTGAACAACAAAAGGCTTGTGGCAGGCCAATATTGAATTTTTCCCTTCTCCTTTGTCATTCATTACCTTTGTTTGAAACATACCGGAAGGAACTAAATTCGGCCAGTTTTTCAGCCTGAATTAGTCGCCAAGGGCCAGTGTTAAATGTACACAATCATGTACATGGTTATGATGATCGCGTAGCAATTCGTGAAAAGGGCAAAATGTCTGTTTGCCTTTTCCAGCCACCTACATGTACATAATGTACCAGCAAAAGTCAAAGCAAACCGAACACACACATTGCAGCTGGGCTAGGACCGTCCTTCAAAGCTACACTGGCTGAATCATTGCGCTTTGAGTAAATGTCCCTAGGGACGCTACAACGTATGTGCATACCCAGTACATGTACAGTTGTTCTGCTATTCGGAGGGCATGACTACTACCGTCAGACAGTATTTCGACGGGCTGGGGATCCATCCTTCCCGATCTACACGAATACATTTTGCAAGCGTAAACATGACACTGCAGTTAAATGGGAATGCCTAATTTTTCGATCTGTTGTCAAGCAGACTACACAGGCAACAGGTGCTTACCAAGGCACCATGCTACTATTCCATGCATCAGCATCTTCGATAAAAACCGTAATTGTAGTCGGCGAATTATTTTGGCCAGCCCCAAAGAAGGCAGTTTTTCTGGTTGAAATTATCGTCCACGGATGCTGCAATGTACTGAAAGGTGAAACAATTCCACTTTTAGTCCTGTATTTCATTTCGGGCGAAAACGTGTTAGATGAAAACGACGAAATTACATTGTATTTTTGTAACATATTTTTGGTCCTGAAGTTGGTTGCTCCAACGAGGAGCACACGCTTCTTGACGAACTTGACACTTGACTGACTCACGACTGCCATCCGGAGCACACGAGGAGCACGTCGCACCTTCCGCTCGGCAAACCTGTAAGAAAGCACCACTCCCTGCTCAATACACAGTGTTTCGGGGAATTCACCCCTCATCAGTTGAGCTTGAGTAGGCTGAGGAAGATTGTGCCTGAAAAGCACCACTTATATACTGCTCTCCAGGCCAAACCATCACCAGGGATACAAACTTACAGAGACGCTTTGTTTCCAGCGCGACAAACACCTCGTGAAGCCCCAGGTAGCAGCGTGAGTCAGAGTCGCTCATGGAGTTGTGCTAAACAGACGTTGAGAGCCAGTATAGCTATTCACAACGCTGTCACCTCCAACAACTAGTCGCACGTCCGCGTGCTCCTCGTTGGAGCAACCAACTTCATGACTATTACCGCCGAAGTCGCAACTTCTAAGTTCATAGTTTTGGTCCTTTCGTTTTAAATTTGAACTGTATTGGCTCACTCTATTCTGTGGTTATCATCCAACAGTCGATTAGCGGCCAAAGTTCCTATGCATGCCATTGACTCCCTTGGGATTCCCACAGTTTTTTATGAGATGGCAAGTGGGCCTGGTGGTCACACCACCAAAACCAGTGTAGTGTGCTGTCATTCAGAGCAGATTAGCATGAATGCTGTTGACCGTGCAGGAGTCCTCCTAGGGACCGGCGGATTCTGCTCGAAAAGGTGGCAGATTCTGCTCGAAAAGCAGTAAAATTGGCAGAACCATACAAACCTTATGGCGGGCAATTCCTCGAATTCTGCTCCATTTCTTTATCCACATACCAAACATCCATGAAACTTACCAGAAATTATACTGCCTGAATTCTGCCAATTTTTCTGCCGGCATTATCCGCATATGCCTAGTTGACCGTGCAGGACCAAAGTCAGGAAACATCTCCCTTATTAACTTATTTTCCAAGACACAAAGCACACTTCGAAGACAAAAACTGCTGCTTTACATGAACTCATTGCTTCAGGGAGAAAATTCGATATTAAAGCAAGGAGCTAGATACAGTCAAAGATGTATAACGGTGCCACGGATTTCAAAGTGACTTTAGTACAAGAGTTTCAACTCGTTGCATTCTACCCACAGTGGCCAAATCTATAGTCGAACCGTTTTGGGCAATGAGCACCATCGGCTAAAGTACATGTTTTGAGCGGAAACACTGGTAGCTCCGTTGCCTATACTAAGACTACACAGTATTTTCGTGACACATCACCGTGGCCTCTCAAGCGCAACTCTAGGGTATGTAATATACTACGTGGTATCGAAGATGAGGGTGCGAAAAGGCATCGTTTTGGACAGTTTAGTTTCTTGGTAGACACAAAAGGGAATACAATAATCCACCTACAGGGATTCGTATAGAGTTGTTCTTAGTCCACACGCTTGCGCACATGTACATGTACCTGATGATGATGATTGTACATGTACGTACAAACACACACACACACACACACACACACACACACACACACACACACACACACACACACACACACGCCTACACACATACGCAGAGAACAACACAGTTGCAAGTCGCATCACATAGTCAACTGTGAAAGTCACTTCCAAAAGTGCTTCATCCGATGACCCCCAGTGGATTCAGGGTAATGCAGTAGGTACTAGTAAGTGAAAGTTACTAGTACA